CTCTAGCTATACAGTAAAACATGCTTATAATGAACTGACACTTACAGCAAAGTTATTTTCATTCTAAGTGGCTTTGAAATATATTGTGAACTTAACTGATATAATGAATCACATTTATAATGAAGCAAAATCATCGGTGCCTGGCACTTCATTATAAGAGTGTTTTACTGTACTCTCTTTTAATTGAAAGTGCATTGCTTAAATTTTTTATTTTTTACAAATTATTTACACACAAAGAAAGGAAAATAATCTATAAAACATTTGCTACTTCATGCATTAACTGGATGAAGTCTGGTAATACATGTAATAAGCATGCATTGAGTACTCTGCTGATGTGTTTACTAGGATCTCAATGTTGTGATTAAGGACCCTCTGTACACTAAAGCAAAATGTATTTCAGACATTGAGAAAATTATATTGTATAAAAGTATAAATATTGTGCTTATACTTTTCATTTTCAACACAGGGTACATTTACCCCCCGGAAAAATATTCAAAGACATTGAAGTACTGATGAAGAGAAATCACTGTTGATTACTTACATGGGGAAAATGCAGGCAAATGAAGTTTTAGTTTATCTATCTTGGTCTATTCAAAATTTAAGGATGCTTGTATTAATTACAAATTGAGTAATAGACTGTGGATTTCAATTTATTAAAATTTTAAATTTAAGGGCAGATTACTTAAACTCCAAAAAAAATACCATATAATCAGGGCTCTTTAGCATGCAGTGCATAGAGGGTTCTTAAGGTGCTCTAATATGAGATGAATCTTCTATAAAAGAATGACAAAATTATGTTGCGGGTGTTTCATTTATTTTTTCACTATATGTACCGGTGGGACCAAAATGATTAAACAAGGACCCAAAAGAAAATTTTAATTGGATTTGTCAAACAGAGAAATCTTTATATGAGCACCTGATTCCAATACGAAAAATAAGCTTGAGGTCTAAATATGTTCATCTATCTAAAGAATATTGATAGATGTAGTGATATACATTATTCATTTGGCCATTGGCAAGTTAAGATGGTATATATTTGCCATTTTTTTGAGGAGTACTGAATCATTTTTTTATTCATTTTTTATTCATTAAACAGCTGCAATATATCCTTCTTTTTTTTCTTCACAGAAACGGAGTTTCACGTGACATGCAAATGCAAATAGAAGATTTGGCACTAAAGTGAGCTACAACAGAAAGATGACACAACAGAACAACTTACCGAAGCCTGTAACCAGAAGCAAGAGGAATAGTACATGTAAATAAGTACCCTAATTAGAATATCACTACATAAATGGATAGTGGTAATAAATCAACTGCCCTCATTCATGATTTAATGAAATGCAAATTTCCATTTGCTTCAAAATCAAACTTAAATAATGCAGTTTATGAGCATTGCTACTATTGAAACCCCATTAAAGCTGACAGTCAAAAAAAAAAATTAAAATATTCTTATAATAGTCTTGTTGATAATCTCATAGGTGTTCAAGACAGCAACATTCTTAACATAGCAAAGTTGAATTGACTGAATAGAATGCTAAAATGAATAGCATTTTTGGGTGCAGAAAAACATTCTCACACATAGCAGGGGTTACTATATCTGATCAATGCTAAACAAGGAACATTTTTTTTCATCATTAAAATCCACTTGTGACTTCACTTTTTTGCTTGATTGTCCATTATTTTCAGGAAGGGAGAGGTACACACAATTCATATGGAGACCACACTTTTTATACAGTTATTACTGTATTACATTTATTATTGCATTTATTATGTACAAGTTCTTCCTCCCATACCTCTTTTTGTGTAAAGCTTGTTAGAATCAAGTAAAATGTTATAAAGTTAATTAAACTGTGGCAAATCTGGATATCAGTACCATTTACGGTACATAGGTGTGAGAAAAATAACAAATATATGGTTGTTGAGATCTTACAATAAACCTAGCTATGACAGTGTGACACAAGTGCCCCCACTGACATTCAAGTTTTAAGTCATTTTCTGTAAGGATTTGCAGTTTGCTATAGTATTGTACAAATTCAAGCATCTGGATTTATCTGTTTATCTATTTTTTGTTTATTTTTGAAAATTAATAGTTTCTTAATAGTCTATGACAAATTAGGGAATACTAGAGCTGATTTTAGAGTGATTCCCCTTCTCAAAATATGATGACACATTCAGCAGACAACACATTTCTGGAAAAAAGAGATGTCAGAAACTGACAACAGAAAACATCTCCTGAATTTATAAGAAAGTGGAATGACATCGGCACAAAAATTTTGGGATATAACAAACTAAGATCTACTGTTTACGATAATCTGAAGAGATTTTGACAATAGAAGTTTGAGATACAGTGTCTATGCAGGATCTGGATGGAAGAAAATGTTTGATGTGGGCTGTACAAATTGCTACTTATCCAGTCTATACGAAAGTTTTTTGGTAACACAGGACATTCAGTCCTATGTACTCGAGGAACACACTGGACCAAACCAAATTTTCAGACCGAAAAACCTAACATAAGAAAGTGAAACATGTATCAAGAGGCCCAGGGGCCACATCGTTCACCTGAGGATGCTTCCATATAAGTTTCATATTTTCAAGCACAGTGGTTCTTGAGAAGAAGATTTTTAAATGATGCCATTAATTTTTCACGAATTCATAATTATCTCCCCTTGGAAGAAGGCGTGGCCCTTCATTTGAACAAACTTGAATCCCCTTTACCTAAGGCTACTTTGTGGCAAGTTTGGTTGAAATTGGCTTAGTGGATCTTGAGAAGAAGATGAAAATGTGAAAAGTTTAAGACAACGACAACTGTCACAATGACAACAACGACAACGGACAAATTTCCATCAGAAATCTTCAGCCAAGGCGAGTTAAAAATGCAGAACCAAGGAAATCTTATGGTCCATGCCGTTTTAATCACACTCATTTACATACTTTGATTTGTGCAATATTTTCCTAATTAATTCATGTTTTTATGACTCCCTGTCAAAATAGTAAAACTCAAATCAGACACTGAGACATCAAACATTCCGGTTCTGATGTACAAAATGAAGCATCAGAGCTGAGACACTGTGATGGTCCGATGTCTTTCGGAGCTTATCATCCTCAGTAGTCTGCACAACAAATTGCAAGTGAATGTGTGCAGAGAGGGTCAATATTTTGTCCAAATGGACAATGAGTCGGACTTTGGCTCGAAGCAATTATTTTAACATTACTTAATGAGTCAAATTTTGTATCCTAAAGTGAAAGATTTGAAAATATGAATATAGCAAAGATAATTATAACAGTTTCAACAGCACTGTAAAGCAAGAAAAGACTAAAAAATATAAGTGCCACAAAAACAAAGGTTGTTTCTTTTTTAATCTTCGCCTTTCTTGATCTTTGAATGAATAACATTTAAGTGAGAAAGATAAGGTATTCCGTCTCATTTTTATTTATCTATTATTCACAAGTCTACCTGATCCTTAGAAGCTATGAAAGTGCTTTTTGTATGATATATTATCAAAATTCTTGCATGAATCTCTTATTCAATTGTCCTTTCAATTACATTATTAACAATGATTAACTATCATAAGTGAACAGCAAAGGGAAATGACTTTTCCCAGTAAAATACAAACTAATAGAGTCCTGCCCAGCACCAAAACAATTGACCAAGTGGTCCAGAATGTCCCCCCAATGTAGTAAAAATACACTTGTTAATTACAACTTTGTACTTTGTTTGCCCAGGAGAAAAGAGAAAATTTTTCAATGAAATAATGCATTTTCACTAAAGGTTCAACACAGCCTAGCCCTAACACCAAAATCCCTGACCCAGGGGCCATGAAATTCACATTTTTTTTAAAAGCACACTTGGTCATCATTACTATGATTACTATGAGCACAGATGATCAGGGCTCAAAGTAGACTTTGGGACAAGGCCTTTTGTTTGAACAAACTTGAATCCCCCTCATCCAAGGAATTGGTCCATTGGTTCTGGAGAAGAAGATGAAAATGTGAAAAGTTTACGACGATAACGACGACAACAACAAAGCTTTTTCAGATACGCTAATTCCCAGTTCAGACAAAAAAGAAAATAAAATCTGATGTAGAGCACTATGGTATGCATACCATAGCTGCAGGCACTCTGTATATATACACGTATGTGCAAGTAGATATGGGCAATATTTTTCTCACTAACTTTCATAAGGTCACTCAACTTTGAACCTCAAGGTCATAATATTACATCAAACCATTACTGATGTTTTCCAGAAGAGCAATCTAGAGAGGATCATTATGCATTGATCTAACATCAGCTGGGGGGGTAACGGTAAGGTTAATCATGAAAGTTTTTGAGATGGACTGGGATTTCTATTAGCATTTTTCCAATTTACAAAGTCTTTTGTGTTGACCATTGGAGGCATCAACTACTAATACAGAAGATGGCCACTTTCAGCCCTTAAATCAATACTGCCTAGCACCATATTTTTCTGCTGGATTAATTCTATGATTCAATTTGACACAGCTTTCATCCTTACTTTCATTAGTATTTTATGTGTAAAAAATAAATGGTCACTTGGCGTATGATTGTATTCATTTATACACATTTACAACCAAACAATTATTGAAGGTGAACAATATATTCCTTGGAACTTTGCCTTGGAACAATCAACAGTGATTCAAATGGTTATAAAAAGATTGAATAGATCTTACCATATCAAAACAATGTTTAACAAAATTTTGAATTATTTGGACAAATGATATAATTTTGGAGATTTGATGTTCTTGAATATATTTACTATCTATCACTAATTAATTTAAGATTTTTTTAAGAATATCAATTCATACTTCAAAACCATCATTCCTGTGAAACTCCCTGCTTTAACTAGAAATATCCTCACAAGACTGACTTCCTCTCTAAATCTTGTTGAGGGAAGGTAGAACAATTGTAGACATAAATTCTGTTGTTTGGGCAGAGTATGAGAGTATTACATCTTCTAAATATGACTTCACTTTGGAGCCCTTACCTTAATTCTCCCCACAGCCTCTTGTGCCTGCATCATCCTCATTGCTTTAGATGGTTGGCCCTCGGAGATCAGCTGTGTAGACCCCAGATACCGAGCACGAAACAGTACACCTTCTATTAAGACTGATGGATTTTCAGGATCGTGTATGGAAGCTGAAAGAATCAGCATTGATGCAGTAAAAATCTTGTAAATATAAATGGTCAAGCATACATTTCTCAAATTTATGTACATGCAAAAACATAGCACGAATTAAGTGATCAAATTAAGTTGTATCTCAAGGTTAAGTACATTATGAAGATTTTCTGGTTGCTGTTCTATAAAGCACATACATAAAACTCAAGCAAGATATAATTTTCAAAACATAGTTACAATATCCAAAGAGGTCTTGTTCATTTCCACAGCAGTTAGAACCACTACTTGAAACTTCTGAATCTCTGAGTCATCAAGTTCTAAATTACTGTGTTATGCACATTTTATGCATGAAATATAGAGGGACTTTTAATTAATTGGTTAATAGAGTCTCCATAAGTCAATAATTTGTCTATGTACTGGAAGCTTTTCAAGAACTGGTTTTTCAATGTTGATACATATTTTTTTGTTTTCATGCATGTGACACTATTTATTATATTATTATATTGTTTTTAGCAGTAATTAGAAAAAAATTTAAGATTACAAATTTAAAAAACAAAATTTAACCAACCCCACTTGTACTTAATTCCCTTCTAACTTTCCAACCCCTTTCTACAAAAATGCTGAATTTTGGCAAGGTTTGGTCAAGGTAAAAGGACAGACAACCAGACATACAGATCAATAACAGCATAAACTCCAAACATTAATCTCAGACACACATTAGCAATTTTTTATTTATTTGTAAATAAAATTATCTTCGTAATTTTTTTAAAAAAATAAATACTTCAGTAAAATGTCCAGATATACAGCAGAAGATAGAGTTTGTTTTCATGAGGTCCATTTTACAAGTAAGGGGGTCACTTGTAAAAATCATAGGTACTTTAATTAACACAAGAACCAGAGGTGTAATATGAAATTCCTTATTAAAAACAATTAATTCAACAGATGTATCTGCTAATATAGAGGCTGTGCTTCAGGACATAAATTTCATGCCTTGATATTCTTGCCTAAGCAGAAACCCAGGTAGCCATTAGCAGACACTTCCTAGTTAATACATCACTTCCACACTGACTCACAGTCTAGATGCACCATGTTTAGTTCAGATGGATATTTGTACCATGAGAATAAAAATACATGCACCATTACCAATCCTTTCAACTGGGAAATTCATGCTCTTTTTTTACCATCCATAACAGGAAAAAAACACATGAAGCAATAAAAATGTTAGTGGAAAATGTGTTATTCAGTGTATAAAACCATTAACAGAAAAGCCCAACAAATACTAGCCCTTAAAACTGATGAGAGTGATTAAAGGACTATATGCAGTGAGACTATATCTTCCCCTTAGATGCTTATTAGAATCACAAGTTCAAATAATTGCTTTATTTTTTTTTTCTAATATGTTTTTCAATTATTTTTCATATTTACTGAAGTTGTCCAAATTTATCCTCAAATATTTTCAAGGTTGACCAAAGACTGGTCCATTCTGAGATTTTTTCAACAGCATAATATAACAATGTACTTTAAAATCTTGCTTTGAAGCTTACATCAAAACTATGAATGTACATTTTCTTTCACGAACCATAAAACTGATGTAATAAAAAATGATATCATAATGAATCCAGTTTTTCTACTGAGGCTAAAAAAATGTGTGTTTCTGGTAACCCCACCAACCCTAATTTCTACCCACCAACCCTTCTACTTTTTATTCCAAATCCATATTTTGAACCATACTTTTGTTCACTTGAGCAGTTTTCTTTTAGTGCAGTCAATAAAATGTATGTCTCAGATACTGTAAATTTATTTTTAAAGATTACACTTGTTTTTCGTGTATGTTTATTCATATATATGTATGTATATATGACAAAAAACAGCTTAATTTATAATTAATTGATGCTTTCAAAATTAAAAGTAAAGATAAAAAAAGTTATCACATACCTACCTAATATAATTTTTTTTGGCATGTAACAGGAAACACACATTTTTTATTTGGCCTAAAATGAATTCATGTTTATCCTTAGTTTCCACTGTCTTTACTTGACACACGGTTGTGAAAAATGACTCTCACTGCATATAGTTCCTTGAAATTAGCAGAGTATGATGCTGTATATATTGAACAAGCTTCCAAGACAATGTAAAATTGTTATTGTGCTAGCACTTACCACAAAACAGTAATTAGCTGATTATTAGTAATGAGCTCCATGATTCAGTGCATGAAAAACAATGGGAATATTGATGTTACTTGGTGAAATTACAAAATCTTCTCTGACACGTTGCACAATATGCAGATCAACATGGTAGTATAACTAAAGCACTGTTAGAGTATGAGTGAGTTTAGAAACAATCATTGTATTTCAAACATCACTGCTTCACAGATAGCTTTTATGGTGTTCATATTTTAATACATTGGATGTCTTTCTATCTAAACATATTTTAAATTACAAAATGTTACACTTAAATTACAGAATGTTACATAGGACAAGAACAGTAACTCCTACAATAGGTTTAATATCTGTAAAGATTGTTCACAACATCATGTACCAAGAGAAACAACTAACTTGAGAACATCTATGAAAGATAACTTTTTAAGCATTAAGCTTTTAAGCAAAATAGGAATTTTAAAATGTAGTGCAATATTTACACACTAGTACAAAGAGAACAACAAACTATAGTTTGTGCATATGTTCTACTCTATCAAAAATTTTGCTGTCTATGAGGCTTTGCAGTAAATATCAATAAAATATTAATTTAACAAACATCTCAAGTTTTTATACAACCATTTTTTTCACCAAGATGAGAAATCATAATTCATACATTTTGTTGATAGAATCATCCCCCATAATTATCATTTAGTCATTCAAATTGTTAATTTTTTTAAAGTATTGCTTAAAATTGAAAAAAAAATCATGATCAACCTGCATTTTCCCCTAGAATTTTACAGGATATATCAAGTTTTATAAAACTAATCAATAAACATGAAACTGTGCAAACAAAATTTCATTAATAAAGAAATATATTAAGGCAGATAATCAAGTGTATGTACACTGAAGAGATATGACACTATTATACATGTGTTACAGGACTTACCAGGAGTGTGGCTGTTTTTTACCATTGTCAATATATGAGCTACCCAATGAGCAAATATCAATATCATTTACAATGCTTTTTATATTTTTGAATTTTATTAAAAATTTCATTACTTCTCTACTATTCCCTCTGCTACAAATATCAATGGCCTAATAATTCTAATAATTTTTCCTTGATTTATCATTTCACCCTGCCCCAAAAAATTTCTTATATTTTGCATTGCTACTGGCATACATGTTAACTCTACCACTTTAGACGGAAGTCTACCGCTTTTTAACTGCATCTTCAGCCTACCACTTTTATTCGTAAATCTACTGCTTTTCTACAAAGTCCTTTTTGGTTCACTTGGTAGCTGTTTTTAAAGCCACTCGTCATAAAATCTCGTTAGATATTGGGTGATTTGGGAGCATACAAACACTTTTTTAAACCAATGTTTCAAAAGATTTCAAGCATGTGTTTGATAATGACTGGTGCACAAATCTCCATGATTACATTGGTTACAATAAATTTTGTCGATATCCCAGCCAATAAAATGGGAGATATAGTATTCTACAACTGGATAAAAACTTTTGACAACCTTCAAATAAGTAATAAAGGGAATCAGCATTCATTTACCAGTAATACTTTTTTACATCTATTTTTTTTAATGAAAGATAAGAACTAGTTTTAGATCTGAATTAAATAATGTCATCATGTACTATATTTGACAACTGAATGACGTTCAGAATTATTGCTTCCAGGCTAGATCAACAAAGAACACTCTTCATAAAGGCTAAATTAAGCAGCCAATCAAAGCCTAAGTGATGAGTATGAAAAATATTTATATTTGTATATTTTTGTCAAAGGTGTCTCTGTCTTCTTCATTGCAGTTGATATTTGAGTTTTAATTATTGCAGTGGTCATTTTAGACCATATACATCTTCTTAAATTAATGCGTTAAACAACGTGCGCAATGCTACCCCTTTGAAGGTCTGGATCTCCCTCTTTTTCATCATAGTAGGCTAACATGTATGCTACTGGTATTGATACATTATTCAAGTTTCACTTTAGTTAAGATACAAAACAAACAAAGGTTAAATTCAAACTAGAACTGTCCAAAAGGGACAAATACCCCCCGCTGGGTTTTTCAGAGGTGCCAAATCACTAATATTTCATGGATCAAAGAGGTGTTCACAATTTTCTCATTAACATTTAGAGTGAAAAAATAATTGCTCATTATATTTTTTTTAAGAATGAAACTAAGGAACAACCTAATAAAACATCAATACCAATACATTGTAATTACATTGTTTTTAATACATTGAAAAAATAAATTGCAACTATCTGTCATCTTTTTGACATTCTGCAAATTGATTTTTTGAAAAAAAAGATCAATTAATTACAAAATCAAATTAATCTTGATAACTTTATATCAAATTCATTTTAAAAATGAAAGGCTGGTCATCCTTTAACTATGTACTATGACAGACAATAAATTACAATGAAGAGAATTAAAGAACAGAGATCTTTAGATTCCCAGGAGATATAGATAACACATGCTTGATCAGAGATGCCCTAACAGCTTCCCACACTGAACTCATTAATTAATCTTTAACTGGATGCATGTCCACTCATTACTCCCAAGGGACAAATGGATTTTCACTATCTGCTGTGTAATGTAAAAATTGTTTTTAATACTTGGTGATTTTTTTTTGTTTTAATGAATAGTTTTAAGCTGTAGTTCACATTTTTGTACAGATGTTCTAGATTCTGTGTCTCAAACCTTAGAAATAAACCCAAAATGACTAAGTCAATAAAAATGAAAAAAAAAAAACATCTGTAAAATGCAGAAAAATTACCAAATAATGTTGAAAATACCAGGTGCACATCTTCATATGGTAAATAATGAGTGTACAAATTTTCATACAATTCTATGAAATAGTCTTTGAGAAAAGGTCAGGACAAAACCACATAATAAAAATGAAAAAAAAAACACCTGTAAAATGCAGAAAAATTATTCAATCATGATGAAAATACCAGGTGCAAACCTTCATATGGTGAATAATAAGTGTACAAATTTTCAGACAGATCTATGCAATAGTTTCCGAGAAACGCTCTGGACAAAATCTTGTCTACAGACAGACGGACAGACAGACGGACATGGTGATTCCAATATACCCCCCTAAACTTCGTTTGTGGGGGGTATAATTATAGATCTAAGGCTGAAGATTTGAATTGATATTACTCCTATGAAATACTAATGTTAAGTGTTACACCTTGGTAAATACTGTAGTGTAGCCAAGATCAACAGTCAACAGACACAAACATTCCTCTAATTAAACTTAGTAATGTATATATACTTTTCTTGGTAATAACGTTTAATATTTATGAATAATTTAAACTTAGAGGTACAGTGAGTAAGCTTTCAAAATTAACCCCATTCCCACCCCCTTACAATTTCTTTAAAGTGCCCCTATACAATTTCTAAATGTGATCTTAAAACTTGAAAAAATGACATTGGTTACACTTTTTCTGTCAGTGACCTTGAATTTGCCAAATGATCAAGGCACCTCTTTAATCACAAGCAATGTTTATGTCAAATACCAAATTTCAATTAGTCTCCATACGAGAGTTATGGACTAGACACAGAAAGTATACTTTTTCAGTCAGTGACTTTGAACTTGTGAGAATGACCTTGGGTCTAGGTTAACACATATTCTCAGGTCAAAAGCAATCTTTGTGATAAGTATGAGTGTCTAATGTTTTCCAGTACAAGATATGGTACAAATAGGAATTAAACATTTTTTCTCAAATGACCTTGAACTTAATCAAATGACCTTGGGTCAAGGTCATGACACATCAATCATTACGTGTGGTATGAACTTCCAATATTTCCTCGTTACGAATTTATACGTCATTCACAAATTTTATACCTTTTTTCTGCCACCTTGAACTTCCAAGAATGACTTTAATGACACATCCTCAGATCATGAACAATGTAGAAAGTATGACCTTTCAATGTGTCTCCATAACAAAGTCATGGGCTGGATATTATTACATAGACTGACAGCTAGACTGAGAGACAGCGTTATTCCTATATACCCCCAAACTTCGTTTGTGGGGGTATAAATATTCTAAGGGGTGGGGAAAAAATAATAGAACCAAAATTTTGCTAGTATAGTACCACATCCCTGTTTGCCCCTCTCAAAGGGTTTATTGCTCACCAAAGCAGAAGGCTCAAATGAGCTTTTCTGATCAAAGGGTATCTGGCAAATGTCTGTGGTCTATCACGTGTCATCTCTCTGTGGCCCAGTGGTTCTTAAGAAGTTAAAAAATGTGAAAAGTTTAAGCATGTACAGATGGACAATGGACAAGTGATCAGAAAAGCTCACTTGAGCTTTTAGTTCAGGTGAGCTAAACATCTCTCGGTTAGACTCACATGTGCATTGTAGCCCATGAGTCTCTTGTTAAATACTGATTTTAAGATTTTTAAGGTCTTTTCTAAGAAACCTAAGAGTAAAATGTTTAATGTATAGCATTCTTCAAATGAACAGCTGCTCATTTTTGAACATATGACCTTCCACTCATTAGCCGAAACACATCCTAACTCTAGATCATTTATAAAATATTATTTCAAAACTCCTCATTTTATGACAAAATCATTTAATTTTCAAAAATATCTTTAAATTTTGTCAATTACTTTTCTATTAAATCCATATGCCTTGAAAGTTTGCCGTCTTAATTTCCCTATTTAGACCCCCTAGCAATACAATTTTTAACATGGTGGGGACAACATCTAAAAAGACTAATCAGCAGTGTCAGATTGTGAAGTGAGTTATTGCCCTTTTAGAAAATCTCTTACCTGAGGAGGCAAAGAATCTAGCAGCTACTACATAAATACACTGCCTGCCTGTGCTAACACTGCTAGCTTTAAAAAAAACACCAGTCATTTAATATGAAATTGATAGCTTACATGACTCACTCTCACCTTCTTTAGCCTTAGTTCTTCTTTCTTCCTGCTGAAATGAATCAATCTGTTCAGCACACACACACTTAAGACATAGTATGTGCAAAAAATACAGACCATTTTATAATACAAATCATTACTATCATTACATTTCATATAATACAACTGAATGATTCACTCTAATTGTACAGATAACTCCCTTTTTTGGAGAAGAGTAACCAATAATGGATATATATCCAATTCTCCGAGTGATAGTCATCATCATGTCTAAAGACCAGCATATTCTTTGTGCTATTATTAAAGGATGTTCCGACATTTTATAAAATTCCCTTATGTCTTCAGAAGCTATGATTATTTGAATCCTCTTACACTCTGAAGCTTTAAGGAAAAAAAAGGTACTCCTTACTTGTATAAATTTATCATGAACTCACCTGAGCACTTCTATTAACTGGGGGCTGAGTTAATTCTGGAATGTCTACCTGACTGTCTTTCTGATATTGTTTTTGTAACAAAACATCTGTCTCCTCATCTGTATCAAAGTCTACAAGAAATATCCAAGGCTTATTTACAGGTCAAAAATGGTTAAGGACATTTCAAAATATTTTTTTTTTCATCTTTAGACTTCATGCATGTTCATATCATACAGCACGATTTATTTCATTACATTAGATGCAAGGACATGCACTCAAAAGTAGTCATCATTTTTTTTAACAACATTTATCATGTCAGTTTTATAGCAGGCCATTCCAAGTTCAAGCTTTCTTTCAAGTTGAAAAAAAATTACATCATGTGAATACATAACCAAAGAAGAAAGTAAGCATCCAATTAAATACCAAATAAAATACCCAAAGATACAACATATACAATTGTTTTGGACTTGAAAACTTTCGGAATACCTCCTGGCTTTTGCTTGACATATGACGTTTTAGAGGGCGCCTCAACATCACTGCCATAGTCATCAGTGTCAGACTCAGAATTAAGTCGATTGCGCTTTGAGTAGTTATATTCATTTGAATCTGAGCTACAGTCACTTTGCATTTGATTATGGCTAGAGCCGTTAACAGCCACTTGTCTAGAGCGTCCATGATCAAATGAATCATCGCGGGGGAGGGACGCATATTTTTTGCCTTGTATGTTGCGTGTATATTGTACTCCTTCTTCATCATCATCCGAATCATAACCTAGAACAAAAGAGTTGAAAGCATGCACTAGAATGAACTCATACAACATGCGTTTATATAGTTAAAATTACATGAAACACAAGGTAACATAAAATGCATGTCTACATGTAATACATGTATGAACATTCTCATTTGAAGCTTGATCTCAGTAGAATTGTAATGTATCATTGTCTATGTATTCCATTCTGTAATTCATATATGAATTTAAGGTGGCTATGAGGAGCTTCACAGTGAAACTGAATTCATTTTTTTTTTTTTTTGCTTAATAAACCATTCTTCAAAATCAAAATTAAATATTATGATGAACAAAGTTTTATAAATTTTATTTACATCAGACGAAAACTGTAGCAAGTGTAGCAATCTGAAAAATTGTTTACAGATGACAAGAATAATAATTTACCTCAAAATAATGGGGTTTTTTTTTTTAATAATGATGAAGAGTACATTTGAATTTTTTTATGCAATTGATATGGTTTATTATCTTAAAATGTGTACCTGACTCCTTTTCTAGCTTTTCATATATTTTACAAAATAGATCTATTTCACAAAATAGATTGATCTTTTTTTTTCACCTTCAATCTCATCTATTCATGGTTCCAATGTTAAAAGGTTCTGAAGTTATGGCCTGTAGTTTTTAATGAAAGGGTCAAGTTCAAATTTTTGATTTTGTGCATCTTATATTAATCTCATTGTTCTCTGTTCCAAGTCTAAAAGTCAAAGGGTTCTGAAGTTATGGTCCAAACAATTGTTTTAATTTGAATTTCATTTAAAAATTTGTCAACGTAAAATATTTTAATACATTCATTGCATTTCATCTTTATCTCATCTTTTTATGTTAAAAATTCAAGGTCTCAATGTCAAGGCATTCTAACATTATAGCCTGAATTTTTTTATTCCATTTTACACTTGATTGAAGAAATGGGTCAAATTTTTGATGCAGTGCATCTTATCTTAATTTCATTGTTCTTTGTTCCCAGTCTAAATGTTAAACTCAAAGGGTTCTTAAGTTGAGGCCATTTTTTTTTTATTTGATGTCCTAATTTCAAAGGGTTCTCACATTTTGGTATGGGCAATATTTGATGCAAAAAATGTGTCAAGGTCAAAAATTAAAATGGGAAGCACCCCTTCCTAATTTAATCTTTCCATGTTCAAAGTATGAAGTAAAATATTCAGAGATTTCCTAAGTTACGGCCAGCATAATATTTAGAGAAAAATATCAAGAAAAGAAATCCAGCAAGTGGTCCATGAGCCACAACACTCACCTGAGTTATTATATGGCCCTGCCGTTCTTCATTCAGAAGATTTATTCACTATATATTCCTTTGTAAAACTTTAATTGCCTGTTGTGGAACCACCCTACCCCGGGGGACCATGATTTGAATAAACTTGAATCTACACTCCTGAGGATGCTTCCATATCAATATGACTAACCAAGCCTCTAATATTCTTGAAGAGAAAGACTTTTGAAGACTATTTCCTATATTTCCTACGTAAATTTTAATCTTTCACTGTGGCCCCACCCTATCCTAAGGGGGTATGATTTGAACAAATTTGAATCTACTTCACTGAGGATGCTTTCATATCAATAAACATTATCATGCCTGTACTACTCTGAAGAAGACTTTTTAAAAGATTTTTTTCCCTTTTGATTCCTTTGTTAAACTGTGATCCCCCATTATGGCCCAACTCTACCCATTGGGGTCATGATTTGAAGAAATTTGAATCTACAATACCTAAGGATGCTTCCTTATCAATACCACTAATCATGTCTTCGCTGTTCTTGAGAAAAAGATTTTGAAGATTGTTTCCTATAAATTCTTGTGTAAAACTTTGATTGTCTGTTGTGGCCTCATCCTACCCATGAGGGTCAAGATCTGAACAAACTTGAATCTACATTATGTAATGAAGCTTTCATGTAAGTTTCAACCCTTCTGGCCCAGTGTTTTCTTAAGAAGATTTTCAAAGATTCTTCCTATAAATTCCTATATAAAAAACTTGATTGTCTATTGTTGCCCCATTCTATCCCAGGAGGTCATGATTTCAACAAATTTACATCTAAATATGTAATGAAGCTTTCAATAAGTTTCATCTTTTCTGGCCCAGTGGTTCTTGAGAAGACATTTGAAAGTTGCCATTTAATTCTCTTTAATCCCTAATTATCTCCCCTTGAAAAGGGGTGTGGCCTTCATTTGAACAAACTTAAATTCCCTTCACCCAAGGATGCTGTGTGGCAAGTTTGGTTGAAATTGGCCTAGCAATTTTGGAAAAGACAAAATGTTAAAAAGTTGACAACGCAGATGACAACAAACAGCAAACAAATTTTGATCAGAAAAGCTCACTTGAGCCTTCAGCTCAGGTGAGCAAACAAAAACCAATATGTCTCTCAACTGAAGGGTATAAGAATTAAAAAAAAGAAATCATAAATTACTTCTGAGTCTTGATACACAATTCTTTATATATATCATCTGACAAGGATTGGTGAAACTTTGCAAGATATGATCCAGACATGAATGCAGAGTAACTTATATTAGGGTGTCGACAAACCTCTATCCCAAAGATGCATCATTGACAAGGTTTCATGACTCTAGTCTCAGACTTTGCAAGATATGACTCTCAAAAATTCTGATTCCAAAATGAGGTCATGAGTATCCTACTTTGGGTGTGATATCCCTCCTCCCCCTAAGATTCAATGATTCCAATGATTCAAGGTCCCAAACTATGATTACCTGGAATCATTTTAATTCATGGGGGTAAATATTCATGGACATTAAAAATTTTACTAGTTCGTGGGGTTGTAATTTTGTGGCTATCACTTTTATACAAAAAAGATTCCGTAAAGTCATGTCTGGACAAAGTTATTGTTTGTGGGGATGCATGAGAGTCATTCAAAAAAACTTAAGACTTTTGTCATAACTTTTATATATAATGAATTTGAACAACAAAATTCAAACATATCGTAATATAAAAACAAGAGGCCCAAGGCCCTTGAATCGCTCTTCTGATAAACTGTACAACCTATCACTTCTATTTGAAGCCTCTAAGTATCCTGTATAATTAGATAAAGCCTTGAAATTCCAAAGGTAGGTCATCATGACCTACATTTTAGATGAAACACTGAGAACCCAAGATGATTCTCAGCCAATTAGTACCTGAGAGTTGGTCATGGTGACCTACTTATCACTTGTCATTTCCTGAGGACCCAAGATGCATCAACTAAGTTTGATGATTCTAAGCCAATTAATACCTAAAATAATTTTAAAATTGTAACCATAAAATTTCAAAAGTAGGTCATAGTGACCTACTTTTAAGATGACATACTTTGAGGACCCAAGATGCATCAACTGACAAAGTTTGATGATTCTATGTCAATAAGTACCTGATATATTCAAATAAAGCCATAAAATTTCAAAAATAGGTCACAGTGACCTCCTTTTTAGTCGACTAACTCTGCAGACCCAAGATGCATCAACTGACAAAGTTTGATGATTCTATGCCAATTAGTACCTGAAATATTTAATTAAATCCATAAATTTTCAAAAGTAGGTCATGGTGACCTTCTTTACAGTTGAACTACTCCGAAGACCCAAAATGCATCAACTGACAAAGTTTGATGATTCTTAGCCAATTAGTACCAAAAATATTTAATTATAGTCATATAAATTGAAAAGTAGGTCACGGTGACCTACTTTTCAGTCAACCTACTGCCAGGACCCAAGATATATCAACTGACAAATTTTGATGATTCTGAGCCAAACAGTATCCAAAAATATTAAATACAGCCATAAATTTTCACAAGTAGGTCACAGTGACCTACTTTTCAGTTGTTGTACTCCGAGGACCCAAGATGCATCAACTGACAAAGTTTGATGATTCTAAGCCAATTAGTACCCGAAATATTTAATTAAAGCCATAAATTTTCACAAGTAGGTCACAGTGACCTACTTTTCAGTCGACCTACTCTGAAGACCCAAGATGCATCAACTGACAAAGATTGATGATTCTTAGCCAATTAGTACCTGAAATATTTAATTATAGTCATATAAATTGAAAAGTAGGTCACGGTGACCTACTTTTCAGTTAACGTTTTTGGGGGACCCAAGATGCATCAACTTACAAAGTTTTATGATCATAGGCCTTAAAATGTCCAAATTATGCCTCTAAATTGCTTTGAAATCTAATGCCTGCAAAGTTCAAAAACTAGGTCACTGTGACCTACTTTTTAATAAATATGTTTTATGGCCCCAAGATGCATCATCTTACAAGATTTAATGATTCTAACCCTCTTGGTATTGGAATTAATGACCTTAATTGTTTTGAAAAAGATTAGCCATAAAATTCAAAAAGTAGGTCAAGGTGACCTACTTTTTAGTTGATGTACTCCAAGAACCCAAGATGCATCAACTGACAAAGTTTGAAGATCATAGGCCTTAAATTGTTCAAAATATGCCTCTAAATCATTTTGAAAAAGAATGGCCACAAAATTTTAAAAAGTAGGTCACCATGACCTACTTTTGAGTCAACATGATATGAGGTCCTTAGATTTATCAATTGACAAGATTTGATGATCCTAGTCCTTATAGTAAGCAAAATATCAACATTTTAATAAAATGTAAATTTTGGTCAACTTTGAAGTGACCTTGAGACCAGGCCCTTTGTCCCAGGGTAAATCCCCGTGCAAATTTTAATCTACAACATATCCTCATCCTTTTGTGTAAGTTTGGTGATAATCTGACCAGTGGTTCTTGAGAAGAAGATTTTTTAGCAACCAGTACTTTTGTTTCTATTTTCCTAATTATCTCCCCTTGTTTAAGGGTCACAACCCTAGATTTATCATAAACGAGAGGCATTGGGCCAAGGATACCCTGTGACAAATTTGACAATAATTGGCCAAGGGGTTCTTGAGTTATGGCCCATATTCTAAAAAGTTTACGCACACCGCACGCTGCACAAATGGCCATAGCATTAGCTCTTTGAGCCTTTGGCTCAGAAGAGCTAATTAACTAAAATTTAAAACTGCAAAATGGAATTACGGAGCATGATCAAAATTGAGTAATTCAGTTACAATACACTTTAAAATTTCAATAGTCATATCTCTAATAAATGATGCTTTAAAGAGATGAAATTTAAACACTCAAGTTTAGTATTGTCATATAATTTCAGATGCCAAATTGTAATGTTTTACAATGCATCATTAAAAAAAATCAATTTTAAAGTTTTCAATCAGCTTGAAGTTGTATGTCACTGTGACTCACTCAGGCAAACCCCAAGATACAACTTGCAAGGTCTGACGATTCTGGATTTCAGGATCTGGACACTATCTAATTATGTGAAACATATCATTCCCAAATGAGGTCACAGTGACCTATTTTTGGGTTGTGACACACCTTCCTCCCAAGATGCATCAATCACTAAGATTTGATGGCCCTAGGCTTGATAGTGTGAAAGATATGATTTTGAGATGAAAAAGTAAATGAAAGGCATTAGGGCATCTCTCTGAGTGCAGGCATTTGACTCTTATCAGTACAGAAAAGCTGATCCTTATTTAAAATAGCCAAACTACTTCCAGATTTACTTAATAATACATTACACAAATACATTGTATTCAGTTTCATGCAAGAAGGTACACTGTAGTACATGTATATAAGATATTATTATTCCAACATTGATCTGTCCATTTTTTTTACATTTCAATATAATTTTATGTTCATGCTAAGTTAGTGTTTTGATAATATACCTGAAAAATGCTCACCTGTGCATAGCATACAGATATAATTATATACATACTGTATTTTGTATGATCAAAACTACTAATATATGATTTAGTACTAATCTCAATACTTTGTTAGTATTATTATAAACTATTTATTGCTACGATGACATCTATAATTATTAATTCTTTATTTATACTATCTATTAGAATACAACATCTGCATTTCAATGAAATGAGACTGACATGCTACAATTTTTTGAATGTATGTAACACTATAGTGTGCAGCTAAAAACAGATATGACTGAAGTATTAAATCAACAAAATTTCTACATCTAAAATTCATTAAGTTTGTTTAAAACCCTTTATATATTTGATTAAATATTTTAAAGATAAAATTCATAAATCAGACTTTTTCCAATGACACTTACTCAGGAAAGGCACACTCATAAGAGCAGAACTCAGCAATTTTCATATACCAACAATGCCACATCACGTGACTTTGAACACAAAATTTGTAAATTATAGTTTAAAAGTGTCACACATTGTCTTACAACAAGCAACATTTGTGTCAAGTAAAAGTTTCTATTTTCTTGGATTTACAAATTATGTCAAGGAAAAACTTCACACATCCAAATCCTGTAAACTTATCCAAATGACCTTGACTCAGGATCAAGTCACATTTCAATGCTGTCAGGAAAGTATGTTAGACTATGAGCTTCTATAATTTCTACATTACAAAGTCATAGCCAAGATAAGAAATACCTGTACTTTTGTCTAATAGTATGACCTTGTGCAAATGATCTAGGATTTGGATTTTGACAAACCAATCCATGTATCAAGTAAAAGTTACTACATGTATTTTTTTTTTTTTTTTTTTTGCATTACAAAGGTATTGCTCTGACACAAGTTCACTTTTCAGATCAGAACTATGGCACACCTTTAGATTCAGGGCTCTCGATTCTCTATAATTGGGGCCGTTTAAAGGCCCCATTCCCAATTCAAAAAAGGTACCTTTTTCCCCAATTTAATGTTTTAATTTTCCCAATTGGTCACTTCATCAAATATTAAAGAACATGTAGTAAAATGTGTGGTTACTAAACTTGTTATTCATATTTCTCTATATTACAAAACAGAAATTTAATTGATAACAACCACCAGTAACTCAATATATAATGATTTTAATGGATATTGTCTAGCTATGATTTTCCCAAATTTCCTCAAAAGGTCGATAATTTTCCCAGTTTTCACGGTCCCGGCCCCAGTCCCAAAAACTGGTGTGAGAGCCCTGAGATTAAGAGAATCTGTCAAGCATAAACTTCTAAAAATGCTGCATTACATGAATTAAAGACAGGTCTGCATTACCACCGTTTTTTAAATCATTTTTTATCCTTGTGACATTTCCACATTGTCCCTAACTCATGATACATTCTGTTCAGACCAAATAAACAAGTGCAATTTGACTTTGTGAGACCAAGGGTTGCAAGAGATTGAGAGATCAAGAAAACATGTCATTTTGCTTAGTTACATAGGATAAAATATCAGGATCAGAGACTCACTTCGAAAGATCCAAGAACTTTGAGAAATAAAAGTTTGAGCTGTAAAGAGTCACCTATACTCATATCAACATGGTAAGTCTTGTTTATCCAAAATTTTGTTCGTGTATTTGATAAAAACGTTCTTTGTGAAGTCAGAGAAATTGTTACCTTAAAAAGAAATTAATCTGTCAGAATTATCATCATTAAAATGATGAACTTATTGAATCTATCATTTGATTGAAATAAGGGATCTCTTTATTGATAGCAAAAAGTGGGCCTTAATCTTGTACGTATTTTTCTCCTATGACAACTGAATGAATTTTCCTTTAAATGCAATGTACTTTTTACCGTAGGTTCTTACATTTCTATAAATGTATCTGAGCAACACCGGTGCTAAGCACATAATTATCAATTAGAATAAATGTCTGTGACAGCAATCTGCCATACCTCTAGGAACCTGATACTTCTTCCCATCATTCTTGCTATACTGGTTCTCCAACAGTTTGTCTTTCTCATTCTCCATCTGAAAAACTGTTTAAAACAAACAATGCATTTTCCTTCAAGAAATGTACTTTTCTCTTAGAAGTTAAAGAAATATTTTCAACAATTTTTTTCTGAAATGTTCATACATTTCAACCTCTGGAAATTCAATTGATATACATGTATTTGTATTGCATATGTAAACTGCTTACATGTTGAGACACATATATTACCCTTTTCCTCCTCTCTGAGTTTTGTGTCCTCATGCTGGAGTCTAGTAAGCTTTTCCTGCACACTCTCTAAATTTTGTTTTTTATCAAGATGAGACTCCTCTCTGCAAAAAAGACAGAGAAATACAGTAACATCTAGATGTAACACAAACATACTGTTCTAAATCTATCAAAGTATAACTCACTTACACATTAACCCTTCATTTCTCAGATATTTAATAACATAAACCATATTAATAAATTAAGTTTTGTACAGCCATTACTTTACCGTTTGACCCAAACAGGTTCATCTTCATCTGTATCATCTTTGTAAGGTTGTGTGGTAGTCTTGCTCTGTTGAATGGCTGTCTTAATATCAGCTATGGCAGTGTCTAATGCTTCTCTTTTGGATTTCAGGTCTTCCATGATAGCTTTTGTGTCCATTTCCTTTGGCTTACTCTTTTCCTTGATGCCATATTCTCTGTCCAGGTTTTCTAATTCCTGGTCTAAGTCTGCTTTCTGCTTTGAGCGTAGCCTTGCTGTTGGTGATTTGTAGACATTGTTTGATGACGGACCCTCCTCGGTATCACTGGTCTGACTGCTGGATAACCCATCCTCTACCATAGGCATTCCAATGCTGTTCTTCTCACCCTCAGAAATGATACTCTCAACTTCCACACTGTCACATTCTGTATTTTCTGGGGACAAGGAGAAGGCCTGCTTCTCAATAAGGGGACTATCTGCTGTGTCTAGGGGAATCTCAGTTAACATATCCTCATTTACATTCTGTATTGCATTTGGGTAATCCATTTTTTGTAGACACAACGTTTTCTCAGGTGAATTTTCTCTCGAGAAGTCATCCACATTTGAAAATCCACTTAGTGTCATACCATTTTTCTTGGCTTCTTCTGCACTAGAATAGGCCAATCTCATTCCTACATAAGAGTCCCCATCTTGAACTCTAGCATATTTCACATAGTCATATTCATTTTCAACTTCATTTCCAGGGGAAGATAATTTGTTCACAACAGTTTCCTGCTTTTCAATTTGTTTCACATTTTTGGCCTCAATAACTAAATCTTCCTCACTTTCTTGCACATGTGGTTGTATAAAACAATGGGGTCTCACATTGGCTATTTTCACCAATTGAACAACTTCCTCTTCTTCTATTGTGTCTTCAGTTCGATTTCCATCGCTTGTGTTACTTGAATTGTCAGCTGATTTGATCAAGCGATTATGAACTGACTTATCCAAATCTCTCTCAGCACTTGATCCTTCTTTCCCACTCCCAACAGATCCTTCTCTGTCACTCCCACTCCCTGTTGATCCCTCCCCTATCCTACATGCCAAACCTGGAGACTGTTTCCCTGACCTAATCTTAGGCTTTGCCCCCTGAACACTAAAAATTACACTGTCAATATCTTTTTCATAACTTTTGACTTCCCCCATCACTGGAATATTATTTCGAATTTCTAAACTATTTCTTTTGATAACTACCTGATCCTTAGGTAGACCCTCCTTTGCCTTCTCAGTCTGCACAAAACTACTTTCACTTTCACTTCCTACAACAGGTTGGTTACTGATTTGATCTGAATCATCTTTTGTCACCATAACATCAAGCCTTTCATTCATCACAAACTCCTCACAGGCATCAAGCTTACTTTTGGATGATATTGCACTTGGTACATCCTTAATATCACAGTCTAGGGTAATGTCTCTTGGGAATTCCACAAAATCATCAGGTGTTGAATCTGTACTTTCCTCACTCTCCTGACGAGATAAAACCACACCACTCCCCTCACCCTCCTCCAGCAGATTCTGATAAGAAAGGGTACTGATCTCACTGGGGTGCCTTGTACTCTCCTCCTCAAACTGCACCTCCAGACTAAAATTGTCACTGCGGGGAGAGAATGGTCTCCCTGGAGGGTCTCCTCCACACGCTCCCTCTGCTAAATATGGTTCTGATGGCTCAGGCTTTACATCATCCAAGTTGATCTCATCCTCAATATCAGACATAATGCTGAATCACACCTTCAAGAAAGAAATCAATGTGGATCAGAAAATGGTCTACCAGTACAAGTGCTGGTCTACTGGTCTCTTGTACTCTTTTTCTCTTATCATTTCAGGGCAATCAATAATTTTGCAACATTTAACTCTATGCAACAGCACTTGAAGGATACAATGAGTCATTACTTTAGTTGAATTATAAGTACTTACGTTGTTCTCCATTAATGTTTTTAATAATTGATTTACTTATGCACAAGAATGTAATACAGGTGTTTTTTCTCTTAATCAACCTTTTACATGGCTACACTTACAATTTAAATTATTATTATTATCATGGCATATGGAAGGTTTAACCATTTTATTCTCTTTCATGAATAATTTTGAAGTACTTCAGACATTTGTATAAACATCTAGATACATATACAGGGTGAGATAAGTTTATGGTCTGAAAAACTAGTAGAACATGAATACATGATCTACCAAAAGCACACATTTTTATCAAGCACTTTATATCTCTGAACATCTATAAACCTATATAAACATGAATGCATATGATATGCAAAAACATACTGATTTCTGTGTTGAAAAATATATGTAATTATCTATGAAATGGTTTTAAATCTCTTCTCTTTTACTGCAGCCCATTCACTGCTTTAAAACATGCATACATTCAGAATTCTTTCACATGAGTTATATCAAAGCTCAAAGGAGTTCTGCGAGATCTCAGAATGGTCTAATACCAGCAACCTGATTAAGGCATCCAAACAGAATATACATACCAGGAAATAGAGGCTGAACCAGTTGTTCATCTGTAGAACACCCTGACCATAATTTCTGGAGAGAGAGAAAAAAAAATCTGTATCATCTACTTTCGTAAAATTTGATGTTAAAAGGAGCAGCTTTTCACCCAATGAACTAACATCAATTATATGATGAAAGACAGACATCACTTTGGTTTAATTAATTATACATATTGTATCAGCACTTTAGAAAATTATGGTATGTAGTTCAAGCTTTATTTTTCAGTATTAATTATTCAAGCAATGACAGTACAAATTATTCAAGCAAGAACAAGTAATATATAATCGAAATTTAAATTTTGCATTTATTTATATATACTGTAGATTCCTAAATATATATACGAGGAATTAATTATCGCGTAATTACGCGAGAAGAATCACTCACGAAATAAAATTACTCGCTTTAATTTTTGTGGTACTGAAATCCATAAAAAATATCTTAATCAAGTGGCCACTCGCGAATTATACTTCTTGCAATTTGTTGTCTAAGGGCCATTTCACGATATTAAGTACTCGCGTAAAATAAGGAATCTACAGTATGCAGTCTTTCCTTGGCCAAACGCCAAAAATGGAAGATTTTATTATTAAATGATTGAAGTCACTCTTAAATCAAACAAGCAGAATTAAGTAATTTCATTAGTGATAGAGTTTCTAGTTCAGTTTGTGTTTTCAAGTGTCAATATAAATCACAATAACTTCTAATACAAAAAAAATTATGTCTTTGCACCAAATTGTAGTTCTGACTTTTGTTGAAAACAAGAAATTTCAGTAGCAAGGAATTATAGACATAAATATCTGTTGACACTGAAACAAAATAATCAGAAGCTGTCCTCAATGACAGTTTCCATAGCCATCCAAGTCATCCAAGCTTTGTGTCCACTTTCCCAACTTGTTTATTGATTTCTAAGGCAAACTATAAGCCTGCTGCATTTTCTAGAATTATCATGATTAGTGCGCTATTAAATTACAGAACATGGCAAATTTGAAAGCCAAATTTGAAAGCCAGGACAAACTTCATCAATAACTTCTGAAGCAACAAGCACTGTCTGACAGAGGGGTTTAAAATAGTTCAGGTTAATTTATCACAATGCTCAGATGCTAATGCTTTCCATTATCTTGACCTGACGAGTGTATAGTGAATTCTTTTATAGACATTGCTGACGACACCTCTTACCGTACTGGACTTCTAGCTTCCATGACACTGAATGAATTGATATCCTATTTCATTGAAACTCCTGGTAATACTGTATACTGTAAACCAACAATTATTCACGTCATCTTTTATTCATGATTAGTCCCTTTAAAATCAAATCCGCGACTAAGGAAACATTCTCTACAAATACAAAGCAAAATAAATGGTTCGCGGCGATTAATATTTGTGACTTAAAGTAGGTCGCAAAACTCACGGATATTTCTCGCATGCCAAAAAAAGTTGGTTTACAGGATATATATCAATATATATATAGAGAGAGAGAGAGATAATGGTATGGAGATACAAGAATGTTAGCTGCAAAATTATTTAAATTATTAGAATTACTGTGTGGTCTTTCATTTAAACAAATCTGAATCCTCTTCACCTAAACATACTTTGTGGCAAGTTTAGTTGAAATAGTTGTTAGAAGCTAAGAAGTTGTTGAAACTGTGTGAAGTTTACAGATGAATGAAAGGTACGGCTAGATAGTCAGTGTCAGCAAATGGGTGTTCAGAAAAGCTCCCTTGACTTACAGCTTATAGGTGAACTAAAAACAAAATCCATGCCATGAAAGTCAGTGTCAGCAAATGGGTGTTCAGAAAAGCTCCCTTGACTTACAGCTTATAGGTGAACTAAAAACAAAATCCATGCCATAAAAGTCAGTGTCAGCAAATGGGTGTTCAGAAAAGCTCCCTTGACTTACAGCTTATAGGTGAACTAAAAACAAAATCCATGCCATAAAAGTCAGTGCCTCTGGAGACAGAAACTTTGAAGATCAGACTTACATCATTATAATATCCATAATATTGTTTGCAACAAACCCTTCTAATATTTCATATACCCTCATCATACTTCTGTCCCTTATGTTATTGAATTCCATTGTGATGTACCTCAAGTATAATAATCTTAATGCTTTAGAATTAAAATTCTATTTTTTTTTTTTCCAAGATAAAAATTTACATTTAAAATTAGACTGAAAATTCCAATTAAAATTTTTCTAAAAAAGTGATATTTTAAATGCTTATTAGGCCACATTTTATTATAATTTATCTGTCCTGCCAATCCTGAATTCCAAGGAATAATAAAAAAAAATATAGTAAGTGTACTTCTTTGATGATTTACACAGGTAAGGTTCAATCAAATTCATCAATTTTTAAACACTGCTTAGCCAATATCAATTTACATAATCAATTTACATGCTTGAAGCACTGCAGACTAACATGGATAGTGTAAACAAAACAAACGGAGATCTTCAGCTAGCTGTTGCTTTGTATCTTGGTGGACTTGATTAAGATGAAGTGAGATGGTGCAAAGTGTAGGTAACTCTGTATTCAACATGCATGAACAAAAGGTCTATGGTGCCACTGTTGAGGCAAGTGCTGTTGTATACCATAAAACACTTTTGCATAGTTTACTCTTTAAACACTTTGATCCACCTCTTCAAAATGCACGAGACAGACTATACTATGACATCACATGACATTATATCCAAGTTGCATTTCTTTAACTGCACGAGTCAAAATAGGTCTTTTGCAATTTTGTAACAGAAGGCAATTAATTTTTGTTTCGTTTAAGCTCTCTGCACAAACTCTGTCATAATACGTACAAGATAACTGCAGAACTGTTTATTCGCCATTATGGCATGGAATCCTGGTAGTGAAATAATTCTGGGATGGATTCACAGAAAAATTTCTTGACAAATATACAGATTTTAATCGAATTCTCTCTGTTCTTACACTTTTGTCTACTGAGCTTGCTTCACAAGCAGCGCTTTGCATCGCTTGCTGCACACGCTATTAAGACATTTTAAATTATTGTGTGTCAGTGTGGAATTAAACTTGTAATGATGTAATCACTGAACTGGATTTGACAATGCTATATTCATATTAATTAAGTTGGGATATGCAGTCAGTGGAATCATTAGCTGCAGAACTGTAGCTCTCTCCTTGAGAAAATTAGGACAGACAAAGCAGAGAGCTACAGATCCAAGCATTGTAAAAACCTTCGATTTACACCGCCGCTTTTTTGTCGCTCACTTCTGCTATTATTTCTTGTATTTAATGCTTTCCCCTGCTTTAAAAGTGGTATCCAATAATTATCCATATATTTTACTCCTATTCCTGATACTTTATTTACCTTTCAACGGTCTCAAACAGCCCTTTATGGTTTTGAAATGTCGGTTTAAAGAATTCCCATTCCGACGTCCATGTTATTGGGGGTTGTGCGAAAAGAAGTAATTCAAAGAACATATACTTGTCAAGAAAATGTAAATAAAAATTTCAGGAGGTTTAAATATCATGTATATTGTCTATAAAGATTAGAATACAACATGTATGTAAAAAAGAAATGAGATAAATAAAACTCGGGCGTGTTGTTTTAGGAAGACACCAACGTCGACGTCGGAATGCATTTTTTAAACTGATATTACGGCCGTCTGGAACTGTTGAAAGGTAAATAAAGTGTCAGGAATAGGAGTAAAATATATGGATAATTATTGGATACCACTTTTAAAGCAGGGGAAAGCATTAATTACAAGAAATAATAGCCGAAGCGAGCGACAAAAAAGCGGCGGTGTAAATCGAAGGTTTTTACAATGCTTGGATCTGTAGCTCTCTGCTTTGTCTGTCCAAATTTTCTCAAGCAGAGAGCTACAGTTCTGCAGCTATGGAATCACTGAATTGATAGGGCTTAAAATTAATCAATTAATGCATTGTATTCTTTTTATTCACAAAGTGAAACAAACAATACTTGTGTAATAACATCTTATACATACAAAGAGAAATGTTAACTTCATTAATTTTAAATATTTTACAAGCTTATGGCCCTAAAACAGACTTGTTGAAAACAGACGGTCCTGTCGACAAGGCCATTAAAAAATGTGTCTGGACTGACAACTTTTAAGAAAATGCTGGTCCACATGACCGTTTGAAAAAAAATTGAGAGTTACACAAATTTAAAAAGATCGAGATCAGGGTGCACAGATGGTCACAAAAACAGAAGAGATCGAGAAGGATTTTTGGTGACAATGATCAATCAAACTTGTAACAGCAAAGACATAAAACATGTCACTTATGTCTTTGACTAAAGACTCTCCATCCTAAAAAAAGAAACTTGTGAGATTGAAGGCTGTTGAAAATAATAAAAGGCATTTTGGTGCAGTTATATATTTTTCTTTCTTGGCATCAAAATAAGGTACATGTATCTGATCTGACAAAACTTCATCTGGACAGAGAGAACATTTGAATTTGTGAGAACAAATGTCTTTCATGACTTCAAACTTTCGACAAGTCTGCTAAAATTCAGCCAGGGCAATATACTATTCTGTTAAAACTGATCTGTTTCATTTATAACTGTTCCTTAAGGTTGGATACCGGTACTCGGTACCAATACCGTACCGAATAGTTACTTCAAAAATACCGGTAAAATACCATTTCATTTAATACCGGTACTAATAACGATACTTCTTAATCTTTAAAACATTTTAGTTCGTTCAATTTGATTTAAAAAATAAACATTCCAAACTTGCTAAAATCGAATTCTCCGCTCTTTGAAAGGGTAGGCTAATTACATGTAACGAAATGGATTCTTAGAAAGATACTTACTTTCGACTGCCGATATTCGAGGTAAATCAATACGTATATTTTTTTTTATAAATCAAAATACATTCACATGAATCTTATTTTAATTTTACAGATAAAAACTTATAATAAATGTAAATTATAAAGGTAAAATGTCGCAAAAATGTGATCTATCCATTATCTAATGTTTTGTCATTTAGTGCGACCAAACAACAGTGGTCCTGACAACCGGGTGAAGCAGTCAGCCGATTTGTGCAAATTAATTTGTTTGGGATTCAATTGATTTGTTTTGTTGATCATTTATTTATTGAAAAGTTGAAATGAAATGTTTGTAATTTGAATATTAGGAATATCTATTTTTATATCTTAAAAGCATGGAACAAAGTTTATAAGCTCACTTTTGATTATATCATTGAAAGGTTAGTGAATGGTAAAAGCACATTTGTTATAAAATGAACCCTCATTCTTATTCATCAATGCATAGTACCGTATCGTTAAAAATACTGTATCGTTTCAAAAATACCGGTATGGTATCGTACCGTTTCATCCTTAACGGTATCCAACCCTACTGTTCCTTTAAAATTTTACAAATTTTAATAAATGTTTCACCCTTTGAATATGACATCAGATTATTGTTTGGTCATAAATATGCCTGAGGTTTCTTTGATTTGTCAAAATTATCCAAGAACTATCCAAAAAGTAAAATATTTTGATCCCAAGGTATTGGGGGTTGGGAGCTAAGTTTGATGAAATAACTTTTTTATTAGTCATAGAAATTGTTTGGAAAAAATAACATAATGAGACAAAGTAAATGCAGGCTACACATTGTGACATCATCTGCAGAAGGTGGATCAATAATTTGAGTTGAAGGATTAAACTTTGGTCATTGTCTAAACTTCATCAGTATAGACGACTTTCACATTCCTTTTGTGGGGTCAATATGGGGTCAAATGGTGTAACCCACTGTTTAACCAATATTATTAATTTTATGGGGCATATAAATTAAATCTGTATGTATTAGTGGTGTTCCAATCATCAATCATAATCGAAAATCAGTCGATTGCTGGCATAATCCAAGCCCTCAATTACAAAATTTTTATGCCAATTAATTGAGTTATTAATTTATTTTACAAGCATAATAGTTTTTAAGCTGAATATACCAGCCGTGACTTGTCTATTAACTTATTTGTGTATCGTAATGGTGCAGATGAACAGACTTTATATTCATACCTGGCAAACAACGCTCATTTCCAGGTATGGACGTACTTTGGATTCTACAAAATGAACGAAGAACCAGATGGACTAGATATAATGTTCCATCGTTAAAATGATATTGTCCTACGGACCAGGGCTTGTCCCGAGACACAGTTAGATTATTCTAACTACAGCTGGATCACAACAGAAAGTAGTTATTCACCCATTCTTACCATTTAATAAACTAAATTGACAGACTTTATAAATGTCCAATTATAATTGATAATTAGTTTGTTACAGTAGTCTGATCATCGATTATGAAATTCTTACCGATTCCCATCACTAGTATGTATAGGTTCATTATGTGTTTTATGCCCCATACTATATGGCAATACAGGAACGGTACAAAATAGTCCTAAAGCATTTGAAAGTTTAAAATACTTTAAGGGAGTTGCAAACGATATCATTAGATATAGTGAGAAAAATGAGAGTTACACAAACAAAGAGAGATAACTATTAAGTATGTGAAAGTTGTCTATAGATGGGACATTGGCATGTACAGTTAAGTCCTTAACAAGGGCAACATTGGGACAGAGATCAGAACATCTCATTTTTAATATTAAAGAGAACCAAATTCACACAGTAGTTGAATTGTTGTTGAAATAAATTAACCTAATTATTGGTTATAATTAATCAACATTTATATGCCAACATCATGAATATGCACTCAAAAATGAAATCTGCAGCGCACATGTCATCAGGGACGTAGGAAACAGCAGCTGCTTATACTCACAGGCAAATCAGGAATCGTTCCGAATTTGCATGCCCATTTTGACAATAAATCATGTTTAACACTTGCAAATAATTATCAAATTAGTAGTCAATGTAAAATTCTGTTGTTTTCATTCTCTTCGTCATCAATATTCAGAACATAACCATATAAAAATCAATATTTTTACTATCAATATGACATCATCAATATTTACCGTTTATTTCAGTTGATCCTCCCAAATATCCAAGTTATGCTTGAGAAAGAATGACTGGAACAGAATAAGTGTCAAATCTCACACTGATTAAAAAGGAATTTCTGGTAAAACATTTCAGTTGCCGCATCATTCTACAGAATTTACTAGTGCTGCCCTCTAACAGACGAAATAATATTTACAGGAAGTGAAGAGGTTTATCCGAAATATCTGACTTCACAGTGTTTATGTTTAAGATTTATTTTCAATTTGTTTTGATGTTCATTTACGTATTATTAATTATCACACATACTCAAGAATAGCATTAATGTCCTTAATTTATAACACCGAATTTTTGATAATTTCTCTTTGACCGTTTTTAGCCGGCTTTAATTTTATTATCTCTACAAGAGAGCAAAAGTTTTTTAAATAGAAAATTATATTATTATTATTGGATGTTCAATATCATGTTTTCTTTGTTGATAAAATATATTCATATTAGCTAATTATGAAGGTGATGTTTTGTGTTTATCTTTGCTGGGCGCATAGTTTATTCGACCCCATTTCACTTTGTCTACAGTCGTTTTATTCCATTGATAATGTTCCATCCAAAAACTATCCATTCTAATTTCAAACAATTTTTTTGAATAAAGCCTTTAAATTCTCAGATAATAAGCCATGATTATACTTTTTTTCATTTTTTCATTTTATTATTTTATTTATTTATTTATTTATTTATTTATTTATTTATTTATTTATTTATTTATTTATTTATTTATTTATTTATTTATTTATTGATCTTAAAGTCAAGTAACTTAAGATTATCCATGACGTGTTTGTGTTTCACTTTAAGAAACCAAATGTAGGCAAGTTCACGAAGCTATCTTAGGACTGTGATGTGTCCTAAGAACGTCTTAGGAAATATCTTAGCCTTAAGTCAGTTTCTCGAAGCTTTCCTAAATCTCTACTTACTAGGACCTCGTCATAAGTTCGTCCTAACTTTAGGACAACATAAATCATATCCTAAGATCATCCTAAGTTTGTGGTGATACTTATTTTTCTGCGCATCGCAAGTATATAGGCGACAATTTCGCGTTCTTCAACAGTCTGTGTATTAGCTGACATGGCCGTAAGAACCGGGGGAGGGGGGCTGTGCCCCCCCCCCCCAAATAATTTTGCCGATATATAGAATATTATAGAGAGCATAGCTACTATATGCTTGTGCCCCTCAATAATAACGTCTGATGACCTTCTTTTTTTCTTTTTTTTTTTGCCTCTCAAGGAATTTTTGGAAGATGATATAGTGCCCCCCCCCAACTGAAAATATAGTTGTGCCCCCCCCCAAAAAAAAAACCTGAAATTGCTTCCTACGGGCCTGGCTGAGGAATTACAAAAACATTTTTTTTTCACAAATGTTATCCCAAGCCCTCTTCTTTGCATCATTAGTTACAATGTTCGATTATCTATTTTTTCCACCTCATCAAAAAGCACCTGAATTTTGCACTTGAAAATTTTCGCTTCCTCTTCTTATTCATAATGCAGGCACGTCAGATCCCTTTTCAAACCGGGGAAGGGGGCAGAAAAAATAATTGACTTTTAGGGTGAAGGGGCAGAAAAATATAATTGACCAGCCAAAAAAATAAAATTCCCTGAAACCTTGACATAAAAAAATAAAAAATATCCGCACTCAAAAACCTTCTTACATGTAATCTGCATGTGTGCGTGTGTGGTGGTGGTTGGGGGGGAGGGATCCGTCCATACTGCAACAGAAAGTGGGGGGACCAGCCTTCAAAAAAAAATCCATATTAAATCAACAGTAAGAGACAATTTTCGGAAAAATAATTAGGGGTCAGTACCATCCCCTCTCCCGATTATAAAAAAGACATTCAAACACGTTTTATGTGTAAGGGACCAAAAGTGAAAATTATTCTCTTATTTTCATCTTCCGCCTTGATGTAAGTAAATCGGGGTATATTGGTTTGATTCATATCAATTAAAACTGTTGAGAGTTCCAAGACTCGGGGATTACGCATTGTCTTTAAAATAATGAAATATTTCCCTGTTTGAATACTAAAGTACATGGCCTCGAGCCCTGCAAAATTCATTTCATATTTTTTATTAGTTAATAGAATTCAAGATTATTTTTTATCTTTTGGGTTATCCAACATGTTGTAGATATTATTGCCGAAACACCGTTTTTAAACTAAAAATGAAATAAAAATCCTTCACTTTGATAGAAAAAATTCGCTTGTTTCGTTGCGACTTACATGGGGCATTAAATATTTCTCTTATAATTTTTAAGATATAAACATTAAAATTATAGTGAAGTCATCATGTAAATGGATAATTTTTGGGAGTTGATTTTATCAACTCCTCATAGTCAGCGCGCCAGAGGCGCATCAATACATACAAATGACAAACAGCTACCAAGGGGGTGTCCTCAATTAAATGCAGGATGTTGTGAAAATGGGAGAAATGTTGAAATTAGAGTTTAAACTACAAATTGAGCAGGGTGTGAAGATTTAAAAATGCAATGTATAATCTCAGTAAACGGCAGGCCTAAATATTTATGTAAGAAAATAGATTTACAGATATTGCGAATAAGAAAATAGTGCATATATTCTAATTTTAAGATAGGAAACTCGCTCCTAAAATAGCTTAGATACGTCATTTTCATCAGTTTGTAGGGAAAGGCTGAAGGTATCCTCGTGATTAAAACAATGCATAAACACCATGCTTCGACAATATGAGTCCCATAATAACGGGATTAATAATCAGACATACGATTAAATGCATGTCAGTTTATACAGAGAACACAAAATCAGATTGATACAGACAACTGATGTAAACCCTATAATGTTTATGTACATATGCGAGCAAGACTGATTATCACAGCGGGCATTATGTGTCTCCAGTATCTCTAACATGTGTAAAGTTCCTAATCTCCAAACTGCAGCAGACGTGACCTACTTGACTAACTTATTTAGCAGCCTTTTACTTTTGTGCCTGGAATGATAATTATTGATAGTATACACAGGATTAATTTTTATTAGATGTGTAATTGAGATGGCTTATTTAATATTTTTATTTTTGCAGGAATATTAATGCTGTGCATGCATAATTGTCTCAACAATTAGTTCACTGTTGATAGAACGGAATTCGGAGTGGATCCAGAATTTTGCTAATTTTGGGCACATTGAGTATGTTTGGAGTGGAGTGGGGTGTTGAAATAGCCCATTTCCTTCTAAAACAAAACCGTGTGATTCGTATATATTTGCCAACAAAGACCAAATATGTTGCTTTGTGGTTTAATGTACCTGTAATGAAATATTTCATCTCGCTGCAATCTTAGTTAGATTCCAGCGAAAAGTAAAAATAAAAAATAAAAATGATACATTTAAAAATGAATTATGCCACGCAATAAGGTTTAATTTATAAACGAACGAAATTTATTTATATGTAAATACACTGTTATGTCATATATAGTGTATCTTAAACAAATATATACCTAAGTGTATCATTTCTCATGCTCTTATCGTTTGCTCAAAGTATATTAACTTTATCAAAAATATAAATTAAATAATTAAGTTTAAAAAAAGGAAGAAAAAATTCATAGTTTCAATAAATTTAGACATTAAAACCATTGTTCACTTTTTTGATCATTCAATTAACCCTATTTTAATTATTGTATGCATATGAAATTTGGGTTTATTTTAATCCATTTACTACAAAAAAAGCATCCCTGGCGGTACAATAGATAGGATGTTATCCAAATCATTCTGTGATAAACTGAAAGTTTGCAAATTAATACTTGATGTACATAAATATGCAAATAGTTTTGCTGTACTATCTGAATTTGGTAGATTTCCCCTACACTTCGACATTGTAAGATCAAAGATAAGCTATTGGTATAGACTTGAAAATCTGGTAAGTCTTTTCCACCTTTACAAGAGTGAAGATGTATATTGTAAATCCAAGTCACTATGAAAAAGGTGAAGATAACAGACAGTGATTGATCTCTAAAAATCTATCAAACAATACAAATCTGGAAAGAGGGCATAAATTTGAGAAGAATCTCTATTTCTGGTATACATGTTGCTCCATTAATTTTCTCATCACCAATATAGATGGTATTTGTCGTGATTTAACTTTGGTCAGAGTACATCACATGTTTAAATGTTGTACACCTTATTCATGAATTAATGACAACGTGACCGTCGCAAATGAATATTCATTATTTTTGTGATTTTTTTCAACAACAAAAATAATAATAATAATAATGAATTATCAATCTTTTTATAATGAAATATAAGTAATTATTTGATCGTATCCCTCATCGTATGACAATAATGAAGTTCAATATTTTCTCAGGTAAAAAAAAAATAACCAAAAAAACCCCTGCATTTTCCACACTGGGAGTGTTTGTTAGGTTTTTCTGAATTCTGTCTAAAACAGGATTTTCAGTTTAAAAGAAAACAACATCTGATTACATGTATCTTAGAAACTGAAATTGCAAATTTGACAACTTCACGCAGGATGAGAATGAAATCGGAAAATGACAAATATTTATAAATTGGCTTGATAAAGACCTTGTAAGCTCTTTCATCACATTTTTTCTACATGAATATCATTGTAATGAAGCTTCGCTTTAGATTTTCAAACTCGAAATGAACTTTCAACTTTTCGTCATTTTGTAAACGAAAGATTGCATTCCGATACAGGACACAATAAAAGATAGAATCAAATGAGGAAGAAATTATTCCGAATTAATATTTTTTAATCTATGCTTTTTTTTCTTTTATAATGCATTGAACAAAAATCTGCCATATTGAAAACAATATGGCGCCTATGCAAATTAGCAAAACGTACTCCATTTCTCTATATGTAAATTCAAACGTACACTTAAAAATCATTTATTCTAAGATTTTATATATACATGTATAGGAGCGGAATCAACAACTTGAATCACATTCTGACGAAAAAAAAGTCGCTCTGGCACTTTTAAACAAATTTTTGGTAAGGAAAATACCTTAAATTACTGAAAAAATTTGAGCAATGAAGAAGTCTTACACGTGTTTGCATATCATTCAAAAGTTGTGGTCAAATCAGAACAAGCCTTACTTTTTTGACTCCTTAGAATCGTGACATTTTTTTAGTCTTTTGATACTCGCATACCAAATTAAGAAGCAATAATGTTGTACATAATTTGAAAAGCTGTAAACAAGGTTAAAAACATAAATCGTCCTTAAAATCAACTCCCATCAGTACCTTCAGTACTTTGATTTTCTTATGTAAGATAGAAGTGGTTTTGGCTGCAAATGTCTCCCAAATTGTATATGTATTTCGAAACAATAGTGTTCATCGTGTGTTAGGATATCCTAACTTAAGATGTTCCTATAAGATACCGCCGAGCTACATCTTATGATGTGTCCTAAGTTGATCTTAGGATGTTCCTAACTTTGTTCCTAAGTCATATCTTAGGACGTATCTTAGGAAAGTTTCGTGAACTTTAATGTAACATGAAAATTTGTATTAGTGTATGAAGTTTGATGAAAATATCTCTAATAGTTTCCTTAAAACTGAGTTTTGTACACAATAAACAGTAAAGGCAAGTGTCAATGGGAAAGTCAAGGTAAAAAAAGAAAATTGGACACAGTTGATGAAATGGAAGACGGACATGACAAACACACAAGCTCCTGACGAATGGTTGGTGTATCCCCCACCCCCACCCCTTCTCTCTGAGAAATTTTTTAGACACGATAACTTAGCAAATGTACATGAATTTTTAGTCTGACATACCAATACTTCGATCTTTTATATCATTTTCCGTTCGCCCCCTTTTGGTATATAAAAATACTAAGGATAAGGCAAACTTTAAAATAATGTTCGTTTGCCCTCTCCCTACTCAGGGTGACAAAATTTGGTCGGTAGGTAGATAAGAAATTCTTTTTCTCAGAAAATTTCAACATCAATGCTGATTTTTCAAAATTTATTTTTCGGAATGCATAAAAAGAATAATTGTTTCTTGGAGGTTAAAGTCTGGCCATTTTTAGCCAGTCGGTCAAGTAAGGGCAACCAAATATTTTATGTATAAACAGTTTAAGTATATAGGTGTGCTAAGTTTTTTTAAACATAGTTTTTTTTTGTCTGAAAGTATCAGAATCTTTATTGTAACAACTTTTTAACAACTTTTTAAGTGAATTTAAAGAAGATTCAAAATTTTATTAATTTATTTTACATTTAACAATCCGGAAGACAAGCCCCTATGGCCCCGACCATATTCATGGCGGGGCATAAATTAAAAAAAAATGTACAAATTGCAAGATCAATAGAAATGGTACGTGCTTTTGTTAATCAGTTTGATTCGTCATGAAAATCAGTGATAAATGATAAAATTGTATTGTTATACTCAGATCTTCAGATGACAAAAAGGATAAACTTTCCACTGGCTAATTGGATCTTTGTCACATGATGATGCCATGGTTTCTGCAGACTATGCAGTGGTGATAAACAAGACAATAAATAAAAAAAGAATTTAAAACAAGAGGCCCATGCGCCACAACGCTCATCCGAGTTACTTTGGCCCTTGCTTTTCTTCATAAGATTTTTAAATTTTTTTAATTATACTTCCCTTTAAATATGGCTCCACCCTTACTCTAAGGGGTCTCTTAATCCACATACCATGGGGGTGATTGAATACCAATATGACTAACATGGCCCTGTTGTTCAAATATGAAGAAGAAAATTCTTTTCCTGTATACATGCATCATAAAAAAGAAGAAGCCCCTTAGCAACGGTTTCAAAAGTGTGGGGGGGGGGGCTTCCTAAAAAATCTGAAAAGCACAACAAAAATTTAAAAAAATAATCAATTGTCCATATTCTGTAATTAACCAGTGCTCGACCTTACAGTAAAAAAAAAATGAGGGGGGGGGGGGCAACAAGCATATAAAGGAAAATTTGCCGTAGCAAAATATACTCTATCATGCCCGCTTTCTACGGACCTGTGAAATTGGACGCACAAGGAGCAAAATGCCTATTGTGCGACAAATATGAAGGTGAAAAATTAAAACTAAATTAAAACAAAATGTTCTTTGATATATCACCTAACGTTATAGTATACTTTATGTAAAATTTCTACAATTTGCAAAAATCTCACAAAGATTGAAATTATATGCCTATGAAATAGCATATACACACCAAAGTGGGCAAAAGGGATTATTTTCCTATATTATAAAAACATTTTTTATATCAGAGGGTCTTCGCTTTTTTTTTTTTTGAAAATTTATCTTCAACGTTTCCGAAAAATATACATTTTTGGGTTAACCAGTGACCCACTATACCTTGAAAATACACCTTCATGAAACAACATTCGTATCTTTCCAAGAAATACTTGAAGTTCATTTAGTCACGGGTCATATTATAAACATGATTCATCCGTAGTTGAGTAGCGTAATGGTTAGAGTGATAGTCTCAATAAAAAGTGGTACTCAAGATTTTTATTGGTAGGGTTCGAACCCCAAGAATACCACATTATTATTTTTAATAATAGAATAATTTTTGCCGAGAAAATTTTCCTCAGAAGTGTTTTTTTTTTTTTTGTCATAATTTCATGAATTTCAAAAATGAGAATTGTTCTTTGGTCATTGTAGGTCCTACTATCAGACCGATTCAAAAACAGGATATTTTTGTCAATAGTTTGGACGTTTTCCGAAAACCCTTATGCCTAGAGTGACCCGATGGAAGAATATCCGATCCTCATGCAGTCAGGAATAATAACTTTTAAAATTATGGTTAATTTTAATAAGTCTCAAAATGAAGGGTGAAATTGAATTTTTTTCGTGCAACAACTTTCATTTCATGCATTTTAATATGACTCAAGTTCTTTGAAGTCTTAGAAATTGTGTTGTAGAAAGTAGACATTTACACCCCCCCCTTTTTTTTTTTAAAGAGAAATCGAATTTCCTCTAATGCTGCCTTAGATGAAAATGTTTATCAACATGAAATGAAATTGGAAGTGGTCTGTGATACCCTGCAATGGTATAACATGCTTTTTGCACCATACATTATAAATATAATAATTAATGTGAATAAAAGAACTAATTCTTCTAATTTTTCTGAATGCCTGGATACGTACATTTTTTTATCCTAAAATTTACTTGTTGATCAATTTCCAATTAATTAGAAAATGCATAGTTTGTGCTTTATACTTTTCCTGGAAATATAATTTTCTCTGTATATAATATGATAACTATAACGATGAACTTAAAAAAAAAGTATGGATATTTACACATTTGTGAATTCAGTAACATTTTTTTCAATACTTAACAGTTACGTACAAAACAAAGCTGCGCACTTCAGTGCTCTTTCCTCCATGATTTTCAAATGTTCATTACTGCATACCTCTTTGTTTGTCAAGGAATTACCGCGAGACATAAAAAAGAATCACAAACCCTTCCATTTTTAAGGCAGCTATATCTGTAGAACCTTGGACAGCCTCACACCCCATCATCAGACCAGATATCTCATATAATTAAACCCTGATTTATCAAATTATGATCATATTATATTTCTTTATGACAATAAATATTTTTGTTTTTATTTTACATAAAATAAAAATAAGAAGATAGAGTTTTCAAATTCAAAGCATACGTCGTCACGAATATTTATTTCGTGGTAATCAAGTAAATAATATTAATTTTAAATATACTGGTATCATACTAAATTCGAAAAATGAATTCGAAACATTTTCACACTCTAGAGACGAAACAACCCACCACCGCATTACGCGTGGCATTTCACAACATTCGACAATACACGTGATCAGTGTACGGTCTTTTCCGTCGAGTCAACGAAAGAGGACAGCTGAGCATATTACAGTGGTTGTCCATCTAAGACTCGATCCAAGATGGTAAGCTCCATCGCTATAATTTAAACTCATTTATTGATTAATAAGTATTTAAAGTGTTTGATATTTAAGTATAGCTCCAATATTTTGAGAAGTGGTGAAGAAATGGCACGAAAAAAAAATGGTGTACTGATTTGACATACGCCGGCCATAATGGACGTATATGAATTGGAAAGAAGCGAGAATCATGTGGAATGGTTTTCGATGTAGTTCAACGATTAAATTAGCAATGTGTTTTCACATTTTATGTATTTAAATATACAGTTTCTCACATATGTTTACTGAAAAATCAAAATAAAGGATGGTTCGTTGATAATGTAAACGACGGAGAAGTCATATACGTAATACACAGAATCTGTGTCATTTTCAATAAGTGCAACGAACGTTTGATAGTTTTAAAAAGAATTATAGGGTTGGTTTACTTCATTATTGTTTTGCTTTTTCAGTTCAAATACTACAGTAATTGAGATTCATGACACAGAGACTATGTCTGATTTCTGTTGTCCTGCTAATAGAATATAGTGGTACATATCATAATGAGTATAACTTGTTTCAGGTGAACTTTACCGTAGAGCAGATCCGTGAGATCATGGATCGTAAACACAACATCCGAAACATGTCTGTGATTGCCCACGTCGATCATGGCAAATCTACGCTGACTGATTCTTTAGTCAGCAAGGCTGGTATCATTGCCTCAGCAAAAGCAGGAGAAACAAGATTTACAGACACTAGAAAGGACGAACAGGAGAGATGCATTACCATCAAATCAACGTAAGAATCATTGTAAACTTCTTGAGTTGTCATGTTTACATTGCATCTTTAAGCAGGTCGGGCACCATCTCTTGAATTAGCTGTATATGTTGAATTAGCTACTATATAGCTGTATTAACTAAGGTATTCAGAATAGCTTGATTTAGCTATTTTATCACATTTTTTCTTAAGGACATACGCAACGTACCTTTAGTCCTTACCTACTGATAATTTTTCAAGATATTCTCAATTTAAGAATATAGTGCCATCAGATGTTCATAGACAAAAAATCAGCATGCATTACCAGGGGTTTTAAAAAGATATCAGTTGAAGAAAATTCTTGTATAATTCAAAGAAAAATATACGAAAATTACTAAACATATATTGTAGATGTTTTGTTTATCCAAACTTGTTTAAGAAGGAGTGTACAACATAATTTATAGACATTAAAATTTAGCACACAGTTCCTTTAAGTATTGGAACTCTTCAACTCCAGGGAAAAAGACAAAGTTCAAACTACGTTGCGTATTTCCTTAAATGTGTTATTTTTCACCTTGTACACAAAGTCACACCTTAGTGCATTGATAGTATTCAAACTTGAACTCTTCTGAAAACATTGCATATAAACATTTGCTCATCAAATTGTGTCTCCTTCAGAGACTTTGAACTCGCAGTTTTAAATGTTTTGGGGCTATATAAAGCACTTGATTTATGTCTTGACAGTGACTTGTTGAATGAAATTATAAAGGAGGTCAATTATGGTCAACAAGATGATTGATTGGTAATAATTCAGCACAATGTGAAGCAATCATTCTTATCCATGCCTCAAAACATACATCTTTTTGCTCAAAAATATTAAATGCTGCAATGTTAGAACTATCTTTGAAGTGGGTTGCTTTTTTGAAAGTCCATAGTACATATATGAATAGTCAAATACTTCAGAATTTTTTATCTATTTCTTACAAAAAAAAACACACTTTTATGAAAAACTGCATATAAAAAGCTTTATCAAGCTATTCTGAACAGCTTAACCCCTTTATCACTGCAGCCAACTCAGCTGCTGTTATCACCAGATCGAGGAGCTAGTCTCCTGCTGCTGTGATAAGCCGGGCAGTCTGATGCACATAGATAATTAGGCTAATGACTCTCTTATCTTTAATCTAATGTATATAAAAGTATATATATTCAGAAAGCCTATAGATTTTACTTTCCAACAGTATAATTTTTGTAAAGATATTTGCTCATTAATTTAACTTTATTAGGGGTTAAACCTGATGAAAAATTAAAAACACATCTCAAAATTTTGCATATCATTTTTTAATTTGCATTTTTCTCATTAAAAGTGAAGGTAAACCATATAATATTTTTGCACATATTTGTTCTTTAGCTTTTCTTCTTTCAGATACACTTTACAGCAAAAAAATCCATCAAGAAAATTTAAAGTTATGATAATTTGAATGTCACTTGGTATTTTCCTGGAAAACAGAGTTTTTCATGCATCACAATACCTGAATGTTTTGTTGTAAAATCCAATGTAATATTTCCAAAATCCATCAAATAAAGTACACAACATTAGCACATGTAAAATATAAAAAATAACTTCAATAATTTTTTCAAAGATTAGCTGTTAAATTCAAAATAAAAGGCAATTTTCACCATATACGGTAACCAAAACTGATTTTCACATTATTCACTGTCTCAACATCCTCATGATGTGTTTGGACTGGCATTCCAAATGCACGGGAACATTACACTGCGAACATCCAAACTTAGTCACTCCTTTCCTTTGCCCTGGAGCCGCAGACAATGAACATTCTCGACACACTTTGTTTTTTTCATACAACTTTGTGATAGAATGTTCAGTTGCTCGCCCACCACAGTCAACCTTTGGTGCTTCTCTGCATGAATGTGTGTCGCCAATCAAGTCCTCCACAATTTCCTCGAGGAAATCTTGGAAGTTCGGCCAGCGATCCTTTCCAATTTCTGGATGGGTATCCTTAGCTACGACGTACGCATTATGGGCAGACACCATCATCAGATAAAAAAACAATCGGCGCCACCATTTCTTTGAGCCATGATGGACCATGTAGTATCCAATCATCTGGTCGCATATGTCAACTCCTTTCATATACTTCTGGTAGTCTGCTAGAAGAAGGGGTACCTCAACTACATTCTGTGCTGCGGCGGCTGCTCTACGGGTCACTTGTCCTCGGTGCAAGGGGTCATGGAAATTTGACAAAACCAGTACAGGTTTTGTGTCCTGCCACGCTGTAAAGGTGAGGATATCGTTCTGTACCACCTTGTACTCATGCTTCTGTAGGCGCAGATTTTTTGGAAGGCATTCTGCTGGAAGACCTTTTCTGTTTGCTCTGACAGTGCCACATGCCATGATCCCTCGGATATGTAAATCTTTGAGAAGCTCCGGGCTTGTGTAGAAGTTGTCCATATAGACAGACAGATTGCTGCCGAACATGTACGTACATAGGTCCATTACCACTCTGTGTGTTAGACCTTTCTCTTGGCCATCCTCTTTTCCAGTGTATACCTGAAATGTAGTCATGTACCCGGTATCACTCTCAGCCATAGTCCAAACCTTGATTCCCCATTTGATTGGCTTAGCTGGTAAATACTGTCGAAATCCTAAACGGCCTTTGAATTTTACCATGCTCTCGTCAATGGTGACGTTTCCATATGGTACATAAGTTTCTTTGAATTTCTCGTTTAGGAAGTTTATAAACCATCTCATTTTCCATAACTTGTCCGGCTGATCTGGCTGTACCTCATTGTTCTGCAGGTACAAGTACCTCCAAATTTGCGTAAATCTGTCTCTTGTCATCACTTTCCCAAATGAAGTACAAAATAACCACTTACTTTGTCGCCAATAGTCATTTTTTGAGGGTAACCTGAGGATTCCCATTGCAAAACATAAGCCAATAAACGCTTTGATGTCGACGGCATTCACTGGCGTCCATTTTGCTGCATACGGTGGTGGTGGGTTTTTTCTCCTCTCCTGTTCCGCATATAAGATCGTTTCCTGGACTATTCTATCCCACATTTCGTTAGTCCAGAACAAGTTAAAGTATTGTGCAGCGGAGGCTTCTTCAGGATGTTCAATTGTAGCACCCCCTACCTTTCTATAGCGAGATGGTAGACGGGGCTGGAAATCCTCCGACGTCCATTGATTTTGGAAGCCCAGGAAATCGTCTTCGTCGCCGGAATCTTCCGTAAATATGTTCAATAGCCAGTCGTCAACGTCTCCAAGTTGAACTTCGCGATCTATTCTGTCAATATTTTCTTCATTTACATCCAATCCATCATCTATATCATCATAATTTGAGTCAATATCGCTGCCCTCGCTCAAGTCTGCATCTCTCGCCGCCATGTTGCTTTCGTTTTGTAAACTGACGCATCGGTTTCTTTGTTTCTTCTGGAATTTTCCCCTCATAAATAGGTATCTAGTTTCACTTTTTATTGCGCATGATCAGTGGAAATTTACCTAAGTCTGATTCGTATAAACGTTTTCTTTCTAACTTATCATGTAACAGTTTATTAAGGGTCTGAATAACAGCGTTTGTGTACTACCACTGGAGTCGTATCCCGTACGAAATGGTAGACTACGACTCGAGTCGTATCCCGTGCGAAAGGGGTTAAGCTATATAGCTAATTCAAGCTATATAGCTAAATCAAGGGATTGTGCTGGACCTGTTAAGTTTTCTTCTTACATTCTGAAATTTGATGTCTCTAGATTTTAAAGAAAGGGGCCAAGGAATTAATATATATGGAAAAAATCTCTATTTGAATAAATGTGAGACAAAGGTTTCAGTAAACTTTTTCTCATGTAATGATGTAGTTCATACTATGTTTATTGAATGTATTCGTGATATATTTCTTTAGTGCAATTTCCCTGTATTATGAAATGAAGAAGGAGGATTTGCAATTCATTGTTGGAGAAAAAGACAAGGATTTAAGCAATGCTTTCTTGATCAACTTGATTGATTCCCCTGGCCACGTTGACTTCTCTTCAGAAGTAACAGCCGCTCTGCGTGTCACTGATGGAGCCCTTGTTGTTGTTGACTGTGTTTCAGGTATTTGTCTAATTGTTCACAAGTTTCACTTGCCCAAACTGAGAATTTTACTTGCCTCTGGCAATCGGACAACCATAAATGTCAATCCCTAAAAGTTTAACATAAGAGTATATAGGGAAAATTTTATTAAATCTTCACGAGAAAAAGAAAGTTATTCATATTTATGTGGAAGCATTATGTGGAAGTAGGGAAAATACAGGGAATCAAAAGGCTAGATGTTTTAATTATGTTCACAATTTGTGCATAGTATGTTGGAGTTTTGTTCAAATGTTGGCTCGGGTCTAGGGTAGACTTTATAAATTGAGCAAAAATGTGTTGATAGATTTAATAGAAAGCTATGTAAATTTAATGAAAGAATCTTGTTAAAAGTTGGTATCTTGACTGGAGTCTAATTCTTTAATTCCAAATGTTTGATCCAAAATCCAAATAATGAAGTAGAATCAAGTTGTTGAATCCTTACAACTGTTTGATGTAATATTGTTTTACAGGTGTGTGTGTACAAACTGAAACCGTTTTGAGACAGGCTATTGGAGAGAGAATCAAGCCCGTTCTCTTCATGAACAAGATGGACTTGGCTTTATTGACACTTCAGCTTGACGCAGAATCTCTCTACCAGTCCTTCCAGAGAATTATTGAGAATGTCAATGTCATCATTGCTACTTATGGCTTGGAAGACAGCCCCATGGGAGAAATTGCTGTATGTCTTGGTCTTAAAATATAAGTTTTATTTAGTTACAATTAAAACTCGAGAGATATTAATCACAAGATGGCTTTGATTAAGTATGATAATATCAATTGTATAGGTTGATCCCAAGAAGGGAACAGTTGGATTTGGAGCCGGTCTTCATGGGTGGGCATTCACCTTAAAAGACTTCGGTGCCATGTACAGCAAGAAATTTGGCATTGGAGAGGACAAATTGATGAAGAAACTTTGGGGAGACAACTTTTACAATGAAAAAGAAAAGAAGTGGTCCACTGAGCAAAGTGCTGGAGATCGTGGCTTTGTAAAGTACATCTTGACCCCTATTTACCATGTCTTCAACACCTGCATGAAGAGCTCTAAGGAAAAGGCTCTGGCCCTCGCTGAGAAAATGGGTGTCAAACTGACCTCAGAGGATAAAGAACTGGAGGAGAAACAACTGCTGAAGGTTGTGATGAGGAAGTGGCTGCCAGCTGGAGATGCCATGTTGCAGATGATAGTCATCCATCTTCCCTCTCCTGTCACTGCCCAATGCTACCGTGTAGATACCTTGTATGAAGGACCTGCTGATGATGAAGCTGCTGTTGGTAAGTAAAAAACAATTCTGGTCTCAAAGATTTTCAGCAAATTTAAATGACAAATTATCACTCTTCCAACACTTATTATGTATTGGGCAGTAAACCAGTTTAAGTGTATGTCTAATGAAACATGCGCAGTTACAATATATACTGGTGTGGTTAAATTCTGATAATGCTCTTGGTTGCTGATAATGCACATGTATGTTAAAAACTAAGGAAAGCACATTTGTTTTTTCAGCTGTTAGGAATTGTGCACATGTATGTTAAAAACTAAGGAAAGCACATTTGTTTTTTCAGCTGTTAGGAATTGTGACCCTAAAGGAGTTCTCATGATGTACATCTCCAAGATGGTACCTACCAGTGACAAAGGTCGATTCTATGCCTTCGGTCGTGTCTTCTCAGGAACAGTAGCCACTGGTCAGAAAGCTCGTATCATGGGACCCAACTACACCCCAGGAAAGAAAGAGGACTTGTATGAAAAGTCCATCCAGAGGTGAGGGTTTTATCTTAAAGATTTGAATTTGCTTGAATTGGAAAACAAAAATTTGGAAATGGGTTCACACCCTAACAATTTCCTTCCTAGAAATGTATACAAATACAGGGTGTTTCAGCAAACATCTCCAGACTTGACATTTTCATATAAAAGTTATGCAGTATCTTTGATATGAAATTTAAAAATGTTTTTAAAAAATAAATGTGGACATCAGAGAGAGTTTTCAATTTATTGTCGTCTTCTTATGCATTGAAAGTGGTGTCTTGTTTCTTATTTTGTCTCAAGTCGAATATTGCTCAATTTTGGACACAATTCAAAAAACTGTGTTTCATATACCATATATACTCGCCTATAAGTCGGTTTTATTTTTTAAGCTTACATTAAAGGGATTGACCAGCTATAATACCAATATTTTTATAACTCGCCTATAAGTCGGACAGGGGTTTTTGGACCAAAGTTTAACTCCCAAAAAACCGACTTATAGGTGAGTATATACGGTAAAGATGCCCCCTATATGGGTACTTGCTTTTCAAAATCATGTTTACTAGTATTGGTGAATATCTGTTTGGGAAGTACAGATTAATGAAAATTAATATAGAAATTTCCTTTATCAACCATTTTTAAAAAACCTGACTACCTGACTTCGATGATGTAGCTGAAACTTTACAAAAGATGGTTATGAAGTATATAGCGTTTATAGCACATTAAAACACAATAAAATACAGTTGTTTTGTAAATATTATATAGTGCAATAATATGTACATCCAAAGTCAGGACATGTTTGCTGAAAAATTTTAAAAATTTCATAATGGATAAATTTTTTCTTTATTTTTGCAGAACCATTTTGATGATGGGACGTTATATTGAACCTATTGAGGATGTCCCATGTGGTAACATTTGTGGGTTGGTAGGAGTTGACCAGTACCTTGTTAAAACTGGAACTATCACAACGTACAAAGATGCCCATAACATGAGAGTGATGAAATTCAGTGTCAGTCCTGTTGTCAGAGTTGCTGTAGAGTGCAAAAACCCCTCGGAATTGCCCAAGCTTGTGGAGGGTCTCAAACGTCTAGCCAAATCTGATCCTATGGTCCAGGTAGCTACCTTTTTGTCAAGAATCCCTTCAAATTTGTGACTATTTTTCACTAAATCTGGAAATTATTGATGAATGAATTGAAGATAATTTTAACCTTTTCAAATTCTAGTTCATCTGAATTGAAATAAATTTATAATTGCTCAAATTACGCATGCCTCTGTGGCACAGATGGAGTCCAAATTTAGCCAATTTTGATGACAATTTCTAATTAATGTTGACAGATAATTTCAGCATATCCAATGAGAGCAAGAGTACAATTTGAATCCAAGCAATCAAAAATAAAATTAGCTTTTTTTCCCCCTAGAAATATTGTATAACACCAAAAAAAAAAAAAAAATAGAGATTCAGCTACTAGTTCGAAATTATAGCCTATTATGATTAAGCTGGAATAAATATTGTTTAAAGGCTTTTCGAAATTGATGCAATTCATTAGCAAATGCATAAGATGTTGATAGAGGATCTGTATTTGCGACTTGGTATTAATTTGAACTAATTTTTAGGTCACCTGAGTCACTCAGGTGACATATTGCTATCCGTTTTTGTCCGTCGTCGTGCGATGTGCGTTAACATTTGAACATTTTTAGCTTCTTCTCTAAAACCGCTCAACCAATTTCAGCCAAATTTGGCATATAGCATCTATGGGTGAAGGGGAACAAAAATTGTGAATTTCATGGTCCCTGCCCCCCTGGGGCCTGAGGGGTGGGGCTAAAACCAGCAAAATTAATGCAATCTTTAAAAATCTTCTTCTTTACTCCTGGACATCAAGCAGTCAAACTGTTGGCATGATTGTAATAAGCATTGAGCCCTCTACCAAAATTGTGAAATTCATGGCCCCAGGGTCAGGGGTTCTGGTGCTAGGGTGGGGCTATATAGATCATGTAGTGAAAGTGCATTATTTCTTTGAAAATCTTTTTGTCTGCTCCTGGGTATTAAATAAACTAACTACATATATAGTTATGATGAGTAAGAGTGCCTCTTCCAAAATTGTGAAATTCATGGCCCCAGGGGTAGGGGTTCAGGTGTTAGGGCGGGGCTCTATTGATTATATAGTGAAAATGCATTAAATTTTGGAAAATCTTCTCTGCTCCTGGGTATTAAATAAAGTAACTAAGTACATAGTTATGATGAGCAAGAGTTCCTCTTCCAAAATTGTGAATTTCATGGCCCCTGGGTCAGGGGTTCTGGTGTTAGGGCGGGGCTCTATTGATTATATAGTGAAAATGCATTTATTCTTTGAAAATCTTGTTATCTGCTCCTAGGTATTAAATAAAGTAACTAAGTACATAGTTATGATGAGCTAGAGTGCCTCTTCCAAAATTGTGAATTTCATGGCCCCTGGGTCAGGGGTTCTGGTGTTAGGGCGGGGCTCTATTAATTATATAGTGAAAATCCATGAATTCCTTGAAAATCTTCTTCTCAGCTCCTGGGTATTAAATACAGTAACTAAGTACATAGTTATGATGAGCTAGAGTGCCTCTTCCAAAATTGTGAATTTCATGGCCCCAGGGGCAGGGGTTCTGGTGTTAGGGCGGGGCTGTATTGATTATATAGTGAAAATGCATTAATTCCTTGAAAATCTTCTTCTCTGCTCCAGGGTATTAAATACAGTAACTAAGTACAAAGTTATGATGAGCAAGAGTGCCTTTTCCAAAATTGTGAAATTCATGGCCCCAGGGGCAGGGGTTCTGGTGTTAGGGCGGGGCTGTATTGGTTATATAGTGAAAATGCATTAATTCCTTGAAAATCTTCTTCTCTGCTCCAGGGTATTCAATACAGTAACTAAGTACATAGTTATAATGAGTAAGAGTGCCTCTTCCACAATTGTGAATTTCATGACCCCAAGGGCAGGGGTTCTGGTGTTAGGGCGGGGCTCTATTGATTATATAGTGAAAATGCATTAATTCTTTGAAAATCTTCTTCTCAGCTCCTAGGTATTAAATAAACTAACTAAGTACATAGTTAGGATGAGCAAGAGTTCCTCTTCCAAAATTGTGAATTTCATGGCCCCTGGGTCAGGGGTTCTGGTGTTAGGGTGGGGCTCTATTGATTATATAGTGAAAATGCATTAATTCTTTGAAAATCTTCTTCTCTACTCCTCGGTATCATTTAAACAAATTAAGTACATTGTTATGATAAGCAAGGATGCCTCTTCCCAAATTGTGAAATTCATGGCCCCGGGGACAGGAGTTCTGGTGCTAGGGCGGGGCTATATAGATCTTATAGTTAAGGTGAATTATTTCTTTGAAAGTCTTCTTCTCTGCCCCTGGGTATTGTTTAAACAAACTGAGTACATTGTTATGATACGCAAGGATGCCTCTTCCAAAATTGTGAATTTTATGACACCAGGTTTAAGGGTTCTGGTGAGGGGGGGGGGGGGGGGGGGGCTTCTATTGATTATAAAGTGAAAAAGCAAAATTTCTTTGCAAATATTCTTTTCTGCTTCTGGTTAAAAAAGCAAAGAAGCTAAGTGTATAGTTATGATGAGCAAGAGTGCTTCTTCCAGAGTAGTGAATTTCATGACCCCTGGGTCAGATGTGCTGGTGTGATGGTGGGGCTCTTAATAATATAGTGAAAATGCATTAATTCTATTCAAAAATCTTGTTTGCTCCTTAGTGTTAAGCAGATAAACAAAGTGATTAGTTATGATGAGCAAACTTATGGTCCCAGGGTCAGAAGCTCTGGTGTTTTTTTTTTTTGGGGGGGGGGGGGCTCTATTGATAATATAGTGAATCTGTAGTAAAAATGCATTATTTCTTTAAAAATCTTCTCCGCACCTGGGCATATCTGAGGCAAACAGAGTAAAAGTTTTTATAAGGAAGAAAATTTTTACCAGATTTTTGAACATCTGGACCATTTGGTCAAGTGTTCTGGTCCTGGCCAGGGCTCTATTAGTTTGTATTCTACTGAGAGGAGTTATTCCCCTTTGCCATTTATGTTTGATAATTTATCACTGTAAATAATGTACTTGAAAGGTAAATAGAATAAGAGAATTATGCAAAAACTTTAATTGTATAATACAAAAAGTACTTTTATAGTTTTATTGATCAGATAGACTTGTAAGTAGTAGATAAATAAAAATGAGACAAAAATAACTTGTCTTACTAAATGTTCATCAAGGACCAAGAGAGGCCAATGTAAGAGATTTCAACAAGGGATAAAATAGTACAGAAGCATTGATAATTTGTTAATATACTGTATAGTGATAGTGATAAATGGGGAACAGATTAGAACCTAATTTATGAACTGTTAATGAATATTAAGACCAATTATTTTGTTGATCATGATCACCCTATTTTTCTTGCTTTTGGGCAACAAAGCTTCACCTTTCAGTTCATTTTATACTCTATGGATCCTCTAAATTGTTGTATTATACTCAGGTGACCGTTAAGGCCCTTGGGCCTCTTGTTAATTGAGGCTTTGAGATTATGACAGGGTTACTTCAAACATTCTCAAAAATAAGGTTACAATTTTTCAGATGTACCTGTCTAAGCATACAAATTAAAAAAAAAAAATACATAGGTGTTCAAGGTTGGTCAGGGGCTACAGTTGGACCATAAAATTTTTCATTAGAATGCATAAAGAGTTTAATAAGGCCAAAAAAAATAATAGTCTTGTTTCCTGCTACCCGACCTACCCTATTTTTTTGCACCCGACCCTAAAGTTTTTTTTAAGTTTTGGAAGAAAAAAAATCGGGAATTTCTGGAATTTCATGGATCTGTCACCATAATCGGTTTCTGTGTTAACACAAAACAAGCATTTCATTAAATTCTTGTTTTAAATTTGGATTTTTATGAAATACCACTGGAATTGTGCATAAAAAGACATGAAATTTTTATTTTAAAAGGCGATATTGACCTGTGACATGTTTAATTTGATCTTGTATTAGTTCATATCCAAAAAAATGCCATCGGAAAAAAATAAAATAAAAATATAAAATAAAATAATTTTCCTACCTACCTACCCTATTTTTTTCAGACTGGTAGCAGGAAACAAGACTATTATTTTTTTTGGCCTAAATATTTTCATACTACTCACAAGAAGGTTTTCATGCACTGACTCCTTTCTGAGATCTAGGGATAATCAGCTCAGGGTTAGACATTAACTTTCAGATTCACTTGCCCTTTGGGCAAGTGATCTCAAACTTTGACTTGTCCGAATGCAAAACTTGGTTGCCCGAAATTAGGAAAGAACTTAATAAAATAATTATTAATTACTGTAAATGTTATAGTAAGAAAAAATGTGACCAAATACGCTACTGTCAATTTGGCGATGCTGCAATTGTACATAAGTGTATACCGCTGTACTTGTAAATTTAACCTGTTAACACACACTGCCATGCAGTAATAACCCTCCGTTTCCTTTTAATAAAATTTATATTTTTAAAAACTATCTTTGATGAATCTTTTTGTGATTCGTGATTTTCAGAGATGCTTAAGGAAGATAGTTGCTACAAAACATACATGTTATCTTGATCAGGATACATTGTATTACACTGTACTTATATTCTGTGTGTGAATAAATAATCTAATTTCCTAATAAGAAGTTAACAAAATATTGTTAGACGTAGAGCATATTTACTTCAAAAGAGAATAACGAACCTGATTTTTAAATGAACGGTACATAATCCAGAAACGCTAGCAAGGAATTTCGAATGCAAAAACATTGTCTGTCAGGTGCGTGGCAGAAATCAAGTGTTCATTTTATTGTTTTATTTATAAATTAATGTAAACAAAATAAATATGTACATTTGTATGAGGAAATTCACTTGCCTGATCGGACAAGTACGTCAACAATTTCACTTGCCCGAACTGAGAATTAACTTGTCCCAGGCAATCGGACAACCGTTAATCTTGATCCCTGCAGCTGACAATCTGGAAGCATAATAAAAAATTTGGTACCATCTGTTCAAGTCATGCAATTTATGTTTTTTGACAGTGTACAATTGAAGAATCTGGTGAGCACATTATTGCTGGAGCTGGTGAGTTGCATTTGGAAATCTGCCTGAAGGATCTGGAGGAAGACCATGCCTGTATCCCTATCAAGAAATCAGACCCAGTTGTATCCTACAGAGAAACTGTATCTGAAGAATCAAGTATTATGTGTCTGTCAAAATCTCCAAACAAGCACAACAGATTGTTCATGAAAGCCCTACCTCTTCCTGATGATCTTGCTGAAGCTATTGATGCTGTATGTACTGATTATTTAATTATAATTTTGATCTTGAAACACAAATAAAATATTTTTATAATAGTCATATTGATTGAAGTGATGTGTTCTCTATTACATAGGAACTGTCAATACTTACACAAGAGAACAAGATCATAATTTATTTGGAAAATTTTATGTTTTAGGGGGACATTACACCTAGACAGGAACTGAAAGAAAGAGCCAGAATCTTGGCTGATAAATATGGTATGGATGTAGGAGAGGCCAGGAAGATCTGGTGCTTTGGACCTGAAGGATCTGGCCCCAACCTTTTGATGGATGTTGCCAAGGGAGTGCAGTATTTGAATGAAATAAAAGAGAGTGTTGTTGCTGGCTTCCAATGGGCCACAAAAGAAGTAGGAAATATTATATGCAGAGAATAGTATACTGTAGGAAAAGTGCAGTTCTGTATGTATATGTGTAAATTTTTGCTTTATAGCTAGTGTGAGTGTTTTCTGTATTACTATCGTCTGTTCCTTGTCAGGGTGTCCTATGTGAGGAGAATGTCCGAGGTGCCAGGTTTAACATCCATGATGTGACATTACATGCTGATGCTATCCACAGAGGGGGTGGACAGATTATCCCTACTACCAGAAGAGTTCTGTATGCTTGTATGTTGACAGCTCAGCCCAGAATCATGGAGCCAATCTACCTTGTTGAAATTCAGGTCAGTCGTTATGGGTAGAAATTTTTCATTACTTGTGAAATTTGGATAATTGTAGGTTTACCTCAGCATAATGTAAATGTGTTCACGTGTTTCATGATTTCTTATGTTGGTACATTTCACGGTTTTAATTTCACAATTTAAGTTCTCTTAACTATATATATACAGTGTTTTCCTCAGAAAATTTTTAATGCATGGGGGAATTTTGCTGAATTGACGGCACGCAGAGTGTCTTGTTGAGTTACTTGTGCATGCATCTGAATTTATATTTAAATGAAAAATACAAATTCATTCATTTATATTTTTTTTTTCATTCAAATGATATATTTTGAATATATTGTCAATTTAACTTTTAAAAAAGCTAAACAATTGAGTTCACTTTTATAAAAATAGATCTAGTCACAAAAAAATGTTCTATTTTATTTTCCTCTAAAGCCACTGTCTTTTTATCATGTTTATGTGCTGTGTTATTCTTGCTTTCTACAAACTGAATAGGTCCCTAGTGAACCCCCCTTTTTTATTTACTACATTTTTAGCTCTTCTGAGCCAAAGGCTCAAAGAGCTAATGCTATGGCCATTTGTGCGGTGTGCGTAAACTTTTTAGAATATTGGCCATAACTCAAGAACCCCTTGGCCAATTATTGTCAAATTTGTCACAGGGTATCCTTGGCCCAAGGGCTCCCTTTTATACTAAAACTGGGGTTGTGACCCTTTAACAAGGGGAGATAATTAGGAAAATAGAAACAAAAGTACTGGTTGCTAAAAAATCTTCTTCTCAAGAACCACTGGGCAGATTATCACCAAACTTACACAAAAGGATGAGGATATGTTGTAGATTAAAATTTGCACGGGGATTTACCCTGGGGCAAAGGGCGTGGTCTCAAGGTCACTTCAAAGTTGACCAAAAATTACATTTTATTAAAATGTTGATATTTTGCTTATTATAAGGACTAGGATCATCAAATCTTGTCAGTTGGTGCATCTAAGGACCTCATATCATGTTGACTCAAAAGTAGGTCACGGTGACCTACTTTTTAAATTTTGTGGCCATTCTTTTTCAAAATGATTTAGAGGCATATTTTGAACAATTTAAGGCCTATGATCATCAAACTTTGTCAGTTGATGCATCTTGGGTCCTCAAAGTACGTCAACTAAAAAGTAGGTCACCTTGACCTACTTTTTGAATTTTATGGCTAATCTTTTTTAAAACAATTAAGGTCATTAATTCGAATATGGGGAGGCTTAGAATCATTAAATCTTGTAAGATGATGCATCTTGGGGCCATAAAACATATTTATTAAAAAGTAGGTCACAGTGACCTACTTTTTGAACTTTGCAGGCATTCGATTTCAAAGCATTTTAGAGGCATAATTTGGACATTTTAAGTCCTATGATCATAAAACTTTGTAAGTTGATGCATCTTGGGTCCTCAAAAAAGGTCAACTGAAAAGTAGGTCACCGTGACCTACTTTTCAATTTATATGACTATAATTAAATATTTCAGGTACTAATTGGCTTAGAATCATCAAACTTTGTCAGTTGATGCATCTTGGGTCTTCGGAGTAGGTCGACTAAAAAGTAGGTCACAGTGACCTACTTTTGAAAATTTATGGCGTTAATTAAATATTTCGGGTACTAATTGGCTTAGAATCATCAAACTTTGTCAGTTGATGCATCTTGGGTCTTCAGAGTAGGTCGACTAAAAAGTAGGTCACAGTGACCTACTTTTGAAAATTTATGGCGATAATTAAATATTTCGGGTACTAATTGGCTAAGAATCATCAAACTTTATCAGTTGATGCATCTTGGGTCTTCAGAGTAGATCCACTAAAAAGTAGGTCACAGTGACCTACTTTTGAAAATTTATGGCTTTAATAAAATATTTCGGGTACTAATTGGCTTAGAATCATAAAACTTTGTCAGTTTAGGCGTCATGGGTCCTCGGAGTACAACAACTGAAAAATAGGTCACGGTGACCTACTTTTGAAAATTTATGGCTTTAATCAAATATTTCGGGTACTAATTGGCTTAGAATCATTAAACTTTGTCAGTTGATGCGTCTTGGGTCCCCGGAGTACAACAACTGAAAAGTAGGTCACGGTGACCTACTTTTGAAATTTTATGGCTGTATTTAATATTTTCAGGAATTATTTGGCTTAGAATCGTCAAAATTTGTCAGTTGATGCATCTTTGGTCCTTGGAGTAGGTTGACTGAAAAGTAGGTCACTGTGACCTACTTTTGAAAATTTATGGCTGTAATTAAATATTTTGGGTACTTATTGGCTAGAATCATCAAACTTTGTCAGTCGATGTATCTTTGGTCCTCGGAGTACAGCAACTGAAAAGTAGGTCACAGTGACCTACTTTTGAAAATTTATGGCTTTAATTAAATATTACAGGTACTAATTGGCTTAGAATCATCAAACTTTGTCAGTTGATGCATCTTGGGTCCTTGGAGTAAAACAATTGAAAAGTAGGTCACTTTGACCTACTTATAAAATTTTATGATTATAATTTTAAAAAATATTTTAGGTATTAATTGGCTTAGAATCATCAAACTTAGTTGATGGGTCCTCAGAGAATGACAAGTGATAAGTAGGTCACCATGACCAACTCTCAGGTACTAATTGGCTTAGAATCATCTTGGGTTCTCAGAGTGTGAATTGGAATTTCAAGGGTTTATGTAAATATACAGGATACTTTGAGGCTTCAAATAGAAGTGATAGGTTGTACAGTTTATCAGAAGAGCGATTCAAGGCCCATGGGCCTCTTGTTTTTCTTTTGATGTCCCTACTTTTACAGTCATTTTTAAACAAAAAGGGTGCACATTATGTAGCACCACTGCTTACATGTAAATATTGTGACAACATATTTATTACATTGGTGTCTGATTTTTTTTAAATTCAACATAAGCTGTTGAATGTAGGTCAAGCATGTGCGCTTGAACAAAGTATTTGCCCATAGTTCATAGAGTAAATAAACAATGATTATACTTATTGGACATGTTTATTTTAAGCATATTTATGCAAAAAATGGCTTTAAAATTATGTGTTTAACTAATGAATCATTTTTGATGTCGGAACATCAATGCTATTTATAGAATGACCTGTGGATGTTGGAAAAACCCATATGTGCATATAACAAGTGTATTACTTTCACCGTATGAACTATCTGACAGCAATTAATAAATTTTTCATGCTTATAAATATTTTTAATCAAATAAAAGCTTAATACTTAGTAACATATAAGTAAATTGCAATAAACATAAATAGACAACTATTGCATCATACCACGTAGGCCTACCGCGATTCACATCGAGTTCACCACAGGTGCGCAACACGTGTACAGTAAACGCTGTGATTCTAGTGATTTGAATTGTTTTATTGAAAGATTAATAACTGATCACAATTTCAAAGTATATCTTCCTCTTAAAATAGTCTACCTTTAATAATTCATGCATAGCGGGAAGCATAACGGCAATGTGTGATGCATGGCGGGGGATCGTGAATGCATGGCGGTACCGCCATGCAAGAACGGTCTGGGGAAAACACTGTATATACAATTTTATAAATTATGGTAAATTAATAAAAATACACAGATCCAGAAACTTACTTTAACCCACCATTGTTATTAAACTCAGGTTTCCTAATGATTTTCAATTACCCGGTATTTACAAAAAAAACAAACAAACAAACAAAAAAACAGAATTTTAAAGTGTACAGCTGTATAAATAATTGAATGCTACATTGGTAAGTCAACAATGTTCATGATGGCTTAATTTTCATGGAAAATTCTTTGATCGGGAACATTGTGAAATTAAAAACAGTGCAATGTATTCCACTTCAACACTATTTGTCAAGTTCTTTTTCCAAAGTATTTTTCATTAGACTTTACAACTATACATGTAAATGTACAAATATTTGGTAACAATTTGGAACAGAGGTACATATTGGAGAGTTAAAAAATTAAGATGTGCGCAAGGAGATCCAGTTAGTTTGATAAAATGGCCATCAAAAAATCTTTAAAGCAAGGCTTTAGTGGTATTATGTGGCAAAAAACTTGTGTATTACATAAAGTCATCTGGAAATTAACTTTTGGCAAGTGACAGAAAGTTGTGACTCTGATATTAACATAATATATGAACATATTTTATGACTAATTTGATAATTTATTTTTCATCAGAATGTGAATACAAGTGCTTTTAATTATTTTGAGGTTACAATGAGAACTGCAACTTGATCAAATGTTCTATTTATATAGTGCCCTGAGCAAGCTGTAGGAGGTATCTTCCAGTGCTTAAACAAAAGAAGAGGTGTTGTGTTTGATAATGGTCAGATTGGATCCACACCTCAGTGGATGGTCAAGGCTCACTTGCCCGTAAATGAATCATTTGGTAAGTTATCTTTAGCCTTGGTTAGGAAAATAGACTGTACTAAATAATACATGTATAGAATAAAACTTCCTATAAGGTATTCATTACTTTTGAAAGAGGTATGGGTAAAATTTAGTTGTATATGATGAATAACGTATTTTAATCTGTCAATCCTATGAAAAAGGATGATTAAAAGACACAGTTTCTGATACAACTTATTACTGTAGATCACTATTTTTCATGACACCTTATTTAGAGAGAAAGCTAAATGATAATTATAAGTGAGACATAATTTTCACGTGCTATGGGAATTGTTGTATATAATCCTTGAAAGTGGAAATTTACGCGAGAATGAAATTCTTGCGAGGAGACAGACATGTAATTACGCCAAAATAAAGTTCTCTCAAGTAAGAGGTGATTTACAGTAATTTTAAAAAAAGTTGCTATTGTTAGATTTTTTATTATTTCTTGATACATATTGTAAAATTCCCACAGCTATTCCTGTTTATTACACCAGCAGTTTTTCCCATTTTTAGGCTTCACTGGAGATCTGAGATCTTGTACGGGAGGTCAAGCTTTCCCACAGTGCGTGTTTGACCACTGGGATATCCTACCAGGTGACCCATTGGATGCTAGCAGTAAACCATACCAGGTTGTTCACGATACTAGGAAACGCAAGGGATTAAAGGAAGGTGTACCAGCTCTGGACAATTTCCTCGACAAACTATAAACATCAGCCCTATAGTATGCAATTATGAACTGAAAAAGGGACAATTTTATCTGTGTTGGCATTTGTAAATTATTTATTGTTTCAACAACTTGTCATTAATAGTGCTTCATGTCCTAAATTTAAGTGCTTCAAGTCTGGTTTCTCCTGTTGTGAACCTCAATTCACCAAAACTCAAGAAAAATGATGTTCAGATTAATTGACGTGGAAAAATTATTCAAGTTTAAGGAAAGAAAGAAAGTTGTTAGAGAAAAAAAAATTGTAAATAAAAAATAGAAAAAAAGCTTTTTTTTATTGTATTTAGTCTAATACAAAGAATTGTCAGAGAATTATTGAATGGTTCAAATGCTATGGACCTTGACAGTTGCACGAGGGTTACTGTTCTTAATTTTTTGGAAAGGTAAATTTAGATGGAAACTGGATTTTATTGAAAAAGGAAGACACTCTAAAGTCATGGTTGACTTGTTTAATTTAAGCTATTTGTAGTTACATTACATAATTCTTGAATCAACACCATGCAAATTAGCTGCAGATCTGTAGCTCGCAGGTCAGAGAAAAAAATTGGTATGGACGACCAGAGAGCGACAGTGCCACCCATTGAAAAAAGGATATACATGTATCTATTGCACCCCAAAAAATGCTGTTTCTCTATTTCTCCTTATTTCAATATTTTTCTGTGTGATATTAACATATTCTTTTACTACTTCCACAGCAAAACTATATGTACAAGTCATGCACAAAGCGTGCTGGACTGAATTGTCATACCACCCAAAACGGCAGTATAAATAGTGAAAGGATGATGTGTAAAACGCTCCCTCAGTAGATTGACAAAAAAATACTGGAATTTTACACCAATTTTTGCATATACTAGATTGTTGATATTTGTACCTTCATGAATACTACTTCCACTGAAAATAAGATCATATGTAAGATATATAACTTAATTTCAGGTAAGGGTACACTACGTCTAATCCCCATTCACTTTTAGCCCCACCCAATTTACAAAGTTTTTAAAATACCTGAGTGCAAGTACAGTAAAACTTGCCTAATCCGGACACCACTCATTCTTAAGAAATTGGCCGGATTAGACAACATTTTAAACGAATTTATTGAAAAGGACTTAAAAGTTTACATCGTATTAGGCAAGGTTTTGGATTAAACAACATCTGGATTATGCAAGTTTCACTGTAGGTACATTTTAAACTTTACTGGTCAGAGACCACAAGAGCTTATGCGATGGTAATGTGTCCATCAGTATGTAAACAATTCTTCAAAATGCTACTCCTCCTACAGTTTTGGTCTGATTCCAGTTTAACTTGGCACACAAGAAGGCTACACTAGGATACATAATTCTATGTTTCTGTTTTTGATTTCAATGAACGGTGTTGCCTTGGTTACTAAAAATAGAATTTTATGTGAAATATATTCAAAATGCTAATTCTCCTACATTCAGTTTTGGTCTGATTTCAGTATAATTCACCACACAAGTAAGTGGGTACCACAAGTAGACTACAAAAAGATACATCATTCTGTATATCGCTTTTTGATTTCGGTGAGCGGTATTGCCGTGGTTACTAAAAATAGAAATTTCTGTGAAATACTTTGAAAACGCAACTCCTCCTACAGTTTTGATGTGATTTTAAGATTACTTGGCACGTAAGTAGACCTCACTAAGATACATAATACTGTATATCAGATTTTGATTTAGGAGAACAATGTTGCCTTCCTTACTAAAAATTGAAATTTCTGTAAAATATTTTGAAAACGCTCCTCCTCTTACAGTTTTAGTCTGATTTTAATATAACTTTGCAGTTAAGTAGAGAACACTAAGATAAATAATCTGCTTAATGGGTTTTGGTCTCGAACAGTGTTGCCATGGTTACTAAAAATAGAAATTTCTGTGAAAAACTTTGAAAACGCTACTCCTCCTATTTAGGGCCCCGCTCTGCGGGCGCCCTATAGTGATCAGTCTGTCCGTTCAACCGAGATCTCTTGTCCGGAGCATATCTTCTCTCTCCTTGGCCCAATCTGGCTCATACTTCACCCACAGAGTGTCTTTGGGTAAAGGGTGTGCAGTGACCTTGAACCATGTTTCTAGGTCTAAAGTTAAGGTCATAGCAGAATTATGTGAAAAATCCTTGTCCGGAGCATATCTTCTCTCCTCTTGGTCCAATGTGGCTCATACTTCACTCACAGAGTGCCACTGGTCAATGGATGTGCGGTGACCTTGAACGAAGTTTTCAGGTCAAGGGTCAAGGTCAAAAATAGCCTCTCTGTTAAAATCTTTGTTCGGTGCATAATTTCTTTCCAGTCAGCCTCAAACTTTACCAATTGACTTAGGGTACGGAACATTTGGATTTTTCTTCCATATTTTTATAGAGGATATGAACAATTTTCGTAGAGGATATACAACATTCCTGATTTTTGTGCCGTGTTTTGATGGAGGGTATGGAGCACTCATGATTTTCATGCCATTTTTTATTATAACAAGGATGACATAAAGCCCTTTAGACTCAAACAACACATCCCTTAATAGTACGCAAATGTTCCTCTTCAAAATAAACCCTTTTCAGCTTCCTTACATTTTCATGTTCGTTGCTGAAAGCGGGTTCCTTTGAGATGGCCACCATCTCTATGATATCTAGTTTTAGTCTGATTTCAATATCATTATGCACCCGAGTTGATGCATAATTAGGTACAAAATTCTGTCTATTGATTTTTGATTTTGATAATTGGTGTTGCCATGGTTACTAAAAATAGAATTTTCTATTTAAGTACTTAAAAAACGCTACTCCTCCTACCAGGGATGGGGTAATCGTAATCGAGTAATCGTAATCGATTGTAATGATTACTTGTTTTCAAGTAATCGACAGTAATCTGTAATCGAAGAGATTTTCGATTACTTGTTATCGTAATTCAATCGATTACAGCTAAAATTTTCAATGTAATTATAATTACTTTTTCGATTACTTTCGATTATTTTATACATAAATGGATGTTATTTTGGAGAATCATTTCCAGTCAGTCACACATAAATATCAAATATAAACCACCTTGTGTAATGTTTGGATTTCCTAACTTTTATTATCATAAGTTTAATAATTTTCTCAATAAAATTTGCATTATAGACCTTCTGGTCTAGTATTAAATAATTCAGAAGTGCATTTCAACCATTTATTAATAAAATATACAGATTTTTCGTGTGCATTTTACATTTGACCCACTGTCCTCTTGCTGCATGTCCTTTTTCATATTTCAGATGTTGAAAAACTCTGTCTTGTAATAGAAAATTATAAATAGCAAAAACAGATTTAAGTACTATATCAAATATAAATAATTTGGTAAATAAACTACATTGTATTCGAAAAAAGAGAAGATGGAAATACTTATTCATATCTGAAAATGTTTAAACAACTTCAAACTTTTGTTTTAGTAACTTTAAAATTTGCAAAATCATTCTCATGTTTTCATTCAAAATTGTAAGGTTGCTTTCATATCATTGAGAGGTTATAAGTGTCTGTAAGAGAGGGAGTGTGTCACTGTGTTTGCTTATCTTAATTGGCCAATTAATTGACTGAGACATCCCTGATTTGCAGATAATGAGGTGTAAACTGTGAACTACCTAGTGTTTAACTTTCATTCCATTGAAGACAAACAGTATTATTAAAACAATTAATAGCTCTCAAAACAATTATTTCAATACAGAATGAAATTGTTTGAAAAAGACACGTACAGGAATGTTTCATGTGTACTGTCAACATACGGGCAGCCCAAATACTTCTAATGAAGTAATTCACAATAAAATATTAAATAATTTTTGCAACAAGTCAATAAATATGGAGGTTCAGATCCAAGGTTGAAAGGAATAATTAATTCCTTGGCATATCATGTCTCCACTTTCCATGGTAGAGAATCCCTCATTTGGGCATTTAGTGACCTTGACCTACTTTTTGAATTTTATGGCTAATCTTTTTCAAAACAATTAAGGTCGTTAATTCGAATACTGAGAGGTTTAGAATCATTAAATCTTGTAAGATGATGCATCTTGGGGCCGTAAAACATTTTTATTAAAAAGTCACAGTGACCTACTTTTTGAACTTTGCAGGCATTCGATTTTAAAGGCTTAATTTGGACATTTTAAGGCCTATGATCATAAAACTTTGTAAGTTGATGCATCTTGGGTCCTCAAAAAACATCAACTGAAAAGTAGGTCACCGTGACCTACTTTTGAAAATTTATGGCTTTAATTAAATATTTCGGGTACTAATTGGCTTAGAATCATCAAATTTTTTCAGTTGATGCATCATCAAAACTTTGTCAGTTGATGCATCTTGAGTCCTCGGAGTACAACAACTGAAAAGTAGGTCATTGTGACCTACTTTTGAAAATTAATGGCTTTAATTAAATATTTCAGGTACTAACTGGCTTAGAATCATCAAACTTTTTCAGTTGATGCATCTTGGGTCCGCAGAGTTAGTTGACTGAAAAGGAGGTCACTGTGACCTATTTTTGAAATTTTATGGCTTTATTTAAATATATCAGGTACTTATTGGCTTAGAATCATCAAACTTTGTCAGATGATGCATCTTGGGTCCTCCAAGTATGTCTCCTGAAAAGTAGGTCACTGTGACCTACTTTTGAAATTTTATGGTTATAATTTTAAAAATATTTTAGGTATTAATTGGCTTAGAATCATAAAACTTAGTTGATGCATCTTGGGTCCTCAGAGAATGACAAGTGATAAGTAGGTCACCATGACCAACTCAAAAGTAATAATTGGCTTAGAATCATCCTAAAATGTAGGTCATGATGACCTACCTTTGGAATTTCAAGGGTTCATCTAAATATACAGGATACTTAGAGGCTTCAAATAGAAGTGATAGGTTGTATAGTGTATCAGAAGAGCGATTCAAGGCCCTTGGGCTTTTTGTTTTTATTTCAATGAGCGATTTTACCATGGTTACTAAAAATAGAAATTGTAAAATTCTCTCAGTAGGCTTCTCCTCATACAGTTTTACTCTGATTGCAATAAATCTTGCCACGAAAAGAGACTAAACCAAGGATCATTATTCTATTTATTGCTGTTGAAAAGTTTCATGTCCAAATGCTACTTTTCTCTTACTTTGTTATAAGTACAGATTGGTCACTATTTTTATAAAATCTATATGTGAAAGGAGAAAATTGTACCTCGTGTGCTCGATTCATGTGTCATTTCTATTCACTATTCAAATCATTGCAGATGTATTAGAATTAGTCATTTTAATCCACTATTAAATTTATTGTAGATTTATTAGAATTTGTCATATCAATAGGGACCCCTTACATAAGTTATGGCAATTCATCCTTTTCGATGATCTCATGCCCAGGAGGGTATGAACAATGGTTTGGGGGAATGTTTTTGTTATGGAAGTAGTTAAAGAGTAAGTGACCAGGTTCAATTTTTTGGAGCAGGTCCATTCCAAAGCAGCTATAAGCCCTAGTTGGTGATTAAACTTGCATTGATGATCCAATTGAGGGATGCACACCGCCAGACTTGCTTCAATGCTTGATCTTACCTACTTTTTCTAGGTAACTGAACAGGCTCAAGTTTTTAGAGCAGGTCCATTCCAAAGTAAGCATAAGCCATATGGTAACTTGCAATATATTATTAACAAGTCTACCTGGATCCGGTTCCACGAACGTTAGTTAAATTTAACTGGCCGTTAACTTTGCGTTATCCTGACGTTAAATTTAACGGTGAGTTAAACCAGTTGCACAAAAGTTAACTAACAGTTAAAACCTAATTAATTTTCTGATTTAACTAACAGATTTAACTGAGGTTATCTAGGTACATTAAATATTTAATTAAGCATTAAAATCAAAATTGCGGACTTGTTATCATTTCAAAATTTCTTTGCGTGGAAGGAAGAACTTATATAGAGATAATAGAAATGTCTGACTTGAGCTACATGCAAATTTAATCCCAATTTCGATTTAGGCAAGATTGTATTATACATGTATATATTGCGGATACATGTTGCGATATTATCTGCAAAGAACAACAAGACGAAATCATTCCATATGAGTGGAGATGTAGGTACATTTTTTTTATCCGATTATGCATACAATAAATTTCATTATATTTTATCAAAATGATCATCATTTAAAAAAATCTTAACCTCAGACAAGTTACTGAAAAGTAGGTTAATCGTTTAATTCAAACTTAAGGCACGTAAAACGGGGAGGGGGGTGGGTGGGTGTTCCTCTCCCACTTTTTAAGAGATTTTTTTTATTATTATTATTTTCAATTTCCCTCCCAAAATTAATGCCTCGTGTTAGACCTTAATACTGAATACATACTCACTAATTATTCTATTTATTGCTGTTGCAAAGTTTCAAGTCCTAGACTTAGTGCAACATTTCTCTTCCTTTTTTATAAGTTCAAACCAGTAGAGCTACAGTCTCATTAGAGACTTCTGGTTGTATTATATATACATTATAACTAGAAATATGTCCATAGGACATGAATGCCCCGCCGAGGGTATATTAGTAATGCAACATTTTAACACAAATTGAGAAAAGTGAGGTCAAGGTCAAAGGAAAGGTCAAGGTGAAAAAATATTGATGCAGTTGAATAGCTTACATCAGTATGTATCGATTACACTATCTTGAATGGTATCTTTAAAACTGAGCTAAACACTAATTTAAGAAAATTGAGGTCAAGGTCAAAAGAAAGGTCAAGGTCAAAAAATGTTGATGCAGTTGAATAGCTTACATCAATATCTATCAGCATAAATAGTTTGATAAAAATATCTTGGATAGTTTCTTTGAAACTGAGCTTTGAACAGAGCTAATCGCAAAGTGTGACGGAAGGACAGAAGGACGGAAGATGGACATGACAAACACTATATGCCAAGGCCATATTCATGGAGGGGCATAAAAATTCTTCTATAATTCTCTTATTCAATTGCATTTTATAATAGATTGATGAAGGGATGATACTATGACAATGAAGCAATAGTTTGATAGCACTCATCTGGAAAATATAGCTCAAATCCAGCATCTGAAGTCAGTCTGGTAGTGTGCATCCCTACTTGCATCATCATTTCAAGTTTAATCACCGTAAGACTTAAAGATACTTGGGAATGGACCTGCTCCAAAAACTTTAACCTGTTCAATCACCCATTAGATGTAGCTCAGATCCAGCATCTGAAGCAGGTATGGTAGTGTGCACCCTTAGATGCAACATCCATGCAACACTGGTCATCCTAGAGCATTTACAGTTGAACTGATATATCAAACATTGATATCTGGATTACCATGGTATGCTGAAGTGAATTGGAAGTCCAAACCATGGTTTCTTTGCCTATTTTAACCTCAATATCTCAAGCCCACAGATATCTCAAAGTTTTTTCTGTGTCATCGAGTTCAAAATAATAGGCTTTGACTGTAATCACTTAAGAATGCACCTTCTCCAAAAACTTTAACTTGGTCACTCATCCAGAAATGTATGTCAAATCCAGCATCCAAAACAAGTCTGATATGTGCACCCTTATATGTGTCATCCATGCAAGTTTGGTCACCATAAAGCTTGAAGTTACTTGGAAATGGACATGCACAAAAATAATAACTTGTTCACAGACAATGCACAATGATTGAAAAAAAAAACAGATAACAATCCGACCTAAAAAACACAAAACAGCATGTGTTTATCTTTCATTTATTTTTCATAAATGGGTGGGGGGGTGGGGGGGGGGGAAGCAAAAAAGTTAAATCAATAACCAAATTTTTCATTTAGAAATGTCTTTCCATCTCCTGATTGATCTACAAAATTAAAAAATCAAGAGTTCAATAACTGAGATATTTAATAGAGATTTTTAAAAAGAAAGCACATGTACTAATCATGTATGAATTTTGAGTCACTCATATAAATCCAGAACAAATTACTCAATTCAGCATTAGAATAACATATACAGTAAAACACACTTATAACAAAGTGCCAGGGACAATTTTGCTTTGTTATAAACATAATTTTAAGCTAACAATATATTTTTGAGCCACTGGGAATGATAATCACTTCATTGTAAGCATAAATTCCTTATAAGCAAGTTCACTTTAAGCATGTTTTATATTTATTGTACTTCTACTGAATCACTTTTAAATGAACAAGACTTACTTTCTGGAGGGACCCACACAGCGTAGTCTGGATCCTCAGATGAGTAGGACGATCCAAGTTTTACATCTTGTTTTTTTACCTACAGGAATTAAAATGTTTTATTGTTTATGGCCTGCACTACAATACATTGACTCAAACTGGCATATCTACATACCGGTATATCAAAATATGAGTATATTGGAGCACTGAGTGATAAAATGTAAACCATCTTTTATTCATGAGCCAGAAATTTTATGTAGGGGTCACAAGATTCTTTTTAAGTGTTTAACTTTTTAAAGTTAAGATTTTTACATGTAAACATTACTAGTGCTTTTAAAATTTATATATGTACATTTTTTAACTTTTAAATTAAGGAGTGTTTATTTAGTTTTGGGTGTTGTTGGTGAGTAAATCACACAGACTTGTTATGCAGACATATTTCATGAAGCCACTAGCACTTCATGAAAAATATGCAGCCAAGTCTCTGTGATTTACACCAATAACATTCACAAACTGAAACATTTTATCCATTTAAAACCAACAAAAATACACTCAAGATTTGAATATTTCTCTGCCCCTTTTCATTACCTTTTCATTATCATCCCTGTAGCCTTATTGAATATCTCAGTACATGTATCCATTTCTACACATGAGTATACACAAAAATGGCAATTAAGACAATTTCATACTTGATTAATTTTTTATTATGTTTAGGGCTTTATAAATTGTGTATAATAATAAAAATATTAAGAGGCCCATGGGCCACAATACTCATCTGAGTCACTATGGCCTTACTGTTCTTCAGCAGATATTTCCCCATTATATTTCTATGTAAAACATTGGTTGCCCATTGTGGCCCAATCTTACCCACAGGTGTCATGATTTGAACAAGCTTGAATGTACATTACCTGAGGATGCTTTCAGTCATATAAATATGACTATTCATACCTTTGCTGATCTTTTAAAAGAAGATGTTTTACTTTAAAGATTTTGATTTTTTCCTATATATTACTAATATAAAACATTGATCACCTATGGTGCCCTCACTCTACCCTACCCTTATTTAATTTAATTTGAAAATTTCACATAAGAACTAGTGGTCCTCTGGAAGGTTTTAAGATTTTTTCCGATTTCTTCCCATGTAAAACTTTGATCACCTATTATGGTCCCACCCTACCCTGGGGTAAAGACTTGAACAAAATTGAATCTACACATACCAGTAATCTTCATGTAATGAAGCTTTCACATAAGTTTTTTTTTGCCCTGTGGTGTTTGAGGAGAAAATTTTTTAAAATATTTTTCCTATGTAAAAAAGATAGTTTTTGATATCTAGATGTTAATTTATTAAGAGTTATTTCCCATTGCCCATCATATTGGAGGTCAACATACCTAGACCCCTTCATTATTCTACCAATTTTAAAATTGTCATACTGGACATTCAGGTGTATATAACACTATTTTTCTGACAATTATATGTTTGGTAAAGCCTCCTTTAATTCATAATTTTTATTACTCCTTTATATTTCTGCCATACATGTTTAAAATTCATTGATGAAAGGAAAAAAAGGTTCACCAGTTTGACCTCCAAGATCACCAAGGGGAATAACTCTGAGGGAAAATGCTTGTAAGAAAATTATCTTTTGTGGCCCCACCCTACTCCTGTTTTAAGAAACAAACTTCCTTTAGTGATACATTTTGATGAGTGCTATTGAACTGCATCAACAACTTTTTACCTTGACCTTTCTTTGATCTTGACCTCGCTTTTCTTAAATTTGCTTTTAGCTCAGTTTCAAATAAAAATTCAAGATATTTTTATGCAAGTTGGTGCACTGATACACATTTTGGTGAGAATTCATCAACTGTGTCCAATTTTTTTTTTACCTTGACCTTGGGAGTAGGTTATCTATTTTGAAGAAGCTATACCTTAATTGTACTGGTTACATGCTGAAGCACATGTACATGCCATCATACCTTAGGAAGGGGTTTAATTTTCTTTTGTTTCTCTGATTTTCTGTTCTCTTCTACTGTTCCTTTAATGCTGTCTTCCCCTCTCAGCTCAGGAGGAGGCATGGTAGGACCCTTCAATATGGCTGCTGTAGGAGGCACAGCAGAACCTTTTAATAAAGTCACAGTTTCCTCTGATTTAGAGGTCTTATGAATGTTTTCAACATTTTTAACAGTTTTAGTCAATGATTCAGCCTCCACTGTCCCATTTGATCTATTCTGCCCTTCTGTCCCTGAAGTCTTGGTTGATGTATCTACAGAGGAGGAAATGTGTGTGTCTGTGATCTCCATGGAGATTTCCTCTTCTTCCTCCTCTTCCTCAACAATGTTGTCTTCATTTTCAGTGGGTGTCTTTGGAGGGGACTGTAAAATTTACAGATTATCCAGTTAGAACTATAAATCATTGAGTTATTATGTGCTTGCTCTATAGTAACCACTGCATTTAATCATCTTGTTGTATGTCAGAATTTTAACTGGCACAAGTTAGGGAGAGGGCGAAATAAGTTTTAAGAACTTGTGCCCAATCCCATTGTATATATATTGCAATAAAATATGTTCACTTCAAACTGGCACAATGAGACTTAATTTTTAGCTCATCTCAGTGAAGTCTCAATGAGCTTATGCTATACCTCTTACGCCTGGTGTTGGCAATAGCAGGTTTAAGTTTTTGGGGCAATTTCATTCCAAAGTAACTACATGTATAAGCCTTATTTTGACCAAACTTGCATGGATGATGCATCTAGGGATTTGACCTAGATTTTCATGATGAGTGACCCAGTTAGTCATAGGGGCAAGTCCATTCCCTAGTAATTATAAGCCCTTCCTGTTCCAAACTTGCATGAATGATATCTAGGGATGCAAACTCTCAAACATGATAAGGATGCTGGATCTGACTTACATTTCCTAGTTGAGTGACCAGGTAAAATTTTTTTGGAGCAAGTGCATTTGCAAGTAACTACCAGAACACACTTTGGATGCTGGATCTATCTTACATGTACATTTACAAGATGAGTGACCTGGGTAAAAGTATTTGAGTTCATTCCCAAGTATCTACAATGTTCTTTGCTGACAAAATGATTTGACCTATATTTTCCAGATGAATGACCAGATTAGAATTTTTGGAGCACATCCATTACCAAGTAACTAATAGCCCTATGTTAATCAAACTTTCATGGATTATGCATCTAGGAATGCACACCATCAGACTGACCTACATTTTCTAGATGATAGACTAGTTGTAGCTTTTGGAGCAAGTCCATTGCCAAGTAACTATTAGTGCTACCCAGATGAAATGTGCATCGGTGAATCTACTAATGCACATTATCAAAAGATTCATTTGTTGTGAGACTCTGCCTTGATTCAAGGTAATATTTGTCGAGGTGAACTTTGTAATCATTGATTATCTATTGTTCATATTTTGATAACTCAAGTGCTTATTGACCAGTTGTCTTTGTATTCACAATACAGATAAGCAACAATTAATGGTGCAAATTATAAATTTTGGGGTTACATAATCAAAGATCAAGATCCTTAGGTCAAAATAACACATTAAATTTTAAGTTGTTGATCAGCATGACCTCATACTCATTGACATCCCAACTAGATGTAAAACATATTTCATAAAATGAAAAAGTTTTGTTGAAACAATCTTGAAATGAACGTCATAAAACAATAAATAAGTTTGACCAATGCTGAACAACGATATCTGGAGCTTGGATAAAAAGTAAATACAGGAGAATGCAATTGTACCTTAGGCTTAGGATTTCCAAGTGGCTTCTTCAGTCTGCCAAATGTATAATGGGCTTTGTCTGCCCTTGCCTTCACTGCCACATTGTTACTGCATTGTAAATAAAGAAGAATTAATGTACTTAAATCTAACTATCAAGATCCATATTTACTCTTTTCATGTAGCCTATGCTTGTCAAAATAAAACAAGTACATTCAAATACAATCAGTACAAACATGCACAGATATATCTATTTAGGTTTATAATACCTTTAACATCACTTCAAGGGTTGGAAAAGAATTATCGGTATGACAGTCTTAAAATCTGTTAAAAACTTTTTAAGTAAAACAGCCTTAATAAAATTGGCTACCTTTTCAGTTCTGGCAGGGCTGCTGGTTTAGCCACATTGATGAGCTTCTGTAATTTCTGTGCTTCCTTCCTCAGCTCCAGGAGTTGTCTCTTTAGTTTCATCTTTGTCTTGGTATCCATGACTCCCGATTTAATGGCTGACATGTAGGCATCCAGGGCATCCATTCCTTCTTCCTGCATTGCCTCAGTCTCTGTATTAACAACATAAAATGATTTCAAATTTAAGAAATTGAATTTTACACAACTCTAAAAAGCATCTGGAAAAAGTTATCAAGTGACATTTTTGGTGTGATTTCTATTTAAGAAATAAGTGATAATGGTTCATTGTCACAAGACAGTAAATTTACAGACTAACTTATTGCAGCACTGTAATTTAAAAAAAAAAGAAAATTACTGGATTTTTCCTATCAGTTTATGTTTCTATGTAAAATTTCAGAACCCCTCCCTGAATCCCTCCTGGTGTAATGGGCTATAGACTGAACAAAATTAAATCTGAACTACAGAGGACATTAGGAAGCTTCCACAGGTTTTACAACTTCAGGTTCCTAGAAGCTTTTTTTTTAAATGATCCCAGCCTATTTTCATAATTTCTTCATTATCTCCATTTAAAAAAGGACATGGACATTTACATATTAAAATTATTTCCCATAAGCAGTGGATGCTTTGTGTCAAGTTTGGTTGAAATTAGCAAAGTGTTCTGGAGAAGATGGAGCATGTGAAAAGTGGACACAGAACAGAAAACAGAGGGATGAAAACTGATAGCAGTAGATTAAGTTCAAATATAAATTTTATTCTATGTTTATGAAGAGAGCTTATATAGGCAGTGTGTCTGCCACCCAATTCTATTAAGTATTTAACATAATAAAAAACTGTTTAAATAAAAAAAGAATATATCAAATGTTACATGTATATATATTCAGGAACAACTTTACACAGTAATTCAGCACAATGTAAACGATAAAATTCACAAGTCTCTAACAAACTACTTATTTAAATTTACTTTTACATGGTAAATTGCATGCAATCAAATACCTTTCTTTGCTTTGGCTAAATTTTCTTCAATGTCTTTTATTTCTCTCTGTAAGTTGTCAAGTTTCTCTGTCTGTAAAATTTTTAAAAGGAGGTTATTTACATCTACATATGTATATATATATATATATATATATATTATAGGGTGATTTTATACAAAGTACTAGCTTTATACATCAAATTGAAATGGTGAAAATGCACTAGCATTACTTGCCAAAAGAACATAAACCCAGAGCTAATATAAATACAATCTTTTCTAAACATGGTATTTAATGCGTACAGTCTTTTCATTTGTATTTTTTTTTTTGAATGACATTATTTAAAAGCTTGTCAAAGTGTCATTCATCTATGGCATTACTATCCAGGTAATGGAATGTATTGAATAAAGCATGACCCTTTGTGAGTGATATCTTCCAAGTGTATCAATTAACAAGAGGCCCAAGGGCCTTAACGGTCACCTGAGTATAATACAACAATTTAGAAGTTAAATACACTGATAGATGAAGCTTTGTTGCCCTAAAGCAAGAAAAGTAGGAAAATCAGGATCAACAAAATAATTAGTCTAGTATTCAGTATCAACTCATAACTTAATCTTTCCCCCACTTAACACTATCACCATGCAGACTACTAACAAACTATTAGTGCTTCTGTACTATTTTTAAACCCATATTAAGACCTCTAGCATTGACCTCTCTTATGGTCTTTGAAGAACTTTTAATAAGATAAGTTATTTTTGTCTCATTTTTATTTATCTATTACTTACAGGTCTACCTGATTATTAAAACTAAGAAAATACTTTTTGAATTATACGATAAACATTCTTGCATAATTATCTTATTCTATTAACCTTTCAAATACATTATTTACAGTGATTAATTATCAAAGGTGAACGGAAAAGGGGAATAACTTCTCTCAGTAGAATACAAATTAATAGAGCCCTGCCCAGGACTAGAATGCTTAGACAAATGGTCCAGATGTTCAAAAATCTGGTAAAAATACGCTTACTTATATCATTTAAACTTTTACTCAGTTTTCTTCCGATATATGCCCAGAAGCAGAGAAGAATTTCACAGGTACAATGCATTTTCACTACAGATTCAACAAAGCCTTACCCTAACACCAGAACCCAAGACCAAGGGTCAAGAAATTTACAAATTTGGAAGAGTTACCCTCATCATCATAACTATGGACTTCGAAGTATTAACACTTTTCCACTATATTATCAAAAGCCCCCCCCCCCCCATCATGCCAGAACCCCTGACCCTAGGACCACAAGATTTAAAAATTCTGTTTGAAACTCCCATTTTCATCATAGCTAAGCAATTTATTTATCAGCTCAACGCTAAGGAGCAGACAGGATTAATTACTGATTAATTAATAGAATTAATGCTTTTTCACTATATAATCAATAGAGCCCCCCCCCCCCTTCCTCAAGAACCCCAAAAACTGAGGCCATATATTTAAAAATTTTGGAAGAGGCATCCTTGCCTATCATAATCATGCACTTAGTTTGTTTAGATAATCTCCAGTAGCAGAGAAGAAGATTTTCAAAGAATCAATGCATTTTCACTATATAATCAATAGAGCCCCGCCCTAACACCAGAACCCCTGGCCCTGGGGCCATGAAATTCACAATTTTTGAAAAGGCATCCTTATGCATCAAAACCATGCACTTAGTTTGTTAAAATAATCTCCAGTAGCAGAGAAGAAGATTTTCAAAGAATTAATGCATTTTCACTATATAATCAATAGAGCCCCACCCTAACACCAGAACCCCTGAACCTGGGGCCATGAAATTCACAATTTTTGAAAAGGCATCCTTATGCATCATAACCATGCACTTTGTTTGTTTAAATAATACCCAGGAGCAGAGAAGAAGATTTTCAAAGAATTAATGCATTTTCAGTATATAATCAATAGAGCCCCGCCCTAACATCAGAACCCCTGACCCAGGGGCGATGGCTTTCACAATTCTGGAAGAGGCCCACCTCATCATCATAACTATGTACTTCGTTTATCATCTTAATGCCCAGGAGCAGAGGAGAAGATTTTCAAAGAATTCATGCATTTTCACAATATAGTCAATAGAGCCCCGCCCTAACACTAGAACCCCTGACCCTAGGGCCATGAAATTCATAATTTTGGAAGAGGCTCTCTTGCTCATCATAACTATGTACTTAGTTACTTTATTCAATACCCAGGAGCACAGAAGAAGATTTTCAAAAAATTAATTCATTTTCACTATATAATCATTAGAGCCCCGCCCTAACACAAGAACCCCTGACCCTGGGGCCATAAAATTCACAATTTTGGAAGAGGCTCTCTTGCTCTTCATAACTATGTACTTAGTTACTTTATTTAATACCCAGGAGCACAGAAGAAGATTTTCAAAGAATTAATGCATTTTCACTATATAATCAATAGAGCCCTGCCCTTACACCAGAACCCCTGACCCTGGGGTCATGAATTTCACATTTTTGGAAGAGGCACTCTTGCTCTTCATAACTATGTACTTAGTTACTTTATTTAATACCCAGGAGCAGAGAAGAAGATTTTCAAAGAAATAATGCACTTTCACTATATGATCTATATAGCCCCACCATGGGGCCAGAACCCCTGACCCTGGGGCCACGAATTTCACAATTTTGGAAGAGGCATTCTTGCTCATCATAACTATGTACTTAGTTATTTTATTTAATACCCAGGAGCACAGAAGAAGATTTTCAAAGAATTAATGCATTTTCACTATATAATCATTAGAGCCCCGCCCTAACACCAGAACCCCTGACCCTGGGGCCATGAATTTCACAATTTTGGAAGAGGCACTCTTGCTCTTCATAACTATGTACTTAGTTACTTTATTTAATACCCAGGAGCAGAGAAGAAGATTTTCAAAGAAATAATGCACTTTCACTATATGATCTATATAGCCCCACCCTGGGGCCAGAACCCCTGACCCTGGGGCCATGAATTTCACAATTTTGGAAGAGGCATTCTTGCTCATCATAACTATGTACTTAGTTACTTTATTTAATACCCAGGAGCACAGAAGAAGATTTTCAAAGAATTAATGCATTTTCACTATATAATCAATAGAGCCCCACCCTATCACCAGAACCCCTGACCCTGGGGCCATGAATTTCACAATTTTGAAAGAGGCATTCTTGCTCTTCATAACTTTGTACTTAGTTACTTTATTTAATACCCAGGAGCAGAGAAGAAGATTTTCAAAGAAATAATGCACTTTCACTATATGATCTATATAGCCCCACCCTGGGGCCAGAACCCCTGACCCTGGGGCCATGAATTTCACAATTTTGGAAGAGGCATTCTTGCTCATCATAACTATGTACTTAGTTATTTTATTTAATACCCAGGAGCACAAAAGAAGATTTTCAAAGAATTAATGCATTTTCACTATATAATCATTAGAGCCCCGCCCTAACACCAGAACCCCTGACCCTGGGGCCATGAATTTCACAATTTTGGAAGAGGCACTCTTGCTCTTCATAACTATGTACTTAGTTACTTTATTTAATACCCAGGAGCAGAGAAGAAGATTTTCAAAGAAATAATGCACTTTCACTATATGATCTATATAGCCCCACCCTGGGGCCAGAACCCCTGACCCTGGGGCCATGAATTTCACAATTTTGGTAGAGGGCTCAATGCTTGTTACAATGACGCCAACAGTTTGACTGCTTGATGTCCTGGAGTAAAGAAGAAGATTTTTAAAGATTGCATTATTTTTGGTGGTTTTAGCCCCACCCCTCAGGCCCCAGGGGGGCAGGGACCATGAAATTCACAATTTTTGTTCCCCTTCACCCATAGATGCTATATGCCAAATTTGGTTGAAATTGGTTAAGCGGTTTCAGAGAAGAAGCTAAAAAAGTTCAAATGTTAACACACGACGCACGCCGACGGATGAGAACGGATAGCAATAGGTCACCTGAGTGACTCAGGTGACCTAAAAATACAAACATTGTTGAACTGTAAATGGTTCATCAGAATACATAATGAATGTGATAAAACTTTGTTAGTAATAATGATACACATGTAAATGAGGCATAAAATGCAGCAATATGTCACACAGCAATTTGAAAATGCTGCTGAATGCATTGAAACTAAATTATAATCTATGTTCTAACTTGGGTTTTTAAATTCCTGAACCTAAATAAAAAATTTTCTCATGTAGGAACACTGCAATGTTAAATTGATATTCAAAGTAAAATGTTTCTACCAGAGATTCATAAGTTTCCACTTGGTCGTTCATTTTTCCTGCTTTCTGCATTCTCTGTTTCCGCTTCTTCTCTATGTCTCCTGTACGATCGAGAAACGTGTCATCATCACTGTCATAGAAATCATCTTCCTCCCAGTTCTTTTTCTTCCTCTTACGACTTTCTGTAATAATTAAAATTAGGTCGCATTTGGTACAGCACAAATAAAGAGTACAGCAAGGGTAAATGATGCATCCATAAAGAACTGTGGCTGAAGTATTCACCTCTGAATCTAGAGTCAGTCAGACTGAAATAACTCCACAAGAACAACACAATTAGAAAATGCTAGGTAAATCAACAGCCACCATGGTCTTATCATAAGCTGATGGAGAGTTTCTATCAATTCTTTTTTTACCAACAACATCTGATGAGATTCTGAATCTTTTACAGAAACGACAATTGTAAACTTATAATCCTTTTCTAAGGCATTTGTACTACAGAATTTTTCAACAGTTTCTACTTTTTTTTAATCTCTGACTTTTAGAGAAACTCACTCAAAACTGGTAACAAAAAAATAATATCTATTGCACACAAGTTTCAATTATCACATCTTTGTAAGGGTTGTTTTGCCAGTTTAAAAGAAATGAATATATCTACTTTCTTTAGAATAAGATAAGAGGCTCAAGTGCCCTTCAGTTGAACAATGTGTCTTTTATTGTAAAAATAGATTTATGCTCAAAAGTCAGCAGGACTCTCCCACATAAATGTTGGGATGGTGCAAGGGCTATTAAAATTAAAAGAATAATGGAATGTTAGTACAATAGAAATGGGAATCACCATGAACCTGAACACTCAAGCTCAATAAAATGGTGCAAATGATGTCGCTGGGGGTTAAGCGTAAAAAAATAATGAAATATCACAGAAAATACTTTTTGAATGAATGCATGAATATGTAACCTTTAAGGCAAAAATACAAAAATGAAGTGAACAAATCATATTGAAATATTTTATTTGGCATATAGTGGTTTTTTGAAACGTACGTTACTGTCGCCAACATCGAATAATTACACTTAAATGGCTATTTTTTGTACAAATAACAGTTGAATCTTAAATTAGATAGCATATGTCTTCAAAACATTTATTTGTAAAATGCTTTTAATAAATTATTGAGCATAATCACAAATATATTACCAAACTTTGATTTGATATCGCGATGTCGCCAGAAACAAAATAAAAACGGACTGTGACATTAAATATAGTATGAGTATTCGGTATTGTATGCCTGTTAGATTGGAATACGTTTTATTTTGAAGGAAACTTCTTGACAATTAAAAATAAATGGTACAAAGCCTTGTATATGCTACCAATACTTTGAAATTACATTCTATCTTCCTGTTTTACATGCGTATGGATAGGCATGAAACATTCGTTGTATTAGTTTAATAGATGAAATAGAATGATATCATAGTTAAACATGTGATACTTTTTCTTCTATCCAACAGCTGTATTCCATGCTCCAACCATGATTTAACAATGTCTTATTGTTAGCTTACTATTTAAGAGAAAATGATTAAATGAAACAACCGTTACCGAAACATTCGTTACCAAACCTCTTAAAAAAGAACGATTTATGAGTTCAAACATCTTCTGCACATATACGTGGTCAAATATTTTGCGCCAGTATTCAAATTTTGACATCCGGAGTACGGTACTGCCTTTTTATGATTTTTTTTCTAAAGTCTAGACAGTGTTGGTGAGTTTGTTTTCTAGAATACAATAACAATGAATCAAAAGGAATGAATTAGTATGTAACTGTTAATATTTATATAACGACCGACAACAACTACGCAACCAGTATCAATCTACACCTGAACGTCCTCTATTAGTCTTGAAAGGTGTTGAAACATTCGTTACCGAAGGTAACGAATGTTACAAAATTTTTAACAAATCATATATCAAAATTGCAACAATATTTACAGAATTTCTTTCATGACTAATTGTTCGAATGTAAACTTTATTGATTGATTTGTATCATTTAAGCTTAAGTTGCATAAATTTTAATATAAACTGATTCTAGAGACGCATTATTGAACACACACATTACTTCTGAAGAAAAACATTAATTGAAATTATTTTGAAAGACATTTTTAGATTGAATCATATGATATTGATTAAACAAAGGCTTGAGTTTCTATTCTGAATCTACATCAGGGTTTTTTGTTTCTCTCTTATAATTTTGATACTGTTAAACTCGCAGTTTATGTTAAGTAACGTACGTTTCAGCATATTATTTTAGTTGAAGTATGGCAATGACCCAAGCAAAAATACGAAGGAAGTTTCCATTGATGGTTAAATGATTTCAAGCTAAAAGTCATCAGAAAAATTGTTATTTACATTATTTTAGGTTCTGTTCAAACGTCTATACAGACAATTTTACATATATCTCTTATCCGTTTGTACATATAGTACAGTTCAAGGAAAATATGACACGATGATATATATGATGCAGTTCAAATTATGATTTCTTTTGACATTTTCAATACCATGGCACAAGAAGAGCAGAAATTACATCTCATGAATTGGTCCATTTTGTTGGAATTAATCTTAAAAACAGTAAATATTACTTCTCATGAAACATTCGTTACATATGAACGTTGTTGCCTTTGAAAGTGTAAATAAGAACAAGACCACAATTCATGAACAACATTTTATTTAACGTTTCTATAAATGGATCCTCTATTTATTTAGAACCCCCATTTGCGCCGGGCAGATTTGATTTTTCTTGAGGCATATTTGAAATATAAAATTTTAGAGATATGTCAAATTCATTTGAAGAAAAAAATATAATACGACAATTTGACTGCATCAATTCATAAAATACATTATGACAGTTGACCTTTTTTGTCTTATCACGAAAGTAAATAGACTGGTTTGCTTTTGACATTGAGGATTTATTACAATCTATATTATTTCATCCTAAAATCTTAAAGGAAAACTATTATATGATACGTAACGCTTGTTTCTCAGCAAATAATGATCAACAATACACCTTTATTTCAACTTGACGTAATTTCTTAACCAATGAACTTAACTTGAAAAATCTTTGGGAATACAAACTTGATATGTTGATCTATCCGAAAATCTTATTAGCAGATGGATAATCAAAAGTCGATTTTTGAAGGAAAAATATCTTGAATTGCACCAATTTATTGAGTTTGGGTGTGAAGCATATTTTATAGACAGTAACGTTTAGATATAATCTTTTCTGAAGTGAATAACAAAAAAAAAAATTAATATGTTTTTGAATATGGGTTAGTTAGTAAGTGAGGAAACTCAATTACAAATGCCTTTTGGGAAAAACTAACTTTTTTTTTTTATGATGGGAATGGTGCTGAATATCGGCTACAATTATATAGAATTAAGAGTCTAGTGACGATGTTTCTACATGTATATTGTTTTAAATATAAAAGATTTCCACAAGGTATCAAAAGAAAGAGTTAATTAAATGTTTTACATGTAGTATTAGACTGTTAAGAGGAAAAAACATTTTTTTTTACCATGAGTTGCTGCCCTTAGTAGACCCATTCTGTCCAGCATACGACAAGCCTCTAGAGCACATTGAATAACAGACTCCTTCTTCTTTCCAGAAACAATGGCCTCAGCCACCATAGGCTCTCCTGTAGGGGTGTCCACTGGTAATCTTACAAAAAACACACAAAGGACATAGAACAAATTAGCCAAGTGCTCTAAATAAAAACTTTCTCTGAGAAGACTAAATTCTGACTTAAAAGTACTGCAGATGAGTCTAATGACTTACTCTACTGTGCATCTAAATTTTCCTGTTCCATTTTCTTGGACATTGTATTCTGGTTCTTCATATCCTATAAACAACACAAAAATGAATGAAACTAAATGCCAGTATTTATAGTGCTTTCTTTTTAAAATTTCATTAAAAATTGCTTGGTACACAAATGATTCTGTGGGAGATAACAGGCCAAAGATTTATCATTATGCAAAAATTTAACAAATCCCAAGGGAAAAATGACATCAAAGAGTGCACAAAATTTTAAGTTGAAATTCTTTGTCCAAAATATCTGAGTTTATAAATCTTTTTGACTGTTGTAAGTCTATTTTGATATACAGGCAATAAACCAATACACAGGGTACCAGTTTTGTCATATAGAGCGAAGATTTTGTAATCGCACAAGGCCTGAAGATTTCTGAAATTGCAAATCTAAAGAGATTTTTTTTTTTTTTGATAATAGAAATGGTCAATCCATGCTGTTTTTATTTAAAGATATCTTACCTATTAACAAAGGTATTAGGCTTAAATTTTTAAGGCCATAACAAAAATGTTATCAAAATGATATTTTTCTATAATATTAGTTTTGATTTCAGGAAATTTTTATTTTAATATACATATACAAATCCACCTCAGTTTCAAAGAATCGTTGATCTTTGAAGATAAGCTCTAAACTTGATATAAAGAGATGAGAATAATAAATCTTGAGATAGCCTACTTGTGTATCAAGGTTTTATTGAAGTCAGGACAAAACTGCAGAAAGATTAGAATTTTAAACAAATTTCAAATATTTTTCTATGTTTAGTAACCATGGCAGCATGATTCTTCAAAAATAAAAAACCAACATAAAGAATTATATACCTTGAATAAGTATGTCTATGTACCATGTACTAGTATACCTATATATTGGTATTTTGTTTTTCTTTTTTAGGGGAGAGGGGATTATTTTCTCTCTTTCCCATATTTTTTTTAAGGTTCATTTTCTTTTCTTTTCTTTTCTTTTATTTATTTCTTTTTTTTTTTATTTGGATAGAACTCCTGATGATTTGATGAAACAAAATGTAATTTTTTGTGACAGTTGTTTGACATACCTTCTCTTTCAAAATATCCTTTGAGTGCTTTTTTGGGATCATCTATATAGAGTTGCTCATTCTCAGTGTTTATGATGCTGGCAAATGGATTATCAGCTTCATCTTCTTCTGCATCCTCACCTGGAAATAATCCATAATTTTTAACGCTATCTTTCATCTACAGCCTACTCCGGATATATTGAAATTCAGGGGACAATTCAAATTATTTCAATATATCCGTAATTCAATATAAGCGAAATGGATCGACTGGCGTGAAGCCGCCATTTCTAAAAGTTCAATCCCGATCTAAAATAAAGAACAAACCCAAAAAAAAAATTAATTTGGTCATCATTTATCTATTACAGTGAACAGAGTACATGGAATACTAGTCCTTGAAAGTTTAAATTAAAAAAAAAATCGGTTAGTTTTGTTTTGTTTTTTTTTTTTTGTTGCATTCATTATCATTTTAATTTCCCGATCGCATTCTTTTACGTTTTGGAGAAAAATCACCGGACACAAAGCTTCAATTACTGCTGAACACTGCTTGTATATCATCCTAAGTGTACTCGGGTTAATTTCAAAATTCTTAGCTACTTCGGATTTAATTAGGCTTTGTCTTCTTATCAAAAGCCATAACTAGTTCGTATTTAATGTCCCAGAGATAAGGTTTTTTCTTTTCTGAGGGGTTCCCATATTGCGTCTAGCCTCAATATACGCGAAAACAAAGAATTCAACAGTAAATAAATTTTATTATAAAAGCAGTATAAAAACACATAGGGTGAGAAGTTATTAATTCACACCTTTGTATATCAACTGGTCAGTCAGGCATAATTACTGTCACCAACCGTAATGACAGCCGCCAGGGAGTACTTCAATATAACCGTTATGAAAACAACTCATTATCACATCTAGGGACCGATCAGTGGCTTCAATATAAGCGATATTTCAAAATAGCCGATTTCAATATAACCGTTATTTTAATGCAAAGAAAATGAGAGGCTAAAACAGGGGATTTATTTTTATTTCAAAATAAGCGGAATTTCAAAATGAGCGATTTCAATATAAGTGGAGTAAGCTGTATTTTGATCTACATGATTTGTATGGTAAAAGCTTCTTAGCTTCAGAACCATAAACAGGAGGTGTATTGGCAGTTTCTCTCCATATAATACTGCAACATAAAATCATGTAGAAATATAACCCCTGAATTTTAATTCCATCAACTTTCTTACTCCTTTTGTCTATTTTTCAAACATAACAAGAGGCCCATGGGCCTTAACAGTCACCTGAATATCATGAGTTTTTTAGGCTATGACCGTTTTTGGCCCACCTGGAACTAGTTAGACTTATATCACATACATTTTACAGCTTGGTGAGAACTCCTTAATCATTATCAAATTTATGAAGCTTGCCCCTATAAATCCATGAGTAAATGAAATAAGGAACATTGTAAAATAAATTTCAATATATGAGCCCCCCCATTCAAATTTTTTTTAAAGATTTCGCCCCCTATAAATTCATGAGTAAATGAAATAAGGAACATTGTAAAATAAATTTCAATAAATGACCCCCCCCCCCCATTCAAAAATTTTTAAAAGATTTTTTCCTATTCCTACATATCACTTTGCTCCCTAATTGTGGCCCAAATCTTCTCCAGGACCATTATTGGAACAAATTTGAATCTGCATTACCTGAGGATGCTGGCATATCATGACCCTGCTGTTCTCAAGAAGAAGAATTTGAACAAACTTGAATTTACACTATGTAATGAACCTTTCACCTATGTTTAATTTTTTCTGGTCCAGTGGTTCTTATAAAGACGATTTTTAAAAGATGTCATAAAAAATTTTCACTTACCCTTAATTATCTCCCCTTGAAAGAGGGCATGGCCCTTTATTTGAATAATGTTGAATCCCCTTCACCCAACCATGCTTAGTGGAAAAGTGGCAAGTTTGGTTGAAACTGTCTCGGTGGTTCTTGAGAAGAAGTCAAAAATGTGAAAGTTTACAGATGAACAAACACTTATGCCTGACAAAATGTGATCAGAAAAGCTCACTTGAGCTCAGGTGAGCTTAAAGTATGAATTAAGTTTTACATATATAATTGACTTGGAAGCCAAAACATGATGCATAATACATAGTCCTTTATCAATATTGGAGTAGAATGTGCTTATAGGTCAGCTGAGTATGCAGTCTGACAGAGTGGTGTGATGTCACACACATACTGGAAACTTTAGCAATTTCTGAATCAAAGTGAGGTATGCAAACTATAATGTACTGATATTTGGCCAATAAAACTGGCATCCATTTTTTTTTTATTTGAAAAAAAAATTTGCTATTAGACAATTCAAAATTTAGCATACCATGCCACTTTCTACATACTTTTTTTTTTATTTGTGTTTTATAAGTTTTAATAAAGTTTTATAGCTATTATAATATTCACTAATGATTTTTCAACTTAATTTTTGATAATCTTTATAAATCAACAAGAAAAATGTTATTTTCCATACCCATTCCCCATGAGCAACCTCTTGCCTCTTCTTTAGCTTTCAGTTCTTGTATTTTTCTTTCTTCTTCTGCCAGTTCTGCCTGCCTGAGGAACTCTGCCTCTCTCTTCTGCTTTTCTCTCTGTTGTTTCATCTCTTCTACACTCAGATCTGATTCTTCTTCTTTGTCTTCTTCAGGCCCCTGAAATTTTAAATCTTTTTAATCTAAAATTCCCAATTGAAAGGGTACAGGACCCTTTAGCACCATAAGGGTCAATAAAGCCATGGATTCTTTTATAAAAAGCTTTTTATACAGTTTTGGTAAAATTTAACATGTTTAATAGTAGATACATCAAGATACATTGTTTCATTTACTGATTTTCATTTCAATAAATGGTATTAATTGCCATGGTTGGTAAAATGAACTTTTTGTGAAATTATTTCAAAAATCTATCCCACCTGCAGATTTTTTCCAATTTCAGTAACATATGGTACTCACTTTTTTCTACACTAAGGATACAAGGAGTTTTTATTTCAATATATGTATGGTCATGACCATGGTCACAAAAAATAGAAAAAAAAATCCATCTTGAGAGAAACTCCATCAGTCAGTTAATACTTGCATAGATTTTGATTCAATTGCATACAACATATAACTGAGAATTACATTATATGTTAATGTATCTTCCAGGGTTGGAAACTCACTGAAAATAGCAGCCAGCTGCAGGGCTGGCTTCTTTTAAAAGTTACCAGCCCTGCTCAAAACCTGCCAGTCCTGATAAAAATGTTCATTATTATGAATGTATTATAAATTTTGTAACACAGCTGTTCCCGATCAGGGAACCAAAATTGACTTAAAATTTTCACCCTGAAATTTCCGAGTTTCACGACTGTCATATTTTGTCAATCGGGGTAAGAATATCAGGTTTGTTTATTCAATACATAGAGGTTGTTTAATGCATGCAGGTGTTAATTAGGCAAAGGAAATCACTTCTCGCTTGGACGCACACAGCTGTCCAGGTACGGGTATCTAATAGCCTGGAGCAGTTAAAAGGGATTTAAACTATTTATTGACAACCTGAAGGGGTATGCAAGGTGAAACACATAGATTTAGGGTTAATTATCATTTCATTAAAAAGCAAGATTAAACAAAATGAAATGATAAACAAGCAATAAAATCGGAAGCCATATTAGAGACATATAAATGTCTCTGGCTATATATAGATCGTTTTTAAAAACGAAAGTAGAAAAATACAAAGCACTGCTGATTTTAATTTAAAATCTGCCTATATTAAAAATATTGTAAAGTTTACAGGTAGGAATAAGATGAAAATAATTCAGATGAATCAACAAAGATTAATTCATGTCAAGTACACTAAGGAACTGGCTATTAAAATTAGCGCGACCACCAGGCTGTCATCTGAGGACTGTCCCCGCCCGCCTCAGAAACAGACCGCCTCGGGCGGTCTATAATTTCCAACCCTGTATCTTCACATACAAGTACTTCTGACAAGGATAGAAAAAAATATTGATACTTTATTTATGTATAGATGTATCATATCAACCACTCTCTGCATCACAATACGTCATCGTATTGTTACACCCCTATTAAATACTGACTATTCACCTGTAGTATATGTAACCTGGTACTTCCACCAAACTTCAGAACATGCCCAACCCTAATTCTATAATACTTCTTTGGGTACACTTTGTTTTTGTTAATCCAGGTACCATGTGTACTGTCTAGGTCATACAGGTACCAGCCCTTCTCCTGTTGTTCAGTGGGTGTTTTGCAGAACTGAACCACTGCATGATGTCGTGACAATGAGGGATGCTCCATTGGCACATCACAACTTGGCAGCCTCCCAAACACAATATAAGTCTTATCTAACTTAATGTTGTCAATAATGGCTCCATTTTTTATCACTTCAAATTTGTATTCTTGTTCACAGATTCCACCCCAAGAAGGTTCTTTGTAAGGAATGGCAATGCGAGACTGTTGTAACTGCTCGGCTGGTGATAACTTGCTAACTGATTTGGGTTGAATACTTGATGGGAGTTTCTGAGTATCTTTTATCTGTTCTTTTTTAATTTCTTCAGTTGCACGTGATTCCAAATTAATTGTGTCCGTTTTCGTTGTGCTGACGTTTTCTCTCTCGATTCGTTTAGATTTTGTTGGTAGAGTTGGAGTTTTGAAATCGACTGCAGAAATGTTTTCCTTTTTACTGCCACAATTTTCAGTACTTTTCTCACCCACTGGTTCCATATTCTCTACTTTCTCTGAGAATATGTTATTGTCAATATCCATTTCCACCTCTTTTGCCTCCATGTTGAAAATTAAACTTCCGATATATCGCTTACAACATTAAAATTGTTATTCAAAATGCAGTGAGTTTTGATTTTGTTCATTTATGAGCTAAATAAATAATTTATGGAGAAAGATAAAAGAACAAATCAGGAAACAGACATAAGTGTAAGCACCACACACCAATACGCAAATATTATTGCTAATGATGTATGCGATGAAGGAAAGGTTAGCCTAAATCCCGCATCAATCATAGACTAATGGAAGTTCTAAACATCCAGATATAGTTTTTGCATTTAGAATGGACGGAAGTCTACAGTAAATAATATAAGATTTAAAAAAAAATCAAGTTTCCTTAACAATATATTAGACCAAGATAAAGTATAATGTTTTATTTGAATGTATTTTCTCAATGTCTATGAAGATTTTTCCTGTCAGATACCCTATGTTGAAAATGAACTAGATAAACTCTATATGTATAATTAATTTCCCAAAGTCCAAAATGTGTTAAGAGCTTCCTTAATCAGTTAATGCATATGATGTATTGTAAAGAAACTTTTTTCCACTCCATTCTCACAACTAAATATTCTATAATAATAATAGCTAAGATAAATATCATCGTAATACATAATTTTATTTTTTATTCATGTCTCTGATATTTTTTATTATCAGGTTTTATTATTAAATTTCCATTTTATGACAAATACATATATTGACATTCATTGCAAATAAAAGTAATTGATTTAAACTCAATCTTTCAACAATTATCTGGTCAGATAGAGAAATTTTTGTATGTTTACATATTGTGTTACTTTTTCACATTTAAGAATATAATTAAAATCTACAAAAGTTTTGAGAAAATAATTTTTTTTTCTATATTCCGTGGCGTCAGATTTTAGTGGGATCCGCACCTCCATAAAGAAAGATAACTCACATGCGCTACTAGTTTTGTCGTCACTTCCTGTTTGTCTCAGAAAAATTGACGATCATCATCTCGAAAGAATCAATGACAACGAACTTTCAGGATGGTTTCATGACAAAAAAAATTAGGTGGATGCAATTTTGATAATGAAATAGGTAAATAATATACATAAGCATTTTTGACATCCCATCAATCCTGGATTTTCATTCTTATGCATGATGAAGACCCAAAGGTCCCTTGGCTCGATTTTGCATCTAGCTTAGACATGCTTAAGCATATAAAAATGGAAACATTTTAAGAGCAACAAGGAATAACTTTTGCCGAGAAAAAGGAATCAAAATTATATTTTACGTGCTCAAATAAGAATTACGTCAATGCCGAAAATAGCTAATGAATCACGTACAAAGAATGTACTCAAGCAGGTCCGCTGTAAAGACGAGCATCTACATTTGCAAATATTTTTCTTAGATGAACTTATTGAAGAGAAAATATGTTCAATTCTGTATGAATTTTTTAGTGGGTCAGAGGTCATTGCCTGACCGATTTAATGATAGGTCGGACCATAACAATGTCGGACTACAACAATGTCGGACCATAACAAACTAGGACTACCCAAAGTCGGACTATAAGGAAATCGGACTATAACAAACTCGGACCATAGGATTATTTTTACTAATTAATTAAGTTATATTTATTTCGAAGACTTTTTCATGATTTCCAAAGAGTATGAAGGTATACTGACCTTAAAAACGTTGAATTGTAGTATAACGTACGTTAGTAGTGAAGCTGCAGCATAGTTTGTTGACTTGAACTATAGACCGTTTCACAATAACTGCGGTACTACTCTTTTGCAGGGCAAAAAAAAATATTTTTTGGTGAAATATGACGTAAAAATTTTACATAATTTATGCACTGATTGAAAAGGCAGATTTAAAACCTTATTAAAGCCTCAAATTGTAATGAAGAAAAACTAACAAAAAAGTGTGTTTCAATCAATTTATTTTCATTGCAAACAAAGTTTGAAACCAAATAAATAAAGCAAGCACATTATATGGTCAACGTTTAAAGCTGTATCAAATAATTGTCACTGGTGTAAATATCACACAGTCAACACTTGGGAGTCACGATCACAACACTATAGAACTATTCATTGTTCGTTAACACATATGTACACATGTCACATGGCACAATCACAAGCACAACACCAAAGAACTAGTCGTTTGGGCCGTATACACCACCACACTCCCGCAACAGTTGGGATGCTGTGAGCTCTCCGTTGGTATAACGTTCCCAAGCTTCGTGCAGCCGGCAAGTGAGGTCCTGGTACCTCCTACGTTGGCAACGGAGAATCTGTTCCTCTGACACAAGTCGGACAGTCAAGTCCACCAATCGCGCCTCACGCTGAAGAGCAGGCACAAGGATGTAGAATGTGGCTGTTATCTTATATTATTACCATCACATAATTTAAGAGAAATATTTAGCTTACCTTCTACATCGTTGTTTGTCCTGACATTGGTCTGGAAGATACTCCAGTTCCTGGGCTGCCAAACCGCACTTCCAATCCAGTTGCTGTCCATGTATGCCACAAGCTGCTGCAGTTCCTGGGATGTTGCTCTGGCTGATAGTCGGTCAAAAGCGGGCTGAATGTCTGCAGATGGCAGAAAGGGCAGTGCCATCAAAGACCTGATGTACCTATATTCAGCACCACGTTTGGTATATGTCGTCCTCAGTCCTAATTCCTGCACTTTCCGCCACACTGCCTGGCCAAAGTGAAAAGCACATCCTTTGAATCTCTTGGACCACTGCAAAAAGATAAAAAATAATTATACTGAAGTAAAACAAAATTTAAAGTTAATTTTACTTTATTATTATTATTATTATTATTATTATTATTATTATTATTATTATTATTATTCACTGTAAAAATCCTTTGGACGAGGCATGAATATTTGACAATGTTTTTTTTTTTTTTTTGTATATATAAAACTTACTTATTTGCAATGTGGTCCTAAGATATTACAAGTTGATTATATATGACTTAGACAGCATAGCCAAAAATAAAATTGAACATCTTATATTTAAGTGAAAATACCTGATGGTCTCTTCCTCATTCCTTTTACAGATGGTGCAGGTGAAATTAATAGTAATTTCAGATCTTATCATGTCACGGTACTCTCGCTGGGATATCCCTAAAGAATAAGTTAAACTATATGAATAAAGGCGTAATTAATTATTTACAAATTAAGATGTGATATTTTAGATTGATAATATTATCTTTCAACTTGTCCACATCATATTGATAAACTTAGTTTTTGGACATATTTTATATTTACATATAATTATACCAAACATATTTACATCTATAAGTTTAAGCATAATAATCAACAATTAACTTACATATTCATACTAAGACTGCATATTGAGAGAAAAAAATTGGATACGATACAATAATAATTTTAATGAATAACCAGGGTTGTCCCAAAGACCCGGGGCCTGGGGAATTTTCCCACCTACATCAATGATGTAATTCCCCGGTTATTTCGGAATTCCCCCTAAACTCTCCAAACCCTGAATAACATTGATATACAGGCCATGGTAGTCAAACCATTATTTTCAATGTACAAAAAAAAGGCAACATGCTTGCAATTGCAAATGTTTTAAATGAGTTGTGAGGTAACAAATTAATGGTTTTAAAACTGGGGGAAACTTTATAATTTAAATACATTTTGTGACAGGGTGAATATATTTTACATTCTATTTTCACTGTGTTAATTTTCTATTTTAATGTAAATTTTATTTTATTCATATTTATTGCATAAAGTTCTAAGGTTCGGAATTTTGAAAGCAGAATAATCCCAAGTAATTTTTGCTTAATATAAACAAAGATGTTAAACCTTATGTATTTTTAAAGAATTGGATAAATATATCTAAATAAATCCAGTCCAATTTTAAAAATTTATATACCATGGTTCTTCATAAAATTATTAATTAATTATTTTTCTTTGTCTAATTTCTATCTTAATTAATTATTTCTTAAGGGATATGTGGACTATTTTAATGTTATGAAAACTTTCTATACTAAGATGTTTGTTGTATTGTATAATTATGGTATACTCATTGCATAAAAGTGGTCAAATATGTATAGTTTATCATTTTAATATTTAAAGTTCAAGTTTTTTTATTTCTTTGCGTCATACGACACATCAGATTACCTATATTAATAACTAAACATATATACATATATACAATATTGTAAAATATAACAATATGAGAGTGAGCATAATCAATAAATAGCAAGTAAACTATGTAGAAAGTGTTTTCTAACAGGCAACTGTAATTATAAAATACTTAAAAATTTACAAATGTTTCATTCTTTAGTGGAAGCTTGATATTAATATTTTCCAAGGTTACAAAGTTCCTTTATATTTTGTACACTTTGAAGTTGAATTAATTTCCAAACACTGGATTTCTTATAATACTTTTTCGATAACATTCAATTAAAGAGCACATTTTACATAATCTTTTTTTTCTAATTTCGATCATTAACATATCTACCAGTTTCAACATTTAGATTATGTGCAGATAATCTAATTCTAGCAATTTGTATTTGGTACATATAATTAATAGGTTTACGCAAGTAATATTGTATACCAAAATTATTTCAAAGGAGATATTTCTATATAAAAAAAAATCTATTTCATATTTAATGACTTATCACATAATTTTTTCATTCAGAAAAAAAAGCAAAGTAATACTTATACGGCCAATTTGAACAAATAGTTAAGATGCTTTTGGCAAAACAATTTTTAAAATATCCTGATTTTAATTTCAACACATTTATAAGACACTCTCTGCTGTTCTATATGTATTTTTCACAATAATACTGTGTTTAAATTAAAGAAAAACTACAGAACATTCTAAAAAGTTTACATCTGCATATAACTATACATAAATAATTATTCCAAATTGAGTACAACAGAAAATAATATGTTTCATATGCTATACATGCATGTCTTTCCCTTCCATCAATATACTTGTATATATATATATATATATATATATATATATATATATATATATATATATAACATATTTAGTCATAAATACACATTTTCAGGAATTCTAATCAATCAGATAATTAACTATTTATATTTATCGGTATTTCTTTTTTTCAGTTTTTTAATTTAAATAATATATTACATAATATAACATATCTTCACTTACCTGTATCACAGATTCTGTGCTGCCAGCGATTGCAACCATCACACAGCAGTGCATGTTGTCTTGCAGATACTTTTCTCGTACACGCAACACACCGGTCGCTGATGGAATCCATGATCGAAATGATTGCATTTTAGTTGAAAACCCAAATTCCACGGAAGATCAAAGAACTTTTTTCATAATTAATATGCTCGTCATTAAAGTTGTTAAGTATCCGCCAGTCGGATGCATGCGGTAATTGTTTATCTAAGACTTATCCATGTTTTGACAATGACCCAATTAATTACGCTTATAACCTGTTTGAAGAAATATACATATCATTGGATTCATTCATTTATTTATTCCGTTTATTTAATAAATATATATACGGTAGTCCGACTTTGTTATAGTCCGACTTCGTTATGGTCCGACTCTGTTATAGTCCGACATTGTTATGGTCCGTCTTATCTGTCAACGGCCTGACCGAATCACACAGCGAGATGATATCTTGCCTATATATAGATAGAACATTCTATCGTTAGAATTATATTGTCCTATGGACCCAGTTTAATGATAGAATTTGTTCTGTGTATTGGCAATGTAGCAAAATAAACACAGGTGATAACTCGAACTCTGTGCATTTTTCTATGAAAATTCCAGAGAGTTCTGAATGTCAATATAGCATGTAAATTTGAAGTGATGAAAAAACTTTGAGAAAATGAGTTGAATTTTTGTATTTTTAGCTTAAAAGGCATACAATCTCAAAAAGTTTTGCTATGATTAATTTGGTAGTTATTTTCAGTGCAACTCCTTTTGTATTCTTCAAAATCATTTTGGAGTGGATCCGCTATGATTTGCTACATTGCAAGTATATGGGACATATTCTAATTGTGGTGAGACATCACCATAAACTGGTGAAGGGCTTCAAATTTAGACCTATACTCAGCACTGACTCAGGGCCATTGAGCAGTGAGGGTTCTTTATCATGCCAACGCCTACAGTGACATGGGACCTCGGTTTTTAAGGTCTCATTCGAAAGACCCGTGACTTTCACTTTTAGTGCCAGGCATTTGGTGAAGGAACAGACACTACCTATGTTTACTTCTTAGGTTTGATGCGACGAATGAGAATCAAACCCAGACTTCCCTATTACAAAGCGAATGCCCTACCACTAGGCTACCGTGACCAGTCATAGTACATGGATGTGTGATAGTGAAACTATATTGGAAATAATTTTAGTGGGGGCACACACCAGGAGCATTCTGTATACATTCTAAGAAATAATTTCTTGATAAGAATAAAATATCCTTGATAATTTGAAATTCATACGATTCAAACTGTGCGAGACTTGAGAAAGTAAACAGTGGGGCTCCAAGAAATAGCAAGATCTCGAACAGTTGCAAATCTCTGTTATTTATGTAGATACAAAAACATCATTATCATAGATCTGTATTGCATATAACATAACTTAGAATTGGATTAAATGTTAATGTATCTGCACATAGTAATACCCTTAATAGACTGCCAATTTTGATATGGACATATGTAAGCAGTGCTAATTGCAATTTCCTGGACTACATTGCTCTTGTAAAGAGATAAGAGTTAACTCAACAAATCTTGTAAACTACTGTAGATTCCTAAATATATGCGAGGAATAAAATATCACGTAATTTTGTGAGAAGCATCTCTCACAAAATAGAATTACTTGCTTTTATTTTAAGCTCACCTCAACGAAGTTGGGGGAGCTTATGTAATACCCTTGGCGTCAGCGTCCCAGGTTAAAGTTTTTGGAGCAGATTTTTTTTCAAGTACCGGTACTTCTATGCCCTGTATCAATCAGAGGAGCATGGAGGATGCTTCTAGTGTGTTTCATTGTACCAATCAAGGTTTCAGATGCTGCAATTTCAGCTAAAGAATGAACAAGTCAATGTTTTTGGAGCAGGTTAAAGTTTTTGGAGCAGATCTTGTTTCCAAGTAACTATAAGTCCTATGTTGACCAAACTTGCATGGATGATACATCTAAGGATGCACACTACTGGACTTGCTTTGGATGCTGGATCTGTCCTACATTTTCCGGATGAGTGACCAGGTTAAAGTTTTTGGAGCAGATCTCATTTCCAAGTAACTATAAGTCCTATGTTGACCAAACTTGCAAGGATGATACATCTAAAGATGCACACTACTGGACTTGCTTTGGATGCTGGATCTGACCTACATTTTCCAGATGAGTGACCAGGTTAAAGTTTTTGGAGCAGATCTCATTTCCAAGTAACTATAAGTCCCATGTTGACCAAACTTGCATGGATGATACATCTAGGGATGCACACTACTGGACTAGCTTTGGATGCTGGATTTGACTTGCATTTTCTGGATGAGTGACTAGTTTAAAGTTTTTAGATAAATCCATTCCCAGTAACTACAAGCCCTATCAGACCAAAATTGCATAAATGTTGCATCTAGGGATGCACACTACTAGATTATTAGTTTAGTGTTGGACTTTGCCTTACTTAAAGACTACATTTGTTGAGGTGAGCTCTGTAATCTCTGATTACCTTTGTTTATGGTGCTGAAATCCATGTAAAATCTCTTGATCAACCGTCCACTCCTGAAATTATTGTTCTCGTTATTTGACGTCTAAGGGCCATTTCGCGATATCAAGTACTCCTGTAAAATAAGGAATCTACGGTATAAGTTACACGTCTTTTCAGATGTAGATTAATATGAATTGATATTGCATTTATCTTTTTTAAAATAAGAAATACAATTTCTTTTCTTTTAGATGTGCAGGGGTCAGACAGGGGGAGGTAATGGCCAATGCCTGTAAGTCAGACCCAGCATTCCAATGCTAAGAGGATAAGGTTAGAGAAGAGGATGGCTGAGGAGAGCCAGGAGAGTCCTGCCTGTGAGGTGTATCGGGTTGAGGAGCGGCCCGAACATGGCATGAAGATCTTACAAGGGCTCAACAAGCTTAAAAATGACAAAATCCTATGTGATGTCACTCTTATTGCTGAAGGTGAGAAAAAAAACCAAACATTTAGGGATAGAAAATGGTGTTAAAAGTAGCAGTGTATTTCATGTGTCATTGACACAGCTCAATATTGAAATTAATCACCTCACATACATGTGACACTAATGAATTGAATTGAAAATGCTTTAAAAACATAAATCATCAGCACTTTGTTTATACAGTGAAACTTGTCTAATCTGGACACCACTGGTTCCACAGAATAGGCTGGATTAGACAACAGACCAGATTAGACATTTTAAGCAATTGAGTTTATTGAAAGGGACTTAAAGTTTACATTGTATTAGGCAAGATTTTGGAATATGCAACATTGGGATTAGACAAGTTTCACTGTATGAGCAACATCATATTAAAGTTCAATTGTCTGGTTAAATGAAGCATCCATTCCATATTAATTAATTCTTTTAAAGGTGTTTAGACACAGATTTGAAGTTAATATTTACACAAATTTTCAGTATAATTTCATGACTTATATGTTGCTATAGCATTTCATATGAAAATTTGATAAAAATCTTATTTTATATGGAAGTTATTGAAACTTCGAATTTCTGGATGCGTTTGATAGACATATCCTTGCACTTTCACAAATTTTGACTTCATCCTTATTACTTTAGAAAAGTAGCAATTTTGTTGTTTATTAATGAAAATATTCAAACTATAATCAGTGATAATGCAGAAATTTCAGAGTAGAAATGTAGAAAGCAAAATCCTCACACCAGTATTGTCAGTCCGTGCTCAGTGGTGTGTGTAGAGTTTAACAATTGAACACACCTGGTGAAACGTAAACATTAACAACAACAGAGCTCGTGCCCTGTTTCAGGATGGTTTCACAGGTGTATTCAATTTGTTAAACTCTGTACACAACCACACAACACTGAGCACGGGCTGACAATACTTAAGTGAGTGGGTTTTGCTTTCGCACATTTTTACTCTGAATTTTCTGGATTATAGATGTAATATTATTCATTAATACACAACAAAATTGCTACTTTTCTTAAGTATTAAGGATAAAGTTAAAATTGTGAAAGTGCAAGGATGTGTTAATCAAACGCCTCCCGAAATTTGTAGTTTCAATAATTTCCATATTAAATAAGTTTTAATTTTATTTTCATGTGAAATGCTATAGCAACATATAAGTTGTGATATTATACAGAAAATTTGAGAAAATATAAACTTCAAATCTGTGTCTATGCACCTTTAAGGACTTTATGTGACATGAAAAAATTCAGTTTCCTAAACGAATCCAATACTGGAGTGAATGATGATGACTATTATAGGCAGCTAAAAAGTGTCAGTACATGTATAGCAGGAAAAGAAAGAGCACATTGATTATTTGTTGAATCATTTCAGGTCATCGTTTTGAGGCTCACCGAGTAATCCTTGTGTCCTGTTCAGATTATTTCCGATCTATGTTTACCAGTGGCATGAGGGAAAGCAACCAGCGAGAGATCGAACTGAAAGGCATTACCTGTAAAGGACTTGAAAAAACACTGGAGATTATCTACACCTCTACAACCACGCTGGAGGGGGATGACATCTTTGATGTTATTGCTGCCGCTACTCATCTGCAAGTGACTCCCGTAATCGAATTCTGTGAAAGAAATTTTTTGAGTGGAATGAACGTAAATAATTTTTATGACTTCATCAATACAGCTAAGTTATACAGTATGACAAATGCCCTGAAGCAGATTGATGTTTTTATCGCTAGAAACCTACGTGAGATCTCAAAAGAAGGTACCTTGCATCTTTTAACCTATGATCAAATGGTAAATTGCCTCCACAGTGATCGACTTTGCTTAAAGGAGATAGAAATTTTCCATATAACATGGGAGTGGTATAGACTGAATAGTAATCAAGATGAACAGGCAAATCGTTTAATGAGTCTCATAAGATTTCCCTTAATTAACCCCACCGATCTTGTACAGCATGTGCAAGCAGTCGACAAGATGATGGAAAAACCAGAGTTACGACAAATGGTGCTTGCTGCTCTAAATTACCATGTTGTACCCCATTCCCAACCACTCGACAACTCGGTAAACACACAACTAAGGTGCTTCATGGAGAGGCTAGCCAGTGTTGGGGGGCGAGAAATTCACCCAAATCCCTGCCTACATGATGAAATATTTGTTTTTGATTCCAAAATAACATCAAACAGTCTTTTAAACCGATCAGAAATAGCTTCCTTACCTAGTGCATTGAGCCATATGCAGGTTGTTGTGTACAATAACTTTTTGTATGTACTCGGTGGGTGCACAACCCAGTGTGCTCATGGGGAGTCCGCTGTAAACTCTGTTATGCGTTATGATCCAAGATTTGATAGCTGGTTTCAGGTGAGCCCAATGTTGCATAAAAGGGCATACTTCTTTGCAGGTGCACTGAATAACCGCATCTATGCTGTTGGAGGAAAATTTAAGGATGGCAGTTTGGCGACTGCCGAAGCTTACAATCCTGCAGATAACACTTGGGAGTTGATAGCTTCCATGCCTATGTCCTACCATGCTCATGCTGGTGCAGTGTATGGTGATCATATATATGTATCTGGAGGTTACAGTGGCAATCACTTCACTCCAGACATGCAACGATATGATCCATCTAACAACCAATGGGAGGACATGGCTGCCATGTTGACTCCTCGAGGCTGGCATGTCATGTGTGCTGCTCATGATAAACTCTATGTGTTTGGAGGTTGCAATCTGAATGTTAACCAGCAAGCACAGCCTGTCATGCAGTCAGAGTGTTATGATCCAAACACAGACCAGTGGACAATAATTAACCCTTTATCCATTTCCCACAAAGAAGCCTCATGTGTTGTGTACAATGACCAGATCTACGTGTTAGGAGGATATAATGTTCAGACTAAAACAGGACAAAAATTGGTATCTCGCTATGATATTTACACTGGTATTTGGGAAACAGTTGGAGCCCTTCCTAGAAGCCTGACAGGGGTTGGGTATTGTACCTTGAAATTGCCTGATTATATGGGCAGTGACAAAGATTAGTGAATTTTCATTAAGTACTTTTTAACTCATAGGATGTGTGATGGTTTTGTTTAAGGAAAAGTCAAGCTTGTGATCATGATTTTAATGGAGAGTTAATTATGAAATGAATATTGGTATTGAAAATTGAAAGTGGTCTGTAGTATTGATGATGTTTTGTATTTTGTAAGAAACTCTTGCGTTGCTCATACGTACATATATACAGAAATGTTTGAATGTAGATGGAAGTTTATACATGTATGGAATGCATGAATGTTATTCATCAATTTCCGGTTAGCTTTCTTACTGCACATAACTTAGATTAAAAGTAATTGTTTACTTAAGCTGACTTCATGTGTTTTCTTATTATAAGTCAGACATTTTTTATCAAGATGTTTATTTCCATAAGCATTTTGCATGATATATTCATATGCCAAACTCCATAGCAATTCTGATAAGTTTGTATTTTGAAATCTGGTTCGGGGTGGGTGGGCAAATTCACAGTGACTTCTACATACTGAGGTAAAATCTGATTTCAAAACATTATTTAAGTGAAATGAAATGTGCTAAACTTGGGGGGGGGGGGGGGGGCAAATTCACAGTGACTCCTGTATGCTGAGGTTGAATGTGATTTAAAAAGGTCACTTGTTTTAATGAAATGGAATGTGCGACATAGGGATGGGGGAGGGGGAGTAAATTCACAGAGAATTCTGATCACTGAGGTGAAGTCTTGATTTAAAAAAAAGTCATTTGTTTAAGTGAAATGTGCAAATATGAGATCATGAGTTAAAAACTATGGAAAAAATCTTTAAAACCATGTTAATAAAATTGAATTACTTTTATTTCCCAGATATTGACATTTTTGTGTATTTTTAATGTTTAGAGTGTTTCATACAGATAAATTTGCAGTTTTGTTGTCATACTGATGAATATTGCAGGACTTATTTGTATGTATTTTTATTATAAAAATGTGCTTGATCAGTTTATGAACTAAAAATTATATTGCCAATGGCTTATGACAGTCAATGGACAAGCCTAGTTTATTTGTTATTGAGAGATTTTGTTGACATATGTAAGTCCTGTCACTTTTCAATAAACTTTAAAATGAGATCTTTTGCATTTTGATACTAATTTCTTGATGCAAATTATTATATAGCACTACTGGTATTAACCTGGGGATGGAAGTAGAAATTGTTACAACAGTGAAACCTGTCTAATCCGACAAACACTGGGAGACGAATTTTATGTCGAAATAGACAGGGTGTTGGATTGCACAGTGTAAAAAATCATGGAAAATAGTAAAACTGGAGAAAAAAATTTACATCGCAATTCACAGTGTGACGGATTGCACAGGTGTCAGATTAGACAGTTTTCACTGTATTTTGTTCAAATTGATTAATGCAACAATGTTAATCTCTAGCACCCTATCTAATGTGATATTTTGATTCGTTGTGAAGTAAAAACATTGTAATCTACACGTGACTAGTGCCATATGCACTAGTCAGGTGTTCATCTTTGTGTGAACAATTTATTATGGTAAGATGTTATTCCCCTTAAAGATTCCAGCTAAACTTGGTATACAAGAGGACATAATGAAGATGAAAAATTTTGTTACATCTTTAAATTTGATGCATAATTTTGTCATGGTTACCTAATGTTTAGAGTTTCATTTAGAGTACATGTAAATTGATAAATTATTTTAAAATGACACTTCTATATTTTTAGGTCACCTGAGTGACACAGGTGACCTATTGCTGTTTTCGCTTTTCATTGTTTGTCCATTAACATTTGAACATTTTCAGCTTCTTCTCTGGAACTGCTGGTAAAGCCAGTTTTGGCATATAGCATATAAGGGTGAATGGGGAACATGAAATTCATAATTTTTGTTCCCTGGTCCCCTGAAGCCTAGGGGTGAGGCTAAAACCATCAAAATTAATGCAATCTTTAAAAATCTACTTCATCAAGCAGTCAAACTGTTGGCATGAATATAATAAGCATTGAGCCCTCTACCAAAATTGTGAAACTCCTGGCCCCAGGGTCAAGGTATCTGTGTTAAGGTGGGATGTTATACATCATTTAGTGAAAATGCATAAATTCTTCAAAAATCTTTTCCCCTTCCCCTGTATATTGAGCAGACAAACTAATTGCATAGATATGATGAGGAAGAGTCCCCCAAATTAGGATTGAGAAATTTGTAGCTCCTGGGTTCTGGAGTTAGGCCAGGGCTCTGTTGGTCATATATTCAGCTAGCATAGCATTGGTCATTAATCTTTAAAATCTTCCTCTCATGGTAAGTAAGAGTGTTTTTCCCAAATTGTAAAATTAATGGCCCCTGGGTCAGTGGTTCTGGAGTTAGGGTGCCACTCTATTAATCATATACATGTACATGTAGTGAAAATGCATTAATTCACTGAAAATCTTCTTCTTTGTTCTTGGGTATTTAGAAAACTAAATGCATAGTAACAATGAGCAAGAGCGTCTTTTCCAAAATTGTGAAATTCATGGCTCTTGGGTCAAGAGTTCTTGTGTTAGGGCAGGCTGTATAGGTCATCATCAGGCCATACAGTGAAAATGCATTTACCCTTTGAAAATCGTTTTCTCTGCCCTTGAGTATTTCCCAGAGAAACTAAGTGCATGGTTCTTCCAAAATTGTGAAATCCAGGGCCCCTGAAATAGGGGTTCTGGAGTAAGGACGGGGCTTTGTTATGATCATGTATGGAATTATTTACTCTGAGAAGTTATTCCTTTTTGTTATTCATTATTGTAAATAATAAATGAATAAAAATGAGACAACAATACCTTATATATGTACATTAAATATGGTGAGGGGATGTAGCAACCGCTAATGATGAAATGCCGCTTAATGATAGACTTATCATAAAGCGTTGCAATGCAATTATTGCATTAATAGTTGAAATTCTCAACCGCTTAATGATATAATTCTTTCATTAAACGGCGATTTAGCAGTAGCGTTTGAGAATGTCAACTATTAATGCAATAATTTATGGCATTAAGCGTCGCAATCGCTACGCTTAATGATATTCCTCTCATTAAGCGACGTTTTATCATTAGCAGTTGCTACAAGGGGATCATAATGGATGTACACTGTGAACATTGTTACAGGTTTTAGCACTGTTTGATGATAATGCTTAAGTGTAGACAGTAGGCTTATAGAGGTAAATTTCTGAGCTGTTGCTGATTTACCTTGCGGTTGATCCATGATCATCCTTATTATTTCGGTATACTTTGTGTTATTATATAATTATTTACCACTCCATAGATTCTTTACAGTGCTGTATTATACTCAGGCGACTGTTAAGGACCTTGAGCCTCTTGTTTTCTGATGTCGGTAAACTGAGTAATCAAGTAGAATACATTAGGATACCATAATTCATCAACTTTAATTCCACTGAAAGGTGTTGTCATGGTAACTATAAAGAGTACCAGAAGTCTGTTTAATTATATCAAAATGCTATTCCTCTTGCATTTCTGCTCGAATCTATTAAGACATTTCCCATAAGTAGACTTCAATTTTAAATTTCATTGATGAATGTGGAAATAATAAATAATCAATAAAGAACGAGTGTACTTAAGGGCCCCGGTAAAATGTGGAAAAATGAAGAATCAAATTAAGCATAATTTTTCATCTCGGATCATTAATTGATATCTAAATCATAAGATTCAACAAATTTTATCCCTGAAATTCATGAATATACAAAGAGCAAAGCCATACAATGTGGTAGGGGTCAGCCGACATTCTTGATTTTCTATAGTAAATCGAGGACGGTCATTCATTTCAAAGCTTTTGTTTACTGTCAGCCTAACGTTGTACAAACTTGTGCGAATGACAAAAAGCGCATTATACATTTATAAAACTTGTGTGAAAGTAGGAAATTTGTACAAGATTAGGCTTGTACTTAAAATATTAAAAATGCATGAAAAGTTGAATGTTTTTCATATAGCAGGCGAAAGCTATTTACCTGTATGACCTATGTTGAACCCACCCGTGGAATAAATTATTTAAAATACCGGTAGTCACGTGAGTTCTACCCATATAAACATTCCTCAAAGGTGCTCACTGCAAAAGATAGCCATGCACGTTTTATATCATTATATCGAAGTCGTGCCGCATAGAGAAGTATGTATGTATTTGGTTTTAGGAAAACGGGAGGGTTAGGAGAGTTTAGTGTCGTTAAAATGTCATCATACATAAAAGCGTCAAACATTTTTAACATTCATGCAAGACAATGCTACCGGTATTGAAAGCCACCTGAATACACTTTTTTCATTTAAAATTTAAAGGAACTAATGTTAATACTTATTATACTATTTCAAATGCAAGCGTGCAAATTTCTTTGTTTGATCACTATGGCTTCAGGCATCTATACATCTTCATTCGATTTTTTTCTCAGGTAAAATATACAGCGCAAAAAGTATCAATCAGCAAACGCGCCCGTCAGTGATCCACCATCAGATTGTTCAAGTGTCCGATTTAAATGTCTCCTCCCCTTGATTTAAATAAACGAAATTCAAATAGGTTCGGTACGAATTTTCCGGATTTGGGGTATCTATAGGCATTTAAAAATCTTCATTTGTTTCAAATCCGTGCTGATTTAGGTGATGTTTTAACGTGATTTCAATTAGAAATATCCACTTGTGTTTAACTATTACCAAAAGAGAACAATTTGGTAATATATTCTAAAGCAGTACGGCACTGAAAAGGGCCCATTAAGCATTGCTTAAGTGCACTTGTCCTTTACTTTAAATACTACTTCTAAAGCTTTCTTCGGACACAAGACAGAGACTATTTCCCCCTAAAAAGATAAATTTGAGAGTCTTTTAAAAGAGTCAATTGTTGCTCAGGTCCACTGATGCGGGCGCATTAATAAATTTTAAAAAAGAAATATGTTGAAGAAAAAACTCTAGCCACATCTATGCTGTATGATGCTGTAAAAATGCCTCTATAGTCCTACATTTTGTCAATTTTTAAAAATGCATTAAAAGATAATTTTGTATAACGCAAAAATCATCAGAATTCTACTCTTTTCCACATTGAACCTCAGAGATGTCGAGTCTAAAGTGGTATATCTCCAATATTCTCTGGCTATTTATATCTTGTTCTGTAGATAATAATCTGCGTAATAGTTCGTGTTCTGTCATGAACCTCCGATATGTAGAACCCACGATATGTAAGTTCTAATGCTGAAAAGGGGAAGAGGAGCTACTGTTTTTTCTGCCTACTTTTACGTCTTTGATAAATAAATCATGAAAATAAATCTTAAATGCGCAGGTAGATAATTTGAGTAATGACTTACCGAAGGTCTATAACAACACTATAATCACAATTTTTACCTGTGTACACATAGTATTAACAACCAGAATTTAGTAAAAGCTAATTGCATCTGGTGTTTTTCTCCTGATTCGGTACGCAAGGGCATGTCCTGAGTACGATCAATTTTTAAACCGATGCATGCTACTGAGAAATAATTTGACGTTACAGGGATTTCGACGACCTCATTTACAGTCAGCAATTCGCAAAATAAGCCCCTCCCTCACCTGGAATTTACCACCCGGTA